ATCCTCTGGAGAAGGAAATGGCAACCCACTCCAGTACTCTTGCCTGGAAAATTCCATGGATGGAGGAGCCTGGTAAGCTACAGTTCATGGGACTACAAAGAGTCACACATGACTGAGCAACTTCACTTCATAAAGTAAAGAGAAAGTATCTAAAAGTCTGTCTTCCTTCAGCAGATAACTGATGAATGCCTTCCGTGTGCCCAACAGGGACACCAAGTAAGTTGACCAGCTGGAGTAAGTTGGGAGTAGAGAGGTAAGGTAAGTGCCCCAAAATGCTGGCCACCATTTGACAATGGGAAACATGCCAGTTATTTCTATTATATTTTGAATCCTCAGTACACCTCAGAGAGGAAGATGTTGCTCTCATTTGAAAGGGAGGAAACTGAGATATGAAGCAGTTTTCCCTAGGTCAAGCCTACTGAGTGGCAGAATTAGGCTATGAACATGTTACCAGATTCCAAAGCTATAATGATACAAGCTCCATCTTTATTGTGACTTAAAATCTCAGCTTGAGATTGAACAAAGGATAATAGTATTTAGTTGAGAGGTGAAACATTTCCTTTTGGTTAAAACTAAACTCACTTTTCAGAATTCTGTCCTTGTTATTGTCTTCTTCTCTTTCATTGTATTAGCTGTCCGCTCCATGTAGAAAAGTTCTGAATCTAGAGCTCTCGTTCTGACCCCTCCTCTATGCTCTAGTCCTTCCTCCATTTCTGCTTGCATGTTCTACTGTCACCTCAAATGTGGCATATTAATAATTAAACTTATTATTTCCTCCTCCTAATTTAATTTTCTTAGTCACTTGGGCTCAAAGTTTGGAGCCATCTTTGAATCTTTGGTAAAATTAGTGGTTGGACTCAATGATACTATTATGTATCCCTTCCAGCTCTAAAATTCTAGTGTTGTTAATCTTGTACCAAATACTCAGTCAAAATGAATCACTTTCTCTGCTTTGACCCAAGAATAAATGATTTTGTGCTCAAACTGTTTTCCAGGATTATTTCTATATCTAACAGAGCATATTCTATTCATCCATTCTTATGCATTCTCAAAGTCCATTTTAAATGCCATCTTTCTTTTTTTTTGGAGTAAGTTGGGAGTAGAGAGGTAAGGTAAGTGCCCCAAAATGTGGGCTACCATTTGACAATGGGCAACATGCCAGTTATTTCCATTATATTTTGAATCCTCAGTACACCTCAGAGAGGAAGATAAATAGCTGCCATTTAATGAACACATACTGTGTGCCAAGCACTTGATATATTTTGGCTTATTTTATTTTTAGCTGTGCAGCACGTGGGATCTTAGTTTCTCAAACAGGGATTGAAGCCAAACCCAAGCATTGGAAGCACAGAGTCCCAACCACTGGACTGCCAGAGAAGCCCCTAAATGTGATCTTTCTTTGAGCCTCCCAAGTCAACTTCACAGTATTTGCTCTCTCCTTCAGGATCTAAAATATCTTTGTACCTTTCTCAGCATAGTTTACAGTACCCAGTGTGTATCTAGTGGGAAAAGGAGGCTGCCTGGAGGGATGCTTGGTGAGGGATGGAGCCTGAACAGGGTAGGGAGGGCTCCACGACTGGGATGAGGACAGGGTCTGGGAGAAGGGGTAAGGAAAGAGAAAGAGGGGCTTGTGGTGGCTAATTTGGGGGTTTCACACCTTAGTGGGGAAAGAGCAGCATCCTCCAAAGGGAGAGATAGCAGCAATGGTGATTGCTTAAATATAGGAGAGGTGTTCAAACAATAAATATCTGAAAAATAGGATCCAGAATCTTCTCTATAGTAGAAAAGAGTTACAAATGTGGAAAGGAGGATAAACTATGAATAGAATAAACTATGTGATGCTAGATTGGAGGTATTACTGTGAAATACAGTTTTTCAATATATGTTGTTAAATAAAGAAATACAGCTGTAAATGTATATGTGAGTACACAGACACAGATGTACTGTATGTGTGTGTTAAGGTACAAATATTCCCTAGCTGTAAACCCAAAGACAGCCTGAGTGGTGATACCCCAGTAATAGTGAGCATGCCTAGTGTTTCTAAATACCTTTCTCCACTAAAAGGAACCCCGGGCTCCCAGATCAATGGCAGCCAGTGCTGGGGGAAGATGAGGCTTATCTTGTGCCAGGAAGTAAGGGAGTGCACCAAGTATGATGAAGGTGTGTCAAAGGGCACAGAATAGTAAAATGTTAATGAAGAATATGGATGCTGGGATAAATGTTATATAAAACCCTTTCAAATTTTCTGTATTTAAAAATTTTTTACAACAATACATTGTGAAAGGATTTGAAATAGGAGCCAGCGTGAATGGGTAAATCCCACTGACCAACCTTGGGACACTTTGAACACCAAAGTAAACAATGATAAAAGCAGATTATCACCCATTTAATCAAATAGGAAACTCTGAATTTATACTAATAGAAATAAATTAATTGAAAATTTGATGAGAAAAAAGATAGTTTCAAAGCATTAAGCCCACAAAATAACTTACTCATTACAAAGAGGAAAAAAGTAACTACTGGAGAAGTCTTATTGTTGTTGTTTAGTCACTAAGTCATGCCTGACTCTTTGTGACTCCATGGACTGCAGCACGCCAGGCTTTCTGTACTTCACCAACCCCCGGAGCTTGCTCAAACTCATATCCTTTGAGTCGGTGATGCCAATATACATCTTATTCTCTGTTGCCCGCTTCTCCTTCTGCCTGAAGTCTTTCCCAGAATCAGGGTCTTTTCCAATCAGTCAGTTCTTCACATCAGGTGGCCAAAGTATTGGAGCTTCAGCTTCAGCATCAGTCCTTCCAATGAATGTTCAGGGTTGTTTTCTTTAGGATTGACTAGTTTGATCTCCTTGCAGTCTAAGGCTCTCAAGGGTCTTCTCCAGCACCACAATTTGAAGCATCAGTTTAGCACTCAGCTTTCTTAATGGTTCAACTCTCACATCCCTACATGACTACTGGAAAGACCATAGCTTTGACTATATGGGTCTTTCTCAGCAAAATGATGTCTCTGCTTTTTAATATGCTGTCTAGGATTGTCTTTTCATACTGTTCATGGGGTTCTCAAGGCAAGAATACTGAAGTGGTTTGCCATTCCCTTCTCCAGTGGACCACATTCTGTCAGACCTTTCCACCATGACCCGACTGTCTTGGGTGGCCCCACACGGCATGACTTAGTTTTATTGAGTTAAACAAGATTGTGGTCCTGTGATCAGATTGGCTAGTTTTCTGTGATTATGGTTTTAGTGTGTCTGCCCTCTGATGCCCTCTCGCAACACCTAACATCTTACTTGGGTTTCTCTTACCTTGGACGTGGGGTATCTCTTCACAGCTGCTCTAGCAAAGTGCAGCCGCTGCTCCTTACCTTGGACGAGGGGTATCTTCTCACCGCCGCCCCGTCCATCTGGTCAAGACTATGGTTTTTCCAGTGGTCATGTATGGATGTGAGAGTTGGACTGTGAGTGCCGAAAAATTGATGCTTTTGAACTACCGTGTTGGAGAAGACTCTTGAGAGTCCCTTGGACTGCAAGGAGATCCAACCAGTCCATCCTAAAGGAGATCAGCCCTGGGTGTTCATTGGAAGGACTTGCTGAAGCTGAAGCTCCCAGGCGGTCCTAGTGATAAAGAACCCACCTGCCAATGTCAGAGAACTACTGGTTAGATCCCTGGCTTGGGAAGATTCCTTGGAGGAGGAAATGGCAGCCCACTTCTTGCCTGGAGAATCCCATGGACAGAGGAGCCTGGTGGGCTACAGTCCATAGAGTCGCAAAGAGTTGGTTACTGATGAAAAGACTTAGCAAGCAGGCATGTGCTTACTAGGAAGACATATAAAATATTTAACCTTCCCTGGTGGCTCAGACGGTAAAGCTTCTGCCTACAATGTGGGAGACCGAGTTCGATCCCTGGGTCGGGAAGATCCTCTGGAGAAGGAAATGGCAACCCACTCCAGTACTCTTGCCTGGGAAATCCCATGGACAGAGGAGCAGAGCAGGCTGCAGCCCATGTGGTCGCAAAAAGTCGGACACAACTGAGCAACTTCAAAGTATTTAGGGACAATGTGGCACCCTCTCAGTAACTGAGATCTCAAATGGTTCGGGAAGAAAAAATGTTCTCTATACTAGCAACACTTTTGTAAGCTTGCGCTTATTTCAGAATAAAAATTGCAAAATTAGATTCAAAATGCTGAGTATGCCAGAGAAACTCAATTGACTTGGGGGCCAAGAGGTTGTTAATCCCAATTTCGCCCAAGACTGTGGTGTGTGACCTTGAGCCAGGCCCCAGAGTTTCGGGCTGTAGGACTCCAAAGCTCTCTAGGGTCCCTTCCATGTCTACACCCACCCACCTACACTGCCTGCCTGAACTTCTCCAGGCTCTAGTCATGTTTTAAACTTCAGATGCCCGAAAGCTGTTCCAGAGGATTCTGGCTGGCATTAGAAACAAACAAAAATGGGTGTGGCCAAGCTCTCCGGACTGCAAAGCTGCTGCCCTGGCCTCAACTTAGGCCGCAGTCTCCATCGCTCTTTCGGCGGTGGAGCACTCACGCCTGCCAGAGTGGGCGCTCGATAGCTCGGCGGCCGGCTGGCGGGGCCTCGGATCAGCGATGCGGTGCGGGGCGCGCTCCCAATCGCTGGCTCCCGCCGCACTCCAGGCTCCGAGCTTTCCGGCCCCGCCCCGCGCGAGCCCCTCCCGCCCCGCTGTCTCGCAGTCGCCGCCGCCGGCGAGTCCCGGCGCTACCCTGCCGCACTGTGGAGCAGACAGCGTGGCTGGGCTGGGACGGGCGCTGAGTCGTGGGAGGACTCCGGGGGCGAGCAGTCGGGAATCCCAGGAGTGAAGGCGGCTCCGGGCGCGAGGGGGCGGTGTCCGGGCTGTCTGCCGGCGGGGAAGAAACACACCCCGGGGGCCTGCACCGTGAGTTGAGCTGCTTGGGGGTCCGCGGGGTGGTCGCGGCAGCCGAGCGGTGGAGGAAGTTAGGACCCCGGGAGCAGGAACGGGTCGGAGGATTAGATGTCCTGGCCGAAGGGGCCGGAGCCTGCCGAGGAGGGGACGTACTGGGGCGCGGGGACGGCCGATGGCCAGCGCAGCCGGTCTTTCCTCCTGGGCTCGGGGAAAGTGTGTTTCACCGGAGCACAACAGGTAGGCGTGGACTCTGCCCGCGCGGGCTGGAGCCCCCGGGCGGGCGGAGAAGGTCGGAAGGTCGGAGCCCGCCTAGTCGGCGCGCCGCTCCCCGGATCCGCCCTAGCGGCGCCCACAGCGTCGGGGGTTGGCTGGGAGCGGGGCCCCAACCCGGGCTTCGGGCGAGGTTCTCCGGACGCCCAAGAGCAACCGTGAAGGCGGGTTTCCTGAAGCAGTGGAGACTGGATACTGGATAGTCCTTCCTCGCTAGGAAAGCGAGCCTTTGCCGGTCTAGCTTTTGCTTAGTACAAGGAAACATTTCTTACCCTACTCTCGGTCAGCGCAGCCTTATTGCAAGGCATTGTAAAGTCTTTGGAAACTTTTAAGAAGCGCTTTATGATACTAGTCACAATAATGCATACCTCTGGCAAGATGATTTTCATAACTGTCAAGTCGAATAGTGTCTGTCAGATGATTTGAGCTCTTTTTTGAAAGGTCATAATTATACATTCATTTTCCGTGCAGTCATTTATTCAGCAGATATTCAGCGCCTTTTATGTTCAGGCTGAGCGCTCTTAAGGAACTTAGAGCGTAGAAAAGACGTTAAAAGGAGGGAAAAAGGGGACCCGTAAGTTCAGAACTTTGTCAGAGAAAATACTACGGAGAGATTAAAATGGAAAGAAAGCAGAAGTGTCCTTGGAGCTGGGCATTAGGCGGATGGGGAAAGGAGAATTATCCTGTTTCGCAAACGTTTTAGAAAGTATGTCTTTGAGAAAATGATTTTAGATCAGTATTGAAGCCAGTGGTTTTCTTACATTTTAAACACTATGGGTCCCCACCCCACCCCACCCCCGCCTTTGTTGAAATGGGTAGCAGGCAGGGTTTATAAACATAAGAATAGGGACAGTTGGAAAAAGTAGTTATTTATATGGAAACTTTTAGTATTACAAGACTCCTGAATTGACAACAGACCTGAATTTTAGCTTAAGCGCCTCCACTACTGTTTATGGATCTTAGCTTACTTTTCTCTTCTTTTCTTTTTATCTTTATATCTGACTTTAGTAACAGAAAATACATAGCCAAACTACTTTAAAATTTTGAAAAACTGCGCAAAGAATACATTCTCTAAGGAAAAAAAATTAAGAATTTTTGTTTTTAGGCAATGCACGTACCTTCCTTTCTTCAGCTTTATTTCAAGAAGAGGACTGACAGTTTATAATCTTCATGAACTTTTCTCAGTTATCTTTTGAGTAAAATAAAAGGTTAAACTCTCCATGTCTTTAGGTGTTTATTAGGCCTCTTCATACTCTTAAGATTCATTTATTTTAAATCCTGATTAACCACTTTATAAAGACATAGACATTTTTTTAAAAAAGACTTCATTGAATCTTTCATTAACTATCCACAGTATAGTTAATGGGTTTGAACAGCCCCTTAGTAGGACCGTAGTCCTCTCAGGTAAAAGCATTTCTGCGTTTTAAGGAGAGTGTGAAACTGTTATTAAATTTCTTTTAAGAAATGAATTAACTGAAGCCTGAGGGATTGGTAGAGACTTGTTTGTATCATTTGGTTGAATCTTTTGTCTAGTTGCAGTATTAAATTCGTTGGAATTACACTAGGGGTCGGTAATTGGCAGGCTGTGGGTCAGATCCAGCCTGCTGCCAGTTGTTATAAAGTTGTACTGGAACATAACTACACTCTTTTATCTATTTATAGCTGTTTATGTATTGTTTATGAGTCGTTGTGATAGAGACTGTGTGGTCCATGCAGTCTAAAGTATTTATTCTCTGGTCTCTTACAGGAAAGAATTCCTGACCCTGGGCCAGAACTCGACAAACGCTCCTTCACGGTAACTTCTGTGAGAGGAAATAGGTTAAGTTTAGTTTTTCTTCTTTTTCTTACTTTTTTTGTTGTGTCAGGTGAACTACTGCATCCTATAAATGCTTCTGGATCGTAGATGTGTGATGATGGGAAAAGGTCATGGCTTTTCAGTCATTAATTACCTAGTAAGTTTTAATTTCAGCATTTCTCACCTTTTGGAAGGCTAGAGAAAGGGAAGGATTTTTTGTGTGTTTTCTAACAACTTTATAACTCCTAGTTTTAATTTGGATCTGGTGTGGACTGTTTTTTAATTTAGTAAGCTCTTTTTAACGTATCATTTCTGTTTTTCACAAGTAACAGTTATTTTTACTTAAACACTTTTTTTTTTTCTACCATGAATCTAGTGACATTGATTAAAAGACTAGACAGAAAATTATTCACAGTGTAACTGAGCATGAAGTCAAAGGTATATCTACAGTAAGACCCAAATGGGAAATTGGAACCCTTGAAACAGATACACAAGATTGAAATTGGAGCATATTGTTCTGAATCATGTTTGAACTTCTTTTTTTTAATAGTAACAACTTAAACAATAAATATTTTTAGAAAAGAAACATAATGTAGTCATGTTAAAGCATAATGTTATGTTTATGCTGCATAAGAAATTAGAATTAATTATGTGACAGGAAAGAAGGTAAAGTTGTATGAGGTGATATTTAAATGTTTAAACCAGAGTATATACTTTTGCCAATTTTGAAACCATTGTTTTAACTTCTCTAAAATGTTTTATATATGTACTTCTTTCTTAGTTTATGCTTCTCTATGGATATATTACAACATCTGTCTATATTTTCTGTTGCACTTGTAGATTTCTGTATGTTGAATTTATGCATGTTTTTGTGTATTAAATATTTAGTCAAAACATTACCTCACTTATTCAATACATTTTTATGTAAGTAAAATTATTAGGAAGTTGAAATTACCCATTGAAAAGCACAAATTTTTTTTTAAGATATTTTGGGAGGAAATCTGAAAAGCAAAAACAGAAAAGAGAAGCATATACAGGTACAAAATCCCTTAAGCATTATTACAGAGTCCAAAAGGCACTTTTTAAACTCATTTGGCAGCAGAACATGACCTGATCTGATAGGAAGCTGTTTATAGTCTTTATTTATCCTACCTTTATGTGAATATGTTTATATTTTGTTGCAGAAATATCAGTGAGTTTGATTGTGGAGTGCTGCCCCAGACCAGCTGGGGGTTAGAGGTAATAGATGGTGTGTTCACTATATTACTTGGGTGGATGTGATGATGGCAGCCGGAAAACAAGAAAATAATGGAGTTGTTCCGGGGAGCTACATTTGCAAAGTTAAGAGCCCAGTTAGGCATCTGGCAGGGAGTCTGCTAAAACAAAACAAAACAAAAAACCCTCAGGAAGGGCTCCAGGAAGGTCAGAAGTGTGGCTAAATTCTGGGCCAGGCCCTTCATAAGATATATTGTAAATTAGAAGTGGGAACCGTGAAGAAAAGCCAAGATGTCAGACCATAGTGGAAATAAGGGTGACTCTGAGTGCTCACCTGGATAGAAGCCATGAAATGAACAGTTAGAAGGGGGAAAAGGAGAGGATTCTAAAGCAGGTGGGGTCTAATGACTAAACTAGGAAGTCCTAGGTAGCAGATTACTTGAGCACAAATACAATATTTTGGAAAATTGAGCAAGGATTCCTGTCCTCTGCCGAGCTGGAGGAATAATGGCATCTTATGCACTTTACTCTTGAACTAAGTATCCCCATATTGCCTGCTTTTTAAAGTATCTATATTAAATAGTATTTTGCTCTCTTCCATTACTGTTAGCTGCCTGCTTCAACTTCTTCATGCTCTCAATTAGTTTGCTCCTTCACTTTTAATGTGGGGCTCTACCCAACTCCAACTAGAATCCAGATATCTGGATTATTAGTCATGTCTAGACTAAACTAAGAGGAAACAGGCCCCAAGAGACAAGAAACTTAATGTCAGTAAAGTTGATGATCTTTGAAACAGTTAATTGCTGTGTATCTTTTTTTTTTTTTAACTTTTGTTTTGTTTTTTACTTCTTGTTACTGAATTCTCTGCTAGGTACCAAATAGTGAGATTACTTGATAGTGACTTTCAGATGAGTGTGATGGGAGATATTAGAGTAAAATTTCTCTTTTAAAACTTGCCTTCTGGTACTCCAAAGTGTCCAGAGTGAAATCTTTCTTCCCCGGGGGAGGTGGAAGAGTTGGTTTGTGGAATGAAGAGTGATAAAAATTGTCAAGAATAGCCAAGGACTAAGCTAACACTGTTAGTCGCTCAGTTGTGTCAGACTCTCTGTGATCCCATGGAGGGGCCCACTAGGCTCCTCTGTCCATGGAATTCTCCGGGCAAGACACTGGAGTGGGTAGACCTCCCCTTCTCCGGAGGATCTTCCCAGCCCAGGGATCGAACCCACGGCTCCTGCATTGCAGGCAGATTTTTTTACCGACTGAGCCCCCAGGGGAGACTAGTGGTGTTAGTGTTAGTTACTTAGGGATTTGCTGTCTTGGTGGGAAGGGCCCTCTGGAAGTCGATGTCTCTAGTACAACTCACATTTTATCAAAAAGCCTCTGAGTACTGGAGACCTAAGAGGAGAGTGAACTGATAAGAAAAAACAAAGTTGTAAAGATTAGATGTTTCAGTGGGCATGGCAGTAACTGTCAGTGATTAGAAACTGTATGAAAAGAATGCATGAGGTAGTTGAAGGAGCATGGACATTGAAACTAGACAGGTGTAGGCGTTACCTTCTTTCTTCCACTTCTTTCTTCACTTAAGTCTTGGACAAATTTCTTAACTCATCCTCATCTGTAAAATGAGGATGATAATATTTGAGTTTTAGTATTAGGGAGGGGTTTCCCTGGTAGCTCAGTTGGTAAAGAAGTTGCCTGCAATGCAGGGTACCCGGGTCCAATCCCTGAGTCAGGAAGATCCCCTGGAGAGGGAAATGGCAACTCACTCCAGTATTCTTGGCTGGAGAACCCCATGGACAGAGGAGCCTGGTGGGCTACAGTCCATGCAGTCATAAGAGTCAGACATGATCTAGTGACCCAGCTACCACAGTAGTAGGGAGGTTAAATGAGATAGTGAATTAAAAGGTTCTCGTAAGGAGATCCTGAAGAAATGTTAAGTCTCTTTTCCTATCATTGCCTTGTTGGAGTTGGTTCTGCTGCTGAGTCCCTTGCCCACTTCCCACCATACTTCCTTTTACCCCCTAAGGTTTTCTCTTTTGTAACCTGGAGGGAGAATTGCCAGAGCTAGGCTACACCAGAGGCCCCCATTGGCAGTCTCCTTCGCTGAAGCCAGCCTCTGCCGTTCTTCTCATCCTTAGTTGTAATCTGCAGCACTTGAGAAGAAAACGTGAGGAAGGCAAAGGAAATTGCATCCCTACTTCTGGCCCTTTCTCACCTCTCTTTATCCATTTCTGTGTTACTCCTGTTTCTTTCCTGCTCCATTCTAGCTTCTCTGTCTTATAGGATGTGCTCCTTAATCAGTTCTTGGAGTTGAGTGTATCTGCCTTTCCAGCTATTGTATTATGCAGTGGTGAGAAGCAGGTTTCCCACCATTTCTACTACATTTGCAGGAAGTATTCTTTGAATCTCGGCACACTGAATGTATTTTCATTATATTGTAAAACAGGTTATTAGTGCTGTGTGCCTGGGTCATGTTGTCGTATGACTTAAGAAACATGAATTAAATTGATTTCCTGGGAATTGTATTCAGAATTCCAAAAATCAAATATTAAAATTTATGGTGCAACAAGGCATTTTTAGCTCAGAAGGGGTGTGGTGTGAAACTTGGTTGAAAGTTATGAATAACACAGATTTTTATGTGAACTGGTAAATCATTTGGTTAATTAAAATGATTCTCTTTTCTTTACTCTTCTTCCAGGAATAGAAAAGAAAAGATTGTTTATATTCAGAATTCTGAATGTTAGATAATTTGATCCAAAATATTAACTAGAAATGGCTACTTTTAAGTAGAAGTGTGACATTGTCTTGTTACATATTCTTCTACTTGTTAGAAAAATCCTATCATAGTATAACTAAAAGGGAATTAAAAATTTTTTTGATTATAGTGGTCTCTAGTGATTAGTATTTAAAGATTGTGCTCTATAGAACACTGAGTTCTCAGGATCCCCAGCATGGGGAAGAAAAAACGTAGAAGTGGGGCAAAGGTCAGTATTTAAAAGATGCTAAGAGACATTAAGTGCCATATACACATACACACACACACACACACACAAACATACACACCCTTCTGGCAGTCTATAATGTACATTACATATATCACATGTGTGGAGACCCTCTGTAGGAAGGAAGACTGCCAACTTGGTGTTTCCCAAAAAGATTTGGATTCTGTTCCCTCACACACAACACAAATCCTCATTTCCTCATTCTTTTTCACTACTGTTCTCACAACACTCTTTAGGAAACACCGCTTTACCTGTGGGGATGCTCTCAATAGGTTAACCTGTTAAAATTTATGCACTTGTAGTTTCTATAATTACAGTTTTTAATGAGAGCCTGATAGTGTCTGAAAATGTAAAAATCATTTCTCTAATGATGGACTTGCAAGTTTTCAGTTTTCACCTCTCATAATGCTCTAATCAGTGCTTACGCTTCTGATATTGTCCTTTTCCTTTCTCTGGCACAAATTTTCAAAACTCATGCTTTTGTCAAGTGGTTTTGATGTTTTTATGGCTTTTTTATGTTTTCCAAAAGAGTTGAACCTATTTGTACTGTCACTGTAAACCTATCAACTTTTCTAAAATCTCAGTTTTGGCTGTGAAATTTTTGCATTTATAATATTTAGATTTAATGTACATATATTGAATCAGCTAAACTAAATTCTTACTGAGCTTAATATTGTACACTTAGCATTTTAATATTTGACTAATGACAACTGGTTTATTTTAGAGTTGTTACAGAGAATTAGGAAGTCTTAAGTTCATATCAAGTAATATCATAGATTTGAATTTCATTGTCATTTTCCTGCTATTTTCTAAAGCAATTTCAGTTTCTTTGGGTTTATCTAAAAATAATAAGTTAAATCTTTCTTACCCAAGGTAATAAATGAATTATAGGAGAGTAGGGGACACTTATCAGCTATTAAAATATCTATATTATCTAGTTTCAGTATTCTTTGTAGATGAATGGTGCTAGTTTTTTTAAGCATTTGGTTATTTTTAGTTAAAGAAAAACAGCCTTTTACAAGGAAGACAAAGTGAAGTCAAAGACACAAGGAAACAGGGTGTGGGCTTCTCATAAGCTCTTGGTCCAAAACCTGGGCGTGATTTTCCGTTTGGACAATAGGGGTGACTAGCCAGCAGAGGGGTGATTCTGAGGGAGTGGGCGGAGCTGCAGCCTAGTCACCTAGCCACCTCACCGTGTGAGGATTAAACGAAAACTTCCATTCTCATAGCACCTCAGCCTCCAGAGATTCTGTTAAGTTGGTTTAGGCTCAAAAAACTTTGTGTTTTTTAAAAGCAACCAGAGTTAGAACCACTAGTCTATTTGTAATAGGTCTACTATTTTGACATGCTCAGCTTTTTTTAACAGTTTACCTACCTCATCTGTGTTCTTCCTTTTGCTGTTTTCCCAACACTGCCTTTTTAATTGTTTTGACCCTTGTCCCTGAAGGAGTTGGGAGGTAAAACTGATTTTGTGATTTACCGAAAGGTGTAGGGCGAAATATTGGGGCTTCCCAGGTGACGCTACTGGTAAAGAATCCACTGCCAATGCAGGATCTGCAAGGGACGCAGGTTCAATCCCTGGGTTGGGAAGATGCCCTGGAGGAGGGCATAGCAACCCACTCCAGTATTCTTGCCTGGAGAATCGCCTGGACAGAAGAGCCTGGTGGGCCACAGTCCATGGGGTCACAAAGAGATGGGCACGACTGAGCATGCACACGTGCTTGGGGAAATTGGTAGAGAGGGAGCCCAAACATAAAGTAAGGCCCTCCACCTCCACCGCCATGCTCTGTTCTGTACTTTTTGTCCCTTACATCTTAATGTCAAAAATGCTGTTTTCCCTTTTTTTCCAGTGGAAAGGTTTCCTAGCACTGAGGAAAGAGAATGAGCTTTGTTGCCAAAGAGACGTGGGTTTGTTCTCATCTCTCCTGTTTACTGGCATCAAAGATTTTTCTTCTGTAAAATGGGGACCAGTAATACTTGCTTTCTTTCCTGTGATGATTAGAGATGATATAAATTAAACACCTAAAAAGTTCCTGGCTCAGTGAATAATAGCTGCTTTTCTGCAGGGCAGCAATGGCGATGCAGACAGAGAGCAGCCTTGTGGACACAGCAGGAAGGAGACAGTGGGACAAAAGGAGAGAGTAGCATTGAAACATATACCTTACCATGTGTAAAATTAAGACAGCCCGTGGAAATCTGCTGTGTGATGCAGGGAGCTCAAATCTGGTGCTCTGTGACAACCTGGAGCGACAGGATGGAGTGGGAGGTGGGAAGGAGGTTCAAGAGGTTTTGGGACATGTGGCTGATTTCATGTTGATATATGGCAGAAACCAACACAGTATTGCAAAGCAATTATCCTCCAATTAAAAATAAGTAAATTTTAAAAATTAATAAAATTTAAAAAGAAAAAGAATAGCTACTGTCATCAGTTTGTGATTTGGGAATTAGTGGGAAAGTGAAAGGCATTGCCATGAACTGCAGCAGGTAATAGTTATGTCCTTCCCACTTGTGTTACCAAGATGATGCTAACAGATGGTGTTGTGAATTATAAAAGTAAGGAATCGATGGAAGTTCAGCTTATTTATTGGTTTTTAAGGGTTTCATTTTAAAAGTTTTAAAATCATAAAAAATTTGGAGACTAGAGAAAATAGCATTACCCACAATGCTACTGCTTTAATAATCATTGCTAACATTTTGAATCAGAAAAATAACTAGGAACATCTCACAATTTAAATGATGGCTAGAGAAGCCCAACACTTTATGAAGCATATCTATAATAAAAGAAATACTGTACCAAGTGAAGACAGTATTAATAGGGGAATTAATCATGAAAGACTTCCTGAAGGATTTTTTTTATAAAAGTAAATTTTGAAATAGTTTACTATAGGAAGAAGCAAGGTGCTTCAGGTTTAAAAAATAGGATGCAGATAGGATTTTCAAATCATCAAGATGAAACTATTAACGCTGGAATCAAAAGTGACTTGCTTTAATATTTGATTTGCTCTACAACCAGTGAAGACTGTGCTTAGGGATATTTAAAGTACTGTGACAAAAAGACCTGATTTGCTTTCTACCAGGAGCAGCCTTCCTTAGGCAACGTCTTAATTATGACCTAACGCTCTGTGTAATTTGTGAGTTACTATTTTGTAACCTATAATTGTGCAAAGCCTGAATCACAGGTCGTACGGAGTATTAGGTCAGTAAAAAATGATCCATCTTCTTTTAGATTAAATCTTTGGGATTCAGATCGAGCTGCCCAGAAGGTGTCACTTTTGCATGAGGCTTCTTTTGAACCCATGGGTTCAAGAGAAAATATTGTCCTCCCTTCACTACTTAGAATAATTTAAACTGGGGACTTGTTTCAGGAGTTGTTATTGGAGGTAAATTTTTTCTAAGTAGCCCCATCTCTGTCAGAGCAAACATCTATTTACCGAACATCTACTCCGCTTAGTCATCCTGTGACTGTTCTGTCCTTGAAGCCTCAGGCTCCCTCAGCTTAGAGTGGCATAATACCTCATTTTACTCTGTCTCTCAACACTTCGTGTATCTGGGGTCTTTGATCCTCTTGTGTGGTGGGTTCCTTATGTCTGGAATTGAATTTTTCCTCCTGTTTATCTGTCCAATTTCAATTTAATTCCTAGACCAGAATTCAGAAAAACCTAGAAGGGTAGAGGAAAGTTTCCTCCCTCCCCAGCAAAGCTAATTACTGTTTTGGTTTTTTTGTTTGTTTGTTTTGAAAGATATAGATTTTAAGATTTATGTGTGTACCCTGAAATATGGGAGACTCTTGAGAGGTTTTTTGTTTTTGTTTTTGTTTTTACTCTAGGCTCTTTAAACAAAACTGAGCAACTGAAAGCTGCAGGCCGAGTTGAAGCTGCTGTGATGTCTTTTAAAGACTTGAGAGGCAAAGAAAAGTAATTTAAATTTGAGACACTCCAAAACTTTTAACTGCTTGAAACATTCTAGATTCAGTTCCATTTACTACTGAATGGCTTGTTCATTTTGTAAATTGATCTTTTATTGCTCAGGAAAGAAAGAAGTAACCAGTTTGACAAACCTGTCTTATTTTTGTTTGAGGGGGTCTCTTATTTGTGATTTTTTTTTTCTCTTTACATTCTTCAAAATGATATAATAAATTATTTTAAGAAACTTAAAATGACCAAAAATATGAAGAAGATTTTTCCCCCTGCATAAACTTGAGCATAGATGTTCCCCCAAATGGCATATGTTCTCAAAATAGTAATGTTCCCCAAAATAGCATGTTCCCCAAAAGTCCTTTGTAGATATGGTAATCATTTCAAATGTTAGTAAATGTCAAATCATTATGTAGTACACTTGAAACTAACATAATATTGTATGTCAACTATATTTAATAAAAATGAATGAATGAATAAAATGCCTGGCTTCAAGGTATTTGATAGGCTTGATTGGATAAAAGGGTGGCAGCATAGTATGTAGTGGTTAAAGCACATATATCTCGATTTACATCGCTTTAGTGTATGACCATTTTCTGTGTGACCTTAGGAAAGTGACTCAGCTTCTCTGTGTCTCAGTTTCCTCGTCTTAAAATGATTCTAATAAAAATAACTACCCATGGACAGTTTTAAGAATGTTTAAAGCTCTTAAATATTTAAAGCTCTTAGAGCTGTGCTTGGACTATAATTAGTGATCAGTAATAATTAGCGTCTGTCAAAAATAATGGTTGGCATTATAGTTGGTACAGTGGTTTGATGAAATCTTTTTTTTCAAGTAACATAACTGTACCTTGAAAAATACACGGTTATATGTGTTCACTTTTAATAAATTATTCACTCTGTAACCTCCTCCAAGAAGCATAAAAATGGAAAATAAGAGAAAAATTAGGCAAGCATTCTCCCAGTATGTATAGCCATCGGTCTGTAGTTGAATTAAAACATACAGTAGATTGACTGTATTTGTACTCATCATCCTTAAGTTACACTGAGGGTTAGAGCAGGAACATCTGTTGTTTGCAAAGTGCATTTACTTATGTGATTGATAATACATATGTGGAGATCAGAGGCCATTGTAGATTTGGGGGTTTGGATGTGGGATTACCAGTGTGAATTGTCTACTTTTTAGAGTGATTTATATGAAGAATGTATTGAGGGCATGGGAGATAAACTTTATGCCCTGCTTATGATCTCAAGCTCTTTACTGAATTATTTATTACTGCATTGTGTTAGCTATTTTGCTTCTTGATAGATCATTTTACACCACAATATTGCTTCTGCCTAAGGAAACAAAATGTCTCTTCAGCAGTCCTAATGACCTCTAAAAAGGGTAATTTGATTCTTAAGATAGGGTTTTGACTTGCCCTGGTGGTTACAAGAAATTTTCTATGTGATACTCAGGTTATTTTTTTTTCCTCACATAATAGCAGATATTGAGTACAAACTTGCTTTTCTCCTTTGGTATACTTAGATTTCTTCTGGAAATTATTTCTGTAGTGTTTATTACCTTTATTGTGCATATTTTGATCAGTTCACTTCGATAATTGAAAAAGAAAAGGAGAGTTTCTTGCCCAAGCCAGAGGGCGAAAGTAAGGTAAAGAAAGAGTAGGAGCTGAAAACTTGAATACCCATGGAAGCTGGCAAATAATGTAAATGAATAAGGCAGTCCAGGTGGCAAGTGTACTTGCCTGAGAGTCCCTGCTTCCCTTAGATTCAGTCATTCATTGCTCTATGGGATATGGACCCAGATTTTTGTGTAAAATCTTGTGTTTACATGTTAGTAACCAGTTTTTTCCCCAGTACGTATATTGCAGGTGAAATTTGGCCAACAGTTCATCAATTTGCAACTACTGTGTTTTAAAGAGTCTCTTTTCAGTTATATCACAATTATTACAGTGTTATAATCTAGGTAATTTCATACCCATAAACTCTCCAGGAGAAAAAAGAAAGAAAAGCCTTCCTCATGTCTCCCATCTGGTTTTCTAATTCTACTTACTACACGTGTGTGCTTGCTAAGTGGCTTCAGTCCTGTCCGACTCTTTTTGTGACCCTGTGGACTGGAACATACCAGGCTCCTCTGTCCATGGGATTCTCCAGGCAAGAATACTGGAGTGAATTGCTGTGCCCTTCTCCAGGGGATCTTCCCAACCCAGAGATTGAACCCATGTCTCTTATGTCTACCTGCGTGCCACCTGGGAAGTTCACATCTTACTGGCTTCTCTGCAAAAGATTGAGGTTTATTTAGGGAGAATATGAGCTATGTATTTTTATATGGTTTAGTTTAATTACCTGTGGCATTCTGTTTGTATTTCTATGTATTTCGAATGACATGTTTCTGTTTAGCTTAACAGGTTTATTTATAATGTATTAAAGTTATTTTTTATACTTCAATATGGGATAGGTATACCCATCTTATATATGTATATGATACCTTGTCTGTTGTTTAATGTTCTTGATGATAGCTGTTACTCCTGGAAGTAGTAGTGTGATTTGTTTTTAAGCCAGCTTATGTTTTTAAAAATTTTCTCTTCTTAAATAATTTTTCCAACTTTTTTATTGCAATGTTTTAAAAAATGCAGAAAAATTGAAGAATAGTAAAATGATCGCTCACATACGTTACTACCTACAGTATTTGTCTATTAACATTTTGCCATATTTTATGGCTAATTGATTGATGTACTTAACCATTTGAAAATGAGTTGCAGACATCATACTGTTTTATTGCCATATACTTGAGCGTGCACCTAGAAATAAAAAAATCCATAATCAGAAATGCTGTCTTGTAAATTTGCATATGAGTGAGTGTGTATATATTTTACCCACATGCTTATATGTTGTATATATTCTAGAAAGGTACTAGAGTGTACCCAGGAGATGCTCATGAATCTAAAAACAAAACCTCTTCTATTGATTATTTGTTCAAGAGAAGTGAAGGCTGCATTGGATCTGGGTCATAGCAGATAATGTTCTACAGTCCTTGGATGGCATCCATCCAGGTGCCTTCAAAAACATGAGTTTGCTTTCACAACAAGGTTCACAGAGATAGGGAGACTATCTGTAGTGGTTGAGATGGGATTTTTCCTAAAAACTCCTAGCCTCGGGCAGTGTCTTTATTAGATTGGAGAAACAGATGCTAATGGGAATAAGTCCCTTTGCTCAAGTCTTGGTGCTCAGTTGATCAGTCATGTCCAACTCTGAGACCCTGTGAACTGTAGCCTGCCAGGCTCCTCTGTCCATGGGATTTTCCAGGCAAGAATACTGGAGTGGGTTGCCATTTCCTTCTCTTGGATCTCCATGTAAGTGACAGGTTATGTATGGAGGCAAAGGCCCTGGGAGACCTCAAGCTTTACTGTAAAGTATAATAGGAAGTCTAGGTATTTGGTAATTGTTAAAATGTACTTACAACCCATTTTAGTAAAAAACTGCTTATGTTACAGAGAAAACTGAAAGTCTTCACACTTGAGTAGTCTTAACTGTAAAATTTTCAAAATTTTAATGAAATGTCTCCTGTTTGGCAAGTTTTGACATGTGGATATCAATGATCCTACTCTGTTCTGCCTATCTACTCTCTGAAAAAGGGGTTTTGTATCAATAAGTTTACTATTGGGAATTTTCCAGTTTCACCTTAGGAAAGATGTCTCCGTTTGTGCTTCGTGCTTTTCTGTGGAAGATTTCTAGTATTGTGATTGCATTCCTTTTCATTCTTCTTTTTTAAAATATTATTTTCCTTTATTATAGGTATAGGACTAAAGTCTAATGAGAAGAATCGTGACCAGCTAGGAGACTTTTCTGCAAGGAATGGAATTAGCTCATAGCTTATTGCTGAATGAAGAAACATACAATCAACTGGGTGAAGTTCAGAAGGCAGAGTTTATTTTTGATTGGTTGAGATATTTGGAGAAGCTCTTGGTTGCAACCAGCAGGGTGAGTAAAATTGCAAAAATTGTTTCACAAGGTTTTTTTTTTTTTTAAGTGCCAGATAATGTTTAATTCCTTTGGTTTACTTTTCTAGTTCTGTCCAGCATAACCTAAATTAGCTTTCGAAGGTTAGACCTTAATAAGATTTTACAATGAACTAGTAGGTTTCTTCTGCTCAAAAGAACAGGAAGACATTAACCAATATTTATAATATTGCTTTCAGATATGTTAAAAACTAACTACAGAGCACAGTGTGTTAAATTTCATCATTATTATCTTCTTACCTGTGTCCCTCCATTTGCATGACATCCTGGAACAGTATCGCACTAAATAATGTTATGGGAGTTTCACTTAAAAAAAAAAGATGTGAACTCTTGAAGAGGAATATGAGCTGAGGAGTCTTCGAGTAAACATATTCTCTCTTAAAGTTTATAAAATAGGTACTACAAAGAAGAAAGCTAATCATTCTTATCCTTTACCTACATTCAACAACTGTTAACATTTTGCCAAGTTTAATTGATTCACAGAGCCATGCGAGTTGCTGCTTTATTTCTAAATACTTTCCTATATATTTCCTAAAAATAAAGGTATTCCACAGAATAACAATACCTTACATAATGCAAAAGTGTTGCAAAGACACTACTCATGGAGATGTTTAGAATTTATAAATGGCAAAGATCCATAGCCTAAATTAACAAGTATTTTATTGTGAAAGTTGAAGCCTCAGGAAGCATCTGGATACCATTACTACTGTGATAATATTCTGTTCTCCTTTTTTAGAGAGTAGATAAGTAAAATGGAGTCACAGCGTGGCATTTACATGCATAAGCTTGCAGAAGGAAAATTGCGCTAAACTTAGAAAAAGATCTAAGTATAACAGGTAACTGTTACAAGGTCAGCTCTGGTGATAGGTTGTTCACTGCTGCAGATATATATCAGGCAGGGACTTAAGAACTAAGGAGCACTAGTTAAGATATAAATTTGTTGTACGTTTCAAACCTAAAAATAAGGAGAAAAAATGGAACCTTTGTCTTTGTTCACAGACTCTAGTATATTGTGGTCCAGAATTTATTCTCTGGAGTTACCAGCAATGCAGCAAACTGCTTGCTTGTGAGGTGTAATAACGATACCACCAACTTATTTGTAATATTCAGTTAAAATAATTTTTCATTTTTCTAGAGGCTTTTGGTTAGTTCTTAATTACATGAGAGCAGAATCATATGAGAGGAGCACATGTAATTGCATTGATGAGAATCTTCTTTGTTTACGTCATTTGCAGAGTGATGTAAGGGAGAAACAGAAGACTCTTGTGGAACAGCTCCTGTCTTTGCTCAACAGCTCCCCAGGGCCTCCTACTCGTAAACTCCTTGCTAAGAATCTAGCCCTTCTTTATAGTATTGGAGACACGTTCTCTGTTTATGAGACAATCGATAAATGTAATGATCTTATTCGAAGCAAAGATGATTCTCCAAGTTATCTTCCCACTAAACTGTAAGTTAATATTGAAACTGAATATGAGATCTTTATTGTATCATTTTTATAAAGAACTCAAACTTTGCTATATAGTCGAAATTAGCACAACCTTGTAAATCAACTCTATTCAGTAAAATAATTTTTTTAAAAGAACTAAACTACTTGATAATTATTATGAAAATGAATACAAGTTGTTTTCCTCATTTTCTTAAATGTAGCTTTTGAAAAGATCTAATATTTTACCGTTGAGAAACAGTTCTTTTAAAAACTTTAGACATTTGAAGCTTAGATTTGGGAATCAAAACCGTCTGATTAATATTTTAGCAGTTGAGTGTTTAAGGAACAACTATGTTAAATTCTTCATGTTTTGGATGTTCTTTTAGTTTATTAGTTCTTAGTAGTGAAGATTAATAGTAAATTTATAGAAAAACACTTTTCTAAGATCCTAAAAGAACAACTAAGTTTCTTTCTCCATAGGACTCAGTTCATTTTATCACCCGTTGTTTAGAGAAGGCTATTTACGATGTATGACTCCACAGTACTAATTTTATAGAAATTTTTTTATTGATTTAATTTTTAGCTTATGATAGAATATGCTTTTCCATAAAATTTTGAGACTTAATGCGAATACTGTTCTTTTTCTTTTAAGACTGTCTTTGATTATCTAACATATGAAGCTCCGTTCTATTAAAAATATTTGGGGGAATGGAATCTTTGGGCTAAGATTTAGATTAGTTGAAGATACATCTTTGTAACATTCTTATATTGAAAACGTAGTCATTTGACACTCCAGTGAAATTCCTCATGACTTAACAGCGGAGTAGATTCTGGGAAATTTATCCTTTAAAAATAAAATTAAGTAGTCATCATTGCATGTCCTAGGATCCTTTTTTTCCTGTTTTTTCATTCTTGACTGATTTCTAATTGAAATGTCATTTCAGCGCTGCTGTGGTGTGTTTGGGTTCCTTGTACAAGAAGTTGGGTAGAATATTAGGTAACACCTTTACTGATACAGTGGGAAATATTCTCAAAGCTATGAAGAGTGCAGAGGTAAATACAGATTTTATAGTTTCTTGAGCTAATAAAAGAGCCTTATCTATGACAAGTATACATAGTATATATGTAAATATATCATAAATGACATATTTTTATGTAGTGCACCTATGTACTTTGTGTATTAAATCTTTATTAGAAAAACAATAATGCAGTAAAATTTTGTGTATTCAGATAAATTCCAGTGGACACAAACTAAGGTGTTTCTCTTGCAGACCCGTCCTTGCTCCTTCTTTCTGTTTCACCTTTTCCATCTCATGCTACTTACTAGTACCAGAGCAAGCGCTTGCCACCTAGGGTCCAGATACGTAATGGGTAACTACCGTATACCTGATGGATGGATTAGTATTCTACCAGCATCAGCAGGAAGTAAGGAATAAAATCAGAGTAGGAAAGAGTGTGAGGACGTAAGCTTGACTAGGACCCAGATGACCTTTTAATCGCCAGGGGTGAATATATTCTCAGCCTTGGCCTCACTAATTTGTTGGTATCATTTACCATTGTGAAACACCCTTTGTGTTTATCAGACTTCTAAGATGTACTGTAATTTTTTGCTAACTAAAGTTTTACCAATCACATTTTGAGATTCATACAAAAAGCATTTGTAAGTTTGTATATCAAAAATTTTAAATCTGTGGTCCCTCATATTTAAGGATAACTCAGCACCTTTAAATATTGAAAAAATCACACTAGTTCTTATTCTTAACATTACTTTGAAGAGGTCTAGAAAATTTGTAAAAATGCAGGCCTGTCACACACCTTTCTTTAACTATATCAGGATAAAACATGGGAAAATTCAAGTATAAAATATGCCAAATTTCAAGAAGAATGTAACTGATTCTAGAACTTTACAGAGAAGTGAAATCCATAATATAAAACTGGTGAGAAAATCAACTCAGCAGATTACTTCTCAGCAGTAGTACCTTTCACAAAGATTGAAGAAGATCATTAAGGAGGAGAGATTGTTAACATCCATAAACATGGTTTTATTTAAAAGGATGTGTCTGTAAAAACTTTTTTTTACTGAAGTGTGTCCACTTTAAACTTTTTTTTTCTCTTAGCTTCATTGATAAAGCTATACTTTTTAGGGCTCATGGTTAACAGAGAATTACTCTATAAGTCTCAGAAAATTTTAAGTTCTTGCTAAGTATTTTATTGCTCCTCCACTTTATAATCTTTATGATTTGATTCATCAGTACCACAATGTTTTGGAAATATCAAAAGGGATTTCCACCTTTGATACATACCCATAGTGTAGACAGTATTTGAAACTGGCGGTGTTTGAAAAAAAAGTTGTTTCCCATTAGGACTCATTTTGTTATGTCCACCTGTAATGACTCACTATTATGCCCCTTTGAACAAAAATTAATAACATTACTATGAAAATGATATTGATGTTAGCTTACCTATAGTAGCCTTAACTTCCTGAGATATACAAACAGGTACTATTTCTTGAGTGTTTACTGTGTGCTGGGTACTATGGTGAATGACTTCCCCACAGGGCCTTATTTACTGGCTCTATGGGATTCATCTTATCCTCGTTTTATTTTTATTTATTTATTTTTGGCCATGGTATGTAGCATGTGGGATCTTAGTTCCCGGACCAGAGTCTTAACCATTGGACCACCAGGGAAGTTCCTTATCCTCATTTTATAGTTGAAGAAATAAGTAAGAACAGCTTAAAAAGTCACACCATTGCTAAGGTTCGAAGCCAGGATTCCCACCCATATCTTTTAAAATCTAAATCCAGACTTTTAAACTTCTGAGTTAAAATACTCAGGCCAATAAGTGAAAGTGAAGTCGCTCAGCTGTGTCCAACTCTTTGCAACACCATGGAGAGTGTAGCCTACCAGGCTCCTCCGTCCATGGGATTTTGCAGGCAAGAATACTGGAGTGGGTTGCCATTTCCTTCTCCAGGGGATCTTCCCGACCCAGGGATTGAGCCCGGGTCTCCCGCATTGTAGGCAGACGCTTTACCATCTGAACCAATTCTGAGCATTTATACTGTGTGTCAGGCGCTGTTCTAAGTAGTTCAGTTCAGCCCAGTCTCTCAGTTGTGTCCAACTCTTTGCGACCCCATGGACTGCAGTACCCCAGGCCTCCCTGTCCATCACCAACTCCTGGGGTTTACTCAAACTCATGTCCATTAAGTTGGTGATGCCATCCAGCCATCTCCTCTGTTGTCCCCTTCTCCTCCTGCCTTCAGTCTTTACCAGCATCAGTGTCTTTTCAAATGAGTCAGTTCTTCGCATCAGGTGGCCAAAGTATTGGAGTTTGAGCTTCAGCGTCAGTCTTTCCAATGAATATTCAGGACTGATTTCCTTTAGGATGGACTGGTTGGATCTCCTTGCAGTCCAAGGGACTCTCAAGAGTCTTCTCCAAAAGCATCAATTCTTCGGTGCTCAGCTTTCTTTATAGTCCACCTGTCACATTCATACATGACTACTGGAAAAACCATAGCTTTGATTAGATGGACCTTTGTTGGCAATGTAATGTCTTTGCTTTTTAATATGCTGTCTAGGTTGGTCATCTTTTCTTCCAAGGAGTAAGCGTCTTTTAATTTCATGGCAGCAGTCACCATCTGCAGTGATAACATGTAGTAATTCGTTGGATCCTCACAACAACCATTTAACAGATAAAGAAACAGATTTGCCCAAAGACATGTAGCTAGTAGGTGGCAGACCATGCACTCATACCATGTTACCTCATTTATAACAACCGTTTACTGAATGCCTAACAACATGCAAGCTTTATGCCTGGTACTTCCATGCAATTTCATTTAATCTGCATGTCAACCCTATGAAATTTGTATTGTACTGAAGTATAATATATACTAATACAAATAACACTTTAAAATAGTGAACACTGGGACTTCCCTGATGATCCATTGGTTAAGAATCTGCTAGGCAGGGGACTCAGGTCTGATCCCTGGTTAGGGAACTAACATCCCATATGCCGCAGGGTGGCTAAGCCCTTGTGCCTCAACTACTGAACCTGTGCCACAGTTAGAGCATCCTCGCACCACAATGAAAGATCTGCATGCCATAACGAAGACCTGATGCACCCAAATACATAAGCTTTTTTTCCCCAAAGGAAGCATTAAAAAATAGTAAACACTGTGTAAAATAGAAATTTTTCATGTTTTTGAATGTCAGAATAGGTTGATTAGTTTGTATTAAAATCCTACTATTTCTCTAATATGTGAGATAAATTTCAATGCTCAATGCTCTTTTTCACAGTGAATTTTTATTCCTGATCCTTAAATTTTTCCCTCTTTGGTAGTCACAAGGTCGTTATGAGATTATGCTGAGCCTGCAAAACATACTGAATGGACTGGGAGCTGCTGCTACCCCTTGCCACAGGGATATTTATAAAGCTGCTAGATCCTGCTTAACAGATAGATCCATGGCTGTTCGTTGTGCTGCTGCAAAGGTAAAACAGTCTAATATGCAGAATTTGTAAAAATTAGCATAAAGACAATTTAATCAGTTAATCCCAGTTAAAACACTAGTAATAGCTACATGATCTTAGAGCTGCTACCTTGGTATTGAGGTGGGACTGTCTCATTTTAACATATGAGGAAACCGAGGCTGCAAGGGTTATGTGAATTTCCCAGGGTTCTTAAAGTAGTTAGCAGCACATTGTCAGAAGTGGGGAGGTCAAGTTGTCAGACTCCTAAGTATTCCTTCTATTCCACTGTCCCTCCTCTCTGTGGGTGTGTAAAATTTACCTGTAAGGTTTGTGTTGTTTGAAAGTGACCTTTGCTTTTGTCATGCTGTCTTAACATGGTGGGTTAGATAGTTAGTGTTTATTTTGGAATTAGTCTCAAAATTGCTCATAGCCAACAGATAGCTTCTAAAGACATTTTTCATACCCCACTGAATTAGAAATGGGTCTTTGTGGACACATTGCTTTATATAGCATAATTTTTATGGCTTTTTAATAAGTATTGTCTTGTCCCTAAAGTCATTATTTAGAGACTTTGGATTTGTGTTTTCTTTTTGTTAGCTCTTGATAGATTCTTCAACTTATGTATATCTGAACCTGACATTTTATATTTTGTTTTTCACTAATTTCTTTTTTTTCAATTGGATAGTGTCTCCTTGAACTTCAGAATGAGGCTGTCTTTATGTGGAGTACAGACCTGGACAGTGTGGCCACACTATGTTTTAAATCCTTTGAAGGCTCCAATTATGATGTGCGGATTTCAGTTTCAAAACTACTAGGCACGGTGTTGGCTAAAGCCATAATTTGTAAACACCCAGGAGCAGGTAAATTTATGTAATTGTTTTCATAATGTCTTCCATAACTTTTTCCCTGTTGATTTAAACAAACATATGTAGCATTACTGCTACTTATTATTACTTCTGAAAAGAGGCAAAATATCATACAGATTTTAGTTTGGAAACATTCAAAGTCCTCAGAGTTCATATTAAAGTGATTCAGTGAAAGTTTAAGGAAAAACTTAAAAACTCTTAAATAAATGTGCTTTATTCAATTGTTGTCTTCCTCTACATCATGGCCTTTTTTTTTTTTTTTTTTGGAGTAAGTTAATTGTGGAGTGTTACCCAGTAAGAAATAAGATCTGATTCTTGAGAATTCTTTTTTTAAGCAGCGTGCATCTGATTACATACATTTGGCTTGCCGTCTTCTAGACTGGTATAAGGGAGCAATGATGTAAATAATTCCAAACAACAGGTACTTGAAATTTGCTATATTTGGATAGTTTAGATAAGTTGCCAGGGATTTATGGAACCTTTTAAAGTTACTTCTTGAGAACTTAGGTTCACACCTTAAGTCATACTTTTATTTCCCTTGTCCATTCATTGTCCCACTTTCCTAACTATTTTATACCTTCATCTTCTCCTATATTACTTTCATTTGATGGCCTATCTTCCATAGGCTCCCCCTGCTAAATATACCACCTTCCAGCATCTATCTGCATATGCTCCACTGTTATTAAGACTTTTCCCCTGTTATCAAGATGAATTATCTTCTATTAAAGCCTTATGTTCAATATGTGTTAGAGCTCATCCTCTCACCTGCTTGAGGACATAGCTGTAGGAAGTCTCCCCTCTCCTCCATCAACTTTTCCCTTTCTGTTGGTTCATTCCCTATAAAACACGCTCTTCTCCCCCCTCTCATCTTTAAAGGAAATTTTTTTTTTCTTGTGTCTTCCCAGGCAACTGGAGCCCCATTTCTCTTGCCTTCACAGCAGAGTTCCTCAGAGGGGTTCTTGATATTCAGTTTTTAGTTTCTCTCTTCTTTGAAACCCACTTCAGTTAAGATTTTTCTCCAGTTGTCTCTCAAAAACTTATTTTTGTTAAGGTCATCAATGACCTCCGTGTTCATCCTTCATTCAATAAATAAAGAAGTATTTATTGAGGATTTATACCAGGCCATGAACTATTCTCAGCATGTAAGAGGTGTTATTGAACAGAACAGATTGAAAGCCCCTAACCTTTGCCGCTTCCATTCTAGTATTTAGTCACGCTAAGCCAGTGGGCAGTTCTCTGCTGTCTTACTTCACAGCAGCAGTCAGCTTTCAGCAACATTTAACTCAGTTAATCTTCCTCCTCATCCTCTTTTCACTTGCCTTTTAGGGCCTCACACTGCCTTGGTTTTCTTTCCTCCTCTGTAGAAATTCCTTTTCAGTCTCTAATGATTCCTTGTCTCCTCAAAGAAGACACCCATTACCTAGTCCTTGATCTTCTCCCCTTTATGTGGGCTCACTCTAGTGATCCCATCCAGTCTCTTAGCTTAAATACCATCTGTGCATCGGGGGTTCCTGTATTTATATCTTTAGCCCACACTCTTATACCTACCTGCCTGTTTGTCATCTCTGTTTGGATGTCTGTTTGATGTTTTGACTTGTCTCAAGTGAATGTTTGCTCTCCCCTCCCCCATACATACACACACACACATGCTCTCCTTGCAGTTAGCAACCTTGCTAATCTAAGTTGATGACAGCTTCATCCCTGCAGGTGTTCAAGCAGCAATTTGGAAAGTCACCTTGAATCTTCTCTCTCACACTCAATAGCTGTTGTACCTATCAATATTAAAACTATCTAGAGTTGGGGCTCCATGGAGAAGTGGCTCATATGGTTGGGGCAACGACAGTCTGAGAATGAGCCTGGGACATCTTGTTGTGCCAAAAAAATAAGGGACGTCCAATGGCTAGCTTTCTGAAGACACTTCTGCTGGTCAAATCCAAGACAATATTAGAATTAATAATGATAGAAATAGACTATAACATGTTAAATAAAAAAGGAATCCATGAGTCTGTAATGAAAATAAGTAAATAAAGGAGAAGGGAAAGGTCTTTTTTTGCAGTGGAATGCCAACCAAAAAATTTAGAAGTAATGAATGTTAGATAATGACCTTTTGTAGTCATTATAGTAATAGTTTATGGAGATAAGAGTGTTTGGTGCATTCCAAAATGGGTTAGAGTTTATTTATACTGTCTTAAAGTAATACTTTAGCCACCTCATGTGAAGAGTTGACTCATTGGAAAAGACCCTGATGCTGGGCAGAAGGAGAAGGGGACGACAGAGAATGAGATGGCTGGATGGCATCACCGACTTGATGGACATGAGTTTGAGTAAACTCCGGGAGTTGGTGATGGACAGGGAGGCCTGGCGTGCTGCGATTCATGGGGTCGCAAAGAATTGGACACAACTGAGCGACTGAACTGAACTGAACTGAACTGAAAGTATCACTACACAGGTGGCATAGTGATAATAAAGGGGAAAATGGTATTTTACAGTCGACAGGATTGACAGACACCTGATTCATGTATTCAAAGATAATACCACCAATATAGGGATAGACTGACATCAAGCCTGACATTCTTTCTGATACTATGTATCGAGAAATCTATGCAATTGAGAGCTTTTTTGTAACTATAACTAGCCATATATGTAGGCTTCAAAAATGAGAAAGTGATAAGGAAGATATGGAAGCTAGGAGAAGGGTACATGAGAATTTATTTTACTCTTGCAGCTTTTTTGTGATTTTGAAATTTATTCTAATAAAATTTAAAACTATATAAGTATGTATACCAAGACTCCTGTTATAACTACCTTGATCTAGCCTGTTGTAAGCTACCATCACCTGTTGGTTGTATTACTAAATCCTCCTAATATTTTGGTTTTTTCTGCTTCCACCTTTGCCCCTCTATAGTCTTCTCTCAGCACAGAAGCAAAGTGACAGATGCCTTTACTGCTTTGCTTGAGCGTCTCCGCTGGCACCTTACTTTACTCACATCATTATTATAATGATCGACAAAGTCCTATATCTTCTGCTCTTGTACCATCCTCACACCCTGGCCCGTCTCCCACCAGAGAACTTACTGCACGTAAAAGACATCTGCTTTATTTTTTTGCATTGCTTTTAATCACTCTCTGACATACTATTAATAGACGGTTCGTCATTTGTTATGTTTAGTCTTGTCTCTCCTTTCTAGAATTTACAATCTGTGAGGGCATGGATTTTGTGCTGTTCACTAATGTTTCTTTCCATGTACTAGTATAGATTTTCATCTGTTTCATCTTTAGGCTGAGGAATTTATTTTTTGTTCATCTTGACTTGGATTAACAAAAGTTTATTTTGCCACTGCCTATGACTTATGTTGGTAATGAGGATCAGAGCTTGTGACCATCATTTTTTCAGAAGAATGAAAGGGTGAAAATTTTTTTTTTCTTTTTCCTTTTTTAAAAGGAGATACTCACAGGGAGAAACCCAACTGTGTCAAACTGCAGACAAACTTAAAACATTCTGCCTAGCTAACCTGTTAATTACTGTAGCCTAAGGACTGACTGAGCAGTTTTAGTAAATATTAGCTTTGATTTCTTTAGAGACTGAGGATGTAACAAAAGTTATACTTGCAGTTGAGAATTTTTAAAAAACATAATGTGGTTACTTTAAGTTTCATTAAGAGTTGTAGAGCATTTAGAAAGATAACATTATGATTTTTGGCCTTTTTAGTATTTCAAAAGAATTTTCAAAGTGTTACATAGCGTTTTCTGTTTATTTATTTATTTGACCGTGCCAGGTCTTAGTTGCAGCATGTGGGATCTAGTTCCCTAACCAGGGATTGAACTTGGACCGCCTGCACTGGTAGCATAGAGTCTTAGCCACTGGACTACGGGGAAGTCTCTATAGCATTTTCACTCTTGGAGAACTAGGGCAGCTTATTTATGTTTCCCCTTGGTTTAGAAGACTGTTAGCCTTTTAACTTGAGGGCAAGAGAGCAGTAGGTCATAATCTCAAAGTGGCATAGGCTTTAAGATGTCATTGACATGATACATCAGAGTCCATTATGATTTGGCCTCTGAACACTTTTGTGACTTTATGTGTTACTGTGTGTAATGTCCTGTAAATTCTGCCTTTTGTTTGGATTTTTAGTTTATTTTTCTTTCTGTTAACATGCTGTTCAAGATTATGCATTAACGTTTAGTCTGTAAAACAAAATTACATGTTTTGTTTTGTTCTTTGTTATAGCAGCCTCACGTCAGAGCAGTCGCAGAGTATCACTGGAGGAAGTTCTGGAATTACTAGGAACAGGGTTCCTACGTGGGAGTTCAGGATTTCTTCGAGCCAGTGGAGATATGCTGAAAGGAACCAGTTCAGTCAGTAGGGATGTTCGAGTTGGAGTTACTCAGGTTAGAATCACAAACCAGTGTCTAAATGTAATTCTTAGCTGCCCTGATGAACGTTTTAGTATCTGACTCCAGGCAGAAGTGATACTGTGCCAGGTCATCACCTATGCTCTCATGTTTATAAATAGATGTGGTGAGGCCAAAACACTTTATGAAAAAGCTAGATTACAAGTAAGAGAAGCCTGTTTATGCAAAGCCAGCTAAATACGCTATTACAGTGTATTTTCAGTTCGTAATGATGGGAGACTTGTTTATTTTATTTCCTTTGAAACATAAACATTTTTTTGTTTGTTTCCAGGCCTTGGGCTTCTCTGTGTCTTGTGTTTTCACATGTTTTCCATTGTGTTTTTGTGTGCTTATACAGTTCAGATTTAGGCTGTTAGGTACATAATATTCAGCGTGGGCAATATTATATTTCTATCTTACATGATTTCTACTTCTAAATAAAGATTATAGAATTGTAATCTCCTTAAGTGCTTAAATTCTTGGTCCTAAACAAAACATAAAAAGCTAAACCTTGGGAAAAGGGTTTTGAATAAGACAATATAGAGGTCTTTGCATTCTTTCTTTGAATTATCTTATTTTCTAAATGTCATTGTGGTTCAAAGTAAACACACACACATATATATTTTTAATTCACATATAATCCCTATTGTTTTATACTGTATGATATTAGAGTTCATGAAAATATAAGCTGTCCCAGCATAACTATAAACTGTTTTTAAAAAACAGATTGCATGAGATAACTACTCTCTGTATCTCTAGAGTAAGGCAAACTATTAGCATTAATGAAAATAAAGAATAGTGATTCATCACTATAAACTTTCTTTACCGGTTCTAGAACTGAATTCCCTTGGAGTTATGGTATTAGACCATAGTTAATTCTTACATTGTGTTTGTTTGATTTGGATTTTCTTCTTCAGAATGTTAAAGAGCTTGAATGCTTTGTTTGGAAAAGTCACAGGCACATTTTACTGATTAGCTAGCTCTACTGGCTGTCCTGAAACCTTGCAGTCTGACCAAAATAAAATACAGGCAGCATAAATGAAATCTCAGTTGAAAGACTAGGTACTTCAATTTTGGCTTAACAAACAAAAAATTGTACAATATTTATATAGTTAAAGTGGCTACATAAATGACGAAAAACTAAAAAATATTAATGAATTCTGCATATTTCATGGAAGACATGACAATACAGAATTGAAATTATTTCATTTTTAAGATAAAACTCATTTCTATTTTTTAGGCTTACGTGGTGTTTATTTCAACACTAGGAGGAGCATGGCTAGAGAAAAATTTTGCTGCCTTTCTTTCTCATATCCTAAGCCTGGTTTCACAGTCGCACCCTAAGGCCACCCAAACTCAAATTGATGCTGTCTGCAGTCGTCGTTGTGTTTCATTTATCCTTCGAGCTACTGTTGGAGGCCTTCTTGGAGAAAAGGCTCAAATTGCTGCTGCTAAGGATGTTTGCCAGGCTATCTGGAAGTTAAAGAAAGTTATGGGTATGGATCTCCTAAGACAGTCTGTTTTAAAACACTGCTAAAGAAAGTGTCCCTTTGGAAAAGCTGGACTGGTATATAATTATATTAATACAAAAGAAGCCACTTTTATAATACAGGTCAGTTTTTTTAGAGTAGAGCAGTCTATGATAGATGAGACATAAATTATCTAATACAGATATATATAATACATGTATTATATAGATGTCCTGATCTTAGAGGATGGTGGATAATAGTTCCTTAGAATTCATAGTCTTTCTATACAAGTTAAGATACATTCTCTTTAAAACAATAAAACAGTTAGTTCATCTCAGTTCTTGTACTGTCTGAAGTCCACTCCCTTTCAGGGCCACTTGCTAAAAGGCATCTATAATCAGGTTGCTTGAGCTAAATTGATTATGTTAGTTCAGTTCTTCCTCTGTAGATGCAAGTCCCCATTTTAGCATTTTAGTTACTGCCTCAAGTATTTCATATATATCAAGTGGAGGTATTTTTTACCTTTATATGTTTCTACTCCTAATACCTATCGCCTGTAATACATTTTAATAAAACAGTTGTGTAGATAAGTTAAATAAATAAAATGCCTAGTTAATTGTCCTACTTCTATCAGATGCTGTAATGAGTGATGGTAATTTGGAAACGCGGCTCGGCTCTGCTGATGTAGCTGCCAGCCAGCATATGCTGGTGTGTGCTTTACAAGAACTTGGAAATCTCATATACAGTCTCGGCACCACGGCTGCACCTTTGTTACAGGATTCGAGTGCAGGTATCTTGTTTGTGACTAGTCTGAATACTTCGTTTTCACTTTTCCTTTTAGACAACTTTTCTCCAAGAAAGAAAAGCTCCTTCATATCACTCATTTATTATAGATTTATTAGGGTCATTTTATGAAATACAGCTAATCAAGATTATATAAAATATGTATATATTTGATTTTTTTTTTCTTTTAGCTTTTATAGCTAAAGATTGTTTTCTAGGTCTCTTCTTTCTGGAGACCTGGAGAACCCCCTTTCTGGAGATATTTAAGATAACATGGAAAAATGGAGAAGTAATCCTGAACTTATATCTTTCATCTGCAGTGAAAGTATTAGTTTCTATATGGTACATGTAATTTACCTCCTCAAAGGTCTTCTAAGCATTCTCTTTTCTTTCTCTTTGAAAATTATTGAGAGATAATTCACATACTGTAAAATTCACCGGCTTAAAGTACACAGTTAGGTGGTTTTGGTGTATTCACAAAGTGATACAACCACCACCACTGTCTAATTTCAGAATATTTTCATTATCCCAAGGAGTCCTACACCCATTAGCAGTCATTTCACATTTCCTTTCCTACAGCCCTGATAACCACTAATCTATTTTCTGTCTCTATGGATTTGTGTATTCTGGACAAGATTTAATATAAATAGAATCATATAGCATGTGGCCTTTTGTGATAGGCTTCTGTTGTGTAATTACTATTTAAAATCATCTTTAATGGCTTTTGTCCTTTGACTGTGATACACAATTCCTGCTAGCTAGAGTTTACATTATATTTGGTTTGTATGCAATTTATTTTAGGGCATATATTGGTGAGGTAGCAGTCGACATGAACTGTTACATGTTATGATGAAGGTGTATGTTGAACTGAAGCAGTGCAGACTTTTCTCCTTACTGGTGGTGGCATTTGCATTTCACTGTCTTCATAGTGGCTTAGTAGCCCTCTGGGACCTAGTGAAGCCTTGATTTTGTTCACCATTTTGTTCTCAGGTAAGAGCAATGTGGTGGATATGGAGAATACTAATTACATAGATAAATATGCCAGAAAGGACTTAAAAGAAAAGGAGGCTGACCTAAGATGTGACATTTCTTTTCAACGTGTTTTTGTTATTAATTTCTAGTACCAAATTAATGATCTCAGATCAAGTAAGCAGAACACTGACTTATTTGGGAAATAAAAATTTCCTTTGTTTACTGACTTAATTAAACCCAGTTTTCATGCAGTGTATTAGTAGAAGTAATTCTTGGGTACAACAAATTATAATTATGTATCGCTTAATTTTTAAAATTCTGATTGACTTTTGATAAAGATAATGTATTTTAAACCCATGTGGCTGCATGCTCTTTTGGCTGTTCTGTGACAACTTGATTTCTGTAGCGGAGTCAGAAATTTGTGTTTGTTTATTCCGTCCTTGCAGGCATCCTTGACAATGTCATTTCAGTTACTCTTCACCCTAGCATTTCCGTTCGACTCGCAGCCGCGTGGTGTCTACACTGCATTGCCGTGGCGCTACCTTCCTACCTGACGCCGCTCTTAGATCGTTGCCTCGAAAGGCTGACTGTGCTTAAGTCTTCACCTGAAGCAGTGACTGGCTTTAGTTTTGCTGTGGCAGCTCTGCTTGGAGCGGTGAAACATTGTCCTTTAGGAATTCCTCATGGAAAGGGCAAGGTAATGGTTCCATTCTTCACATACGATAGTGGCGTTGGCGTTTCAAGCATTTCCGAAAACCATCGTTGTCTTCGTGTGAGTCAGCCAGTAAGAACCATTCACGACAGGCTTCTAGCTCTCAGCTCTACTGCTACTTAGTGTTATTAATGTAATAACTGTGGAAAATGAACGGATGGGCAAAAATACCATGTCCACACTTAAACAGGAGTTGGGTTTAGTGCCTTTTGTCAGAAATACCTCCAGTAAGATACTTTGTTCCTGAAGGCTTTTTTCTTTTTTTTTGGTCATATATTCAGCTCTGCCATTCCCGTCTCCAGGGTATCTTCCTGACAAAGGGATCGAACCTGGGTCTCCTGCATTGCAGGCAGATTCTTTACCATCTCAGCCACCAGGGAAGCCCATATATACTCTTTTTTTTTTTTTAATTAATTAATTTATTTATTTTTATCACAACCATAGTGTATCCCATATGTACTCTTATGAGCATACATTATCCATAAATGTGAAATAGCCTATTTCTCCCTTCTTTTGTTTTAAAACACTATTTCTTAGACTTTTAAAAATACAACATTTTAAATTAATCCCACTTTACTGTGAAACTGCTTCATTGTGAAATTATTGAATACTTTTAACTATTGTTATATAGTATTCTGCCTCTGGAAAGACTGTTATCAGCCACAGTAGTGTGAAAAATTTTAAAATGAGTTTCCTGTAATCAGATTTTCTTTAAAAGTCAATTCAAATTTTAGACGGCTTGAACAGTTGTACAGTGTTTTCATGTAAGCTCTACAAAGAATTACAGGGTTGCTGTGTACGCAATTAGGGTTTGTGTACAGTCTAGTATACCAGTGTTTATCCTGGGAACCTTACCTTTTCTTCATTTCCTTTATGATATTGTCCTATGGTATAGTGTATGTGAATGATTATCTTTTATCATGTACTTTTATTATGTGTAAGAATTAATTCTTCAGGAGATGTTATTATTAGTTGCTCTCATTTGTCAAGTTACCTATAAACTGATACACTTGTTTTTACCTTATTCTTCTACATCAATAGATTATTATGGCGTTAGCAGAGGATTTGCTGTGTTCTGCTGCTCAAAACAGCCGCCTTTCAGCTCAGCGCATACAGGCCGGATGGCTGTTGATTGCTGCGCTGATGACCTTAGGTAACAGTTTTGTGGGGGGCTTACAAAACTACAAGTTACTTGGTGTTTTCTGAATATAAATATTCTAATGTATGATTTGATAAGACTAACTTAAAGTTGGATATATACCAGAATTTAAATATTCATATAAACATTTTTCTTCTAGCAGACACCTTAAGAAACCATATATTTATTTTATCTAATTCTCAGAATGTTTTCAGATGTCCTTCTTTGAAATTCTCTTTAAGACCAGTATATGAGCCTTAGATAGGATAAGCCAGTTTGATCAGCTTTCACACTTAACTCTGGTTTTTCCCAAAATCATTCATCTCTATCTTCATGAGATAAATTTTTCCACAATATAAAGATAGGCAAGAGAACATATGATAGCTCATGAATCCAGTTTTGTAATTGTTCTGAGAATCAGGGACACTAATAAGGTGATTACATTGACGAGGATAGGGTACGTTTAAATTGTATTTATTAAAAAATTAGTAATTATTTTATGATCATGACTATTATATTTACATCCAATAACTTTAAAACTCAGTTTTATGACTTTATTAAAGCTATGCTCTAATTTTCTTTTTATAGTTGTTTGGTTTATTTTTAGGATATAAAACTTGATGGATTTGACCATTTGACACTGCTTAAGTAATTTGATCTAAAAGGTGCTTAATTAAAATAAGCAATCATAAATGAAGAGCCACTTTAAGTAGTGTTTTTGAGGTGATTAAAAAGACTTACTGGACTACCTCAGAGTTCAGCCTATGGGCCAAATCTGGCTGGCCACCTATTTCATACAGCCCATTAGCTAAGAATGGTTTTTATGTTTTTCATAGTATAAAAACAAAAAGAGTGTTTTGTGATACATGAGAAATATATGAAAGTCCGTCTTCAGTGTGCATAAATAAACTTTTTGTTAAATACAACCACCATTGTTAGTTTATATATTGTTTCTAATGTTCAGGCCCTGCACTGGCAGAATTGAGTAACTGCGGCAGAGATGGTATGCCTTTCAAAGCCAAAAATGTTTACTCTCTGGGCCTTAATAGAAGTGCTTGTTGGCCCCTGGCATAGACAGTGATTTCACAATGTGATGGGAATAATGTGGTCAAACTTATTTACTTTTGTCTAGATGTTTCTTGCCTGCTGTATTGATTATTCTTGTTTAATTAAAGGAGAAAATAAACTACTTAATAAATATAATGTTTTAATGAATGACAGCTTTCAAAATAGGGTAATCCCATTGGAAAAAGACTACAAGAGAGCCTTTGTATGAGGGATTAGTGCATCCTGTTTTGTTCATATTCATATTCAACATACCAAAAGGATAGGAAAATTGATTTTTTTTAATTGTTTTCTTGGGCTTTTTAAAAAAATACATTATTCTTTCACTTTATTATCTGTTTTTAGAATGTGTTACTATCCTGATTTCAAAGATGAGTGAGATTTTGCTTTTAGGTATCATTATGAACTCAGAGACTTTTATATATTTATGTGTTTCAGTCCATTGCAGTCATTTTTCCTTTGATCCTCAGATTGTCTTACCTTTAGTCATTGGGAGCCCCTACTAGTTGGTTCCTATGTCCTTTGTTTTGTCTTTTAATTTTTGGTTGCACTGGGTCTTCGATGCTGCGTGAGGGCTTTCTCTACTTGCAGCAGGTGGGGGCTACTCTAGTTGTGGTACATGGGCTTCTCATCACGGGGGCATCTCTTATTGCAGAACACAGGTTCTAGGTGTGTGGGCTTCAGGAGCTGCAGCACATGAGCTCAGTAGTTGTGGGTAACAGACCTTAGAGCATGTGGGCTCCAGTAGTTGTGGTGCACGGGCACAGTAGTTCTTCTATGACATGTGCAGCCTTCCCTGACCAGGGATCGAACCCATGTGCCCTGTATTTGCAGATGGATTCTTAACCACTGTATCACCTGGGAAGGTCCCCTGTGTCCTTTTAACATGAACCTAGTGTTCTTTTGATAACATCTTTATTTTTGGCATGATTGGATGTCTCAGCTTTTACATCATAATTTCTGCCTCAGCTTACAGCCAGTGGTTTCTCCAAGGAGCTCTGATTATATTTGGTGGAGTGGAATTTAGGTGACAGTCTGAGTGCTTTATTAATTTTTGCCTGGCAGTTTTAACACCTCTTTTGCATTTTCAGCATTTTCTTCACCATTCACTATAGTTTTCATTGTCATTTTTAATATATTCACTATTCTGAACTAACATAAACTCAGGTAGACCACACTTAAATCCATTTCTCAAATGTGAACATTTTTAACCCCTTTTTGCTACACTTTTCAGTTTCTCTGATGCCATATTAGTGCCTTTGATTCAGTTGCAGGCATCTACACATGTGTTTGGTTTTTGTTAGATCCAGTGTTATTCTTGGTGTGAATAAACTCGTTCTGGTTTAACTTTGTAAGTACTACAAGCTCAATGTTTATTAACTTGCTTTACATACACTTCTGAAATAAATTATCCTCATACCTCTCTGAAAAGTGATGCAACTTTGTTCACTGTTGAGTTAGTGAGATCTTAAGGGCAAATACTGTGAAACTTTTTTTTAACTGTGGATATTCCCAGTGACAGCATACCTGCTCTGTTTTTTGGTGTCTGACTACATTTTGCATTCAGAATTTCCTCTATTCCCACAGCCCATTGTATATGAGTGTGCCTGTGTGCACACTCACAGAAACCTTTTAAAGTCACTTATTCCTAATTGCCCTATTCCAGTTTCCTTATTTTATCCCAGTCCTAGGATGTTTTTAGTACTACTTCATCAAAGAAAGTAATGAGCAAGGAGTGAATATGGCTTATTTTTGCTGTATTCAGTTTATAAATGTTGCTCTGAAATCTTTAGAAAAAAAAAAATTCCCTTTGGATTTAATCACATCTGATTTTTGACCTGGAGCAAGTTGCTATCACAAGTTAGAATTAGGGTACTTCCCTGGTGATCCAGTGGTTAAGACTGGTCTACTGCAGGTGGCCCTGGGATTGATCCTTCGTCAGGGGTTTGGATCCCACGTGCCACAACTAAGACCTAACGGAGCCAAATAATAAATATTTTTGAAAAGAACTACTCTCAGGACACAGTGTTATTTGTTACTGAAACAACAGTACTTCGCATTAATGCAGGTACGTTAGTTTTTTAGGCTCAAATCTTTGGAGATAAACAGTGCAGGTTGTCCTAGCTTCATTTTACAGTGCAAAGAAATTGAGGTTTAAAGAGGTCACAGCAGTAGTAGAAGAGCAGAGTCCAGAGCCCAGACTTTGCTGTCAGTTCCTCGTTTTTCATCTCTGTACTCCAGTGCCTCCAGATAAGTCACTGATCCAGCGGTACATTCGTTGGAACCAGGGGGACGAAGTAACCCAGCAGGAGTGGATTAAACTATGTTTCTTTGAAGAGGGAAGGGTCTTAAAGAGCAACCAGTTCGGGTTCTTGTACAAGTGACACGTTGAATAAATTACAGGTCCTGCATTTGTCGGTCATCACCTTGCTCGAGTACTGCTCTTGTGGAAGTGTGTCTTCCCGGTGTCTGCTGAAGATCTAGAATCAGAAAAGAGCCGAGGAGACTCCTTCACGTGGCAGGTAACCTTGGAAGGACGCGCTGGTGCTCTCTGTGGTAGGTTGAGTTTAGTCTTTCTCTCCCTTTCCTCTGGCTTTGTCCGTCTTTTAACTTCACATACTTGTATGTTTTAACTTGCGGGGGAGAATCTGCTTCTGGTGATTTTCATTATTGAAATAATCGACTTGTTGGCAATTACTATAACAGAAGTATGATGTAAAAAGCCAAATTTAAGCATTCTTCTCCTTGGGATATTTTATTATAATATGATCTACTTGAGACATGTCAAGATTTCCTTGTGTTAAGTGGGCATTCATTTCTCGTTTCAGAAAAACGGGTTGAAGTCAATAATATTGACTAAGTATGGTTTCTATTTAGCTTTTTATTTATATATGAAAGTTGTACCCTTCTACAACACATAGACCATTAAGAATAGTATCCACATTGAAAATTTGAGCTAAGGAAAAGACATGGAAGCACAGACTCTTTTTCTGAAGCACATTTTCTTAAAAAACATCTTTTTTAAGAGTAAAAATGGCATGAATAAACAAAACCAAAATCAATGCTTCCTTTAAACTGAGTCTAAATTGTAAATATTTGCTTTATTCTATATATGTTTCTATATATATATTCTATATATTCTATATATGTCTTTCATACTCCTTATGAAAACTTATATGTTTCAGGTAACATCTGTAAAACCTAACATGCTGACTTAAAAGTCAACCGGGTTCCTCAGAACTAGTGTAGACTTGAAGGTCTACTTCTGAGTTTAAGGGCTGAGTAAAACCCCAAGAAAGCAACATTTTGTTGATTTGGTTTTCGGTCTCTTAGTAATCCTAGGAAGTTTGATTTGTTTTTTTGATTGTTTTTTCATTTTCACTGGAGGTAGAAAACACTAGGTTCCTATTTTCACTGGAGTTTCAATAATTTTTTTGGTTTTCACACATTTCTTCTTAAAAAAATGTGAATGCTCTACCAAAATTGAATGCTTTTTTCATGCTTCATTACATTCTGCTAAGTAAAGGTCTGTTCTGTTTTTCAGCTATCAAGAGCTTTGTTGCCCACTGCGGTGATCTCCTTACTGAGGAAGTAATTCAGCATCTTGTTCCACCACTTCCTTGCGCTGTGGATTTGCTAACTCAGTAAGGATCCGCTATTTAGATTTGATACAGATTTTTAATAGGAATCAGTTACCCGCTGGTTATGTAATATTTTATGAAGTACATTAATGAGGCCAAATTTCTGTAGTTGGTGAATGATTTTCCATTTGTAGAGGAAGGTAAACAGTTACATGATTTTTTTTTTTTTAGGGTAGGATCTTGAAAAATACATATTAAAAGGGAAGGAAAGTTACTTGGTGGATAATGTATCTTCCATACAGTCAGATTTAATCAAGAAAGTAAATATTAAGCCTGTTAACCTTTTCAGGTATGCGTTTTATTGGTTTGTTAGTGCTGTTCTGTGTTCTTAAGAACCAGATGCTTGTTAACAGTTTCCATTTTTTGTTGTTCATATTTTTCATGTTTGATTTATATTTTTTTAAATACAATTTATGTCATGGTCACTAATAATTTCCCAATTAATGAAATGTACAGTTTAGGGAAAGACTTTCCAAAAAGTGTTTAATAATACAACATTTTATGTATATGGAAAAATACATGTGCAACTTCCTATGAAACTATAATTATTTTAAAGTAAAAAGCTGAAGAAAATTCTAAAATAAGAAAAATACAGTTCAGACTGTGGCTTGTAAAGCATAACAGTAAAGTGAAGCCCTCTGAGTTCAGCACGCTGGCACAGAGGTTAATGAATGTTTGCGGTAACGGACTAGAGAGTAAATATTTTAGGCTTTTCAGCTCAGACAGTCTGTGTTGCATCTGCTCAGTTCTGTTGTTGTAGCTGAAAAGCAATCATAAAAAAAAAGCGATCATAGTTGATCTGTGAATGAATGAATGCAGCTGTGTTGGAAGTGGGCCCAAATTAGCTATCCCTGGACTAGAACACTGATAACTTTTGAAGTTTTATCTGTATGCTCCTCTTTAATACCACTCTTTCTGCCCTACTTTTGAGGTGATCACTATCTTGAATTTTAGAGCTGTCATTTTCTTGCATTTTTCAAAAGTGTATCACATATACATGTTTCCCTAAACAGTTCCTTGTTCAGTTTTGCTTGATTTTGACTAGACAGATGGTATCATATTGTTTCTGAGGCTTAACTTGTTTTACTCAACATGATATTTCTAAAATTCCTCTACATGCAAGTATGTTCTTTTTGGTTGCTGTTTAATATTTAATTGAATATACAGCAACTTACCCTCCTGATCAATGAAATAACCAAACTATTTTCCAAAATTTTTTCATATGTATATCCATAGTAAATGGGAGTACCCTTCAATCTACTTCTTCACCAACACTTAACTCAGATAACAACTCTTGCTTAATCCAACAGGTGTAAATTGGTATCTCATTATGATCTTATATGTATCTGATTCCTGATGCTTTGTCATACTATATGTTTATTGTTCCTCACTATGTCTATGAAATCCTTATTATGCATATATTTACCTATTTTTAGGTAAAATAGTGATTTGATTAACAGACATTCTTTTTTTTCCTTGGCTGCACCACATGTCTTGTGGAATCTTAAGTTTCCTGACCAGGGATCGAACCTGTGCCCCGCAGACATTCTTAATTTAAATGTCAGATTTATCAGTCTTTTACTTCTTGGTTAGTACTTCCTATCTTTTGATTTATAAAATATATCTGCATGGTTATAAAGATGCTTTTTTTTTTCTCTCTCTCTAAAATGTTTAAGGTTTTTGTCTTTCACATTTGTGTTTAATCCATCTGGAATTTATTTTTGTGTTTGGAATGACATAGGGTTCCAATTTCATTCTTTTTTAATGTGGATAACATATTGCCCCATAATAAAGAAATCCATGCTTCCTCTCTCTGGTAAATGCCTGAGCACAGTCTGTTTCTGTATTTTCTTACCATATTCCATTGATGTGTTTGCCCATTTCTGTGCCCATACTACATAATAATAAGTTTTAGTGTCTGCTGGGCAAACTTTTTGGCCTTTTTCATCATTAGGCACAATTTGGCCTTTTTGCAGTTTTGATTAACTCCTGTTGAAATTTTAATTGGAGTTAAACTGAGTCTATAGATAAACTTGAAGATAACTGACCTTTTTATAATATGCATAAACATAATACCTCTACTATTGTTGAGGTTGTTACAAAGTGTAAAATTTTACTATGTGAAAGTCTTACATGTCTTTAAAAGAATTTATTCCTAGCTAGTTACTTCCTATTTTTCTTTGCATTTATTAAATAAGTATGTGGGAGTGAAAATGTGTGTGTCTGTATAATCTCTTTATTGCTAGTGTATTAAAAAACATAATTGACCTTATATCCAGCTACCTTGCTAAATTTCCCTATATCAAGCATTTGTAGATTCTTTAAGATTTCTCCCTTTATGGTATTTATTCATACATTCATTTGTGTTCTCTCTCTCCCCTATGTGCTAACCAGATGACTTGAGTACAATTTAAAACTGAATAGAAGTGGCTTATTAAAGGGAATGCTTCTTATGTTTCACAAATAAGAATAATGTTTGTGACAGGCCTTTTATTTTTTTATTTAATTTCTTTTTGATTGCATTGGGTCTTTATTGCTGCACACTGGCTTTCTCTAGTTGTGGTGAGCAGGGGCTGCTCTGTGAATCACAGGCTGTAGGTACACAGGCTCAGTCCTTGTGGCTCACAGGCTCTAGAGCTCACACAGGCTCCGTAGTTGTAGCCAGTGGGCTTCATTGGGTTTTGATTTTTTTTTTTTAATTTCATTTATTTATTTATGGCTTTACCGTGTCTTTGTTGCTGCATACGAACCTTCTCTAGTTGTAGCAAGTAGGGATCTACTCTCTGATTGCGGTACATGAGCTTCTCATTGTTGTGGCTTCTCTTGTTGCGGAGCATGGGCCTCAGTGTTTATGGTATGTTGGCTTAATTGCCCTGTGGGATTTGGAATCTGCCTGGACCAGGGATCAAACTCGTGTCATGAGCTTTGGCAGCCAGATTCTCTGCACCACTGGACCACCAGGAAAGTCCAGTTCTGATTTTTATAAAGTGGTTTAATCTGATAATTTTAATGTAATGAATTTTACTGGCTAGTTTTTCACTAGGTTGCATTCTTGAGATAATCTGAGCATGGAAATAGTTATCCGTTTCTGTAAATTTACGGATTTGGTTTGCTTATGTCTGGGATTCTTCACATATATTTAATCAGTGAGACTGCCCTATACTTTTATTTCTTGTGCTGCACCCCTCAGGTTTTCATTAATGTTATACTAGCTAGGTACTCTTGCCTGGAAAATTCCATGGAGAGAGGAGCCTGGTGGGCTACAGTCCATGGGGTCTTGAACAGTCACACAACTGAGCGACTTCACTTTCACTTCACTTTCATGCATTGGAGAAGGAAATGGCAACCCACTCCAGTATTCTTGCCTGGAGAATCCCAGGGACGGGGGAGCTTGGTGGGCTGCTGTCTGTGGGGTCGCACAGAGTCGGACTTGACTGAAGCATAGACAGCAGCAGCAGCAGCCTCATGGAATGAAGTAGGTGAATGTTTTATAACGAGGAACTTTTAGAAGATTGAAATTATGTGTCACATGAAACCATTTGTAAAACAGTCTGGACCTGCTGTTTGATTTGTGGGAATTTTTTTAAACTACATAGTTCATTTCCTTAATTGCTTTAACTATTTGAGATCTGGCTTGGGGTTTTGTTTTGCTTGTTTGTTAGATTTTTCCACGAATTTTCCCATTGCATCTTAATCTTCAAACTTTTTGGCATGAAGTTATTCTTAGTATTCTCTTATTTCTTTAATGTCTGTTATATCTGTCATGTCCCTCCATCAGTTTCTGATAAGTTTCCATTATGCCTTCTCTTCTGTTTTTCCTGACCCATCTCATGAGAGGTTTTTTTTTAATTCATTTATACAAAAAGTAACTTTGCTTATGTTGAACTTGTTTCCTGTTTCATTAATTATCACTTGTCATTACTCCTGTTTCTTTAAATTCTTTTTCTTTTTCTAACACCTTAATTTGAAAGCTTAGCTTGTTGAATTTCTTATAATTCCTTTAATATAAGCTAAGGTCATAAATTTCCCTGTAAGGATCCAGTTGCTCAATCCTAAAAGTATTAACATATATTATTTCCATTTTTTTCCAGTTTTATGTGTTTTTCAATTTCATTATACTTTCTTTGGAGTTGTTTAAAAATATGTTTTAAAATTTCTAAATGTATGGAGCTGTTTCTAGATTCTAGTTTTGTTAGATTGTTAATGTAATTACATTGTTCTTAGTGAATATGATCTGTACATTTCTTTATCCAATGTGGTGTATGTTTTGTTGGATTCATATATTTCAGTTGTCCTGGAAAAGTGGCTTTTATTTCTTCAAATATTGCCTGTTTTCCATCCTTGTTAAACTTTCCTTCTGGGGCTTTGGTTAGACAAATTTTTGGTCTTTTTGTTTTGTCTTCCATGTCTCTTGTGTGTGCTGTGCTAAGTTGCTACAGTCACATTTGACTCTTTGCAACCCACTGGACTGTAGCCCACCAGGCTCCTCTGTCCCTGGGATTCTACAGGCGAGAATACTGGGGTGGGTTGCCATGTTCTCCTCCAAGGAATCTTCCAACCCAGGGATTGAATCTGTGTCTCTTATACCTCCTGATTTGGGAGGCAGTTTCTTTACCATTAGCACTATCTGGGAAACCATGTCTATTAGTCTTTTTCTAATATTTTTTTCTTTCTGCTGCTTTCTGTGTGATTTTTTCCACCTCTTCCAGTTCACTAATTCTGCCTTCAGCTGTGTTTAATTCAGTATACCTTTGCCTCTGCCAGGACCTGGGACAATTTAAACTGTCTTTAGTTCAGTTCAGTTCAGTCGCTCAGTCGTGTCCAACTCTTTGCAACGCCATGGATCACAGCACACTAGGCCTCCCTGTCCATCACCAACTCCCGGAGTTTACCCAAACTCATGTCCATTGAGTCAGTGATGCCATCCAACCATCTCATCCTTTGTCGTCCCCTTCTCCTCCTCCCTTCAGTCTTCCCAGAATCAGGGTCTTTTCAAATGAGTCAGCTCTTCGCATCAGCTGTTCAAAGTATTGACCTTTCAGTTTCACTATCAGTCCTTCCAGTGAACACACAGGACTGATCTCCTTTAGGATGGACTGGTTGTATCTCCCTGATGTCCAAGGGACTCTCAAGAGTCTTCTCCAACACCACAGTTCAAAGGCATCAATTCTTTGGTGCCCAGCTTTCTTTATAGTCCAACTGTCACATCCATACATGACTACTGGAAAAACCATAGCCTTGACTAGACAGAGGCTTTGCCAACTTTGTTGGCAAAGTAATGTCTCTGCTTTTTAATATGCTAAGTTGGTCATAACTTTCCTTCCAAGGAGCAAGCATTTTTTAATTTTATGGCTGCAGTCACCATCTGCAGTGATTCTGGAGCCCCCCAAAAATAAAGTCAGCTACTGTTTCCACTGTTGCCCTATCTATTTGCTATGAAGTGATGGGACCAGATGCCATGATCTTAGTTTTCTGGAAGTTGAGCTTTAAGCCAACTTTTTAACACTCCTCTTTCACTTTCATCAAGTTCTTGTTCACTTTCTGCCCTAAGGGTGGTGTCATCTGCATATCTGAGGTTATTGATATTTCTCCCGGCAGTCTTGATTCCAGCTTGTGCTTCATCCAGCCCAACGTTTCTCATGATATACTCTGCATAAAAGTTAAATGAGCAGGGTGACAATATACAGCCTTGACGTACTCCTTTTCCTATTTGGAACCAGTCTGTTGTTCCATGTCCAGTTCTAACTGTTGCTTCCTGACCTGCACACAGATTTCTCAAGAGGCAGGTCAGGTGGTCTGGTATTCCCATCTCTTTAAGAATTCTCCACAGTTTATTGTGATCCACACAGTCAAAGACTTTGGCATAGTCAATAAAGCAGAAATAGATGTTTTTCTGGACCTCTCTTGATTTTTCGATGATCCAGTGGATGTTGGCAATGTGATCTCTGGTTCCTCTGCCTTTTCTAAAACCAGCTTGAACATCTGGAAGTTTGTGGTTCATGTATTGCTGAAGCCTGGCTTGGAGAATTTTGAGCATTACTTTATAAGCATATGAATGCAGTTGTGTAGTAGTTTGAGCATTTTTTGGCATTGGCCTTCTTTGGTATTTCTTTGGGATAAACTGTCTTTAAGAGATCTCATTTATCAGCCCTACAATGCATGGGCACAAGCTCAATTGCAGGTTCTTGTGTTGGTATTGGTGTTCCCACTCTGATTTTAGCTCATTTTTTATTTCAAGCATTTTATGTTCATTTATTTTGGGGGGTAGTGTGGGGTTGGCCTTGAAAGTCTTTCTTCAAGTCTAGCAATGCAAATTATCTTTTATCCAAAGTCTAAAGTGTATTTATAGAGGAAGGCCCTTTAGAGAGTCTAATCTGCCCTACTTATAGTAGTAAAAACCCTTAGGAATAAATTCTTACTTTGTTATATTCATCTTATTTTCTGTAAATGGACACACATGCAAACAACCCTCTGAACTAAATTCTGTTGTATTTAAACCAACTGAATGCTGCAGGATTTTTAAGAATTGTAATTTCTTAATGTCTTGCCAATACAATTTAAATATTTTTCGTGTAATCAACTGTAATCCCCCCATCTTGTTTTAGAGGAATACAAAGATACAGTGGATTTGTTTTTAACTTCCATAACTAAAAAATTCTACCCAGGTTTTATAAATGTTTTTTACTAAGGTGAGAGATAATGAACAGAACCATCTTTCTTTCTTTTTTTTTTTTTTTTTACAAAATGACAAGTCAAAAATAATTATTTGCACTTCCCTCATGGCTCAGTGGTAAAGAGTCCCCCTGCCAATGCAGGGGACTCGGATTCCATCCCTGACTGGGAAGATCCCCACATGCTGCAGAGTTACTAAAAGCCCATGTGCCACAATTATTGAGCCTGTGCCCTAGAGCTTGGCAACTAAAACTGCTGAATCCCACACGCCCTAGAGCCCATGCTTTGCAACAAGAGAAGCCACCACAATGAGAAGCCCACATCCTGCAAGTAGAGAAAAGCCCAAGCAGCAGTGAAGACCCTGCACAGCCAATAAGTAAATAAATATTCTTTTATTAAAAAAAAGACTACCAATCATAGTCTCTCTCAAAAAAGAAAAATATATATATAATTCTTTTTTAGAAACAAGAAATATCATGCAGTATTTTTCTAGCAAACACACATGAATAAGCGTTACCAGGATTTCTTAGACTACCTGGAAACCACATGCCGTAACAGCATAGGAAATTTATTCCAGTGGCACAGCAAAAGTAATTCCATTGAATTTCTGTATTGCTGCAGGAGATGAAAGCTTCACTCCATTTGATCACAAGTCAAAGAGTAGTAATCCTTTAATAAATATTTGTTAGATGAGTGAACATCAATAAAATGATGTTAATACCAGTAGTGAGAATGAATAGAAGATTAAAAAAAGGAGTACATGAAAGTGAATGAAAGAGAGTGACAAGAGGAGGTGATAAGAGATTTTATGACTGGAACTTTTGGGGAAACATTGGCTCTGCTTGTGCTTTATCAAAAGTGAATTTGTTTTATGAATCTGTGTATTTTTTTTATGATTCATTGTTATTTGGTGACTGCATTCCAGATGAAGTTTTCTAACATAAAACACTTGGATTTTTTTCTAAATCTTTGGGCCTCCTGTTTCTTTGGCCTGTTCCTTTTCTGCATAATAGAATTTAGTTTTCACAAATGCAATGTTGTAAATTTGGGGGTTTAGTAAGAGTTTCAGCTAATAGATAAAATAGGAACAACCTTAGATATCTTAGCAGAATATATTGTTTTATGAAGTATGATAGAAAGCTGGCTAAATGGTTTTCATATCTGACACTTGTAATTGCTCTTTTAACTTCAAACCACACATTATAAAAAAATAAATAAATAGGGACTTCCCAGGTGGTTCACTGCTTAAGGGCTCACATTCCAGTGCAGGGGGTGTGGGTTTGATCCTTGGTCTGGGAGCTAAAATCCCACATGCCTTGCAGCCAAAAAGCAAAAGATAAAACAGAAACAGTATTGTAATAGATTCAATAAAGACTCTAAAAATGGTCCACAGTAAAAAAATTTTTAAATAATTTTAGTAAATAAAAGCATTAGTGATCACTTATTATATATAATACCTATTTTATCTTTATATGTCAATATGTTGAATATTTATACATTGTTATATAACTTACACACTTGACATACACTTTTTCTTTTACTTTAAGGCTCTCTTCAATACTAAAAACATATGGAAGTCCTTTGAAAACACCATCAGTAGTTTATAGACAAAGGCTTTATGAATTGTTGATTTTATTATCTCCTGAAACCTATGAAGGTAAGTGCCTTACACCAAAATGTTTTACCATTTGTGGTTAATACAGTGCCTGAACAAATGGATTATATGGCAGTTACTTTGTGCTTTGTGTTCAGGAGGTTTTGGGAGTTCAGTCTTAACCCATGTGTTTACCGTTTTATAGTAAACATGGTTGTTGTTCAGTTGCTAAGTTGTGTCTGACTCTTTGGGATCCCATGGACTGCAGCACACCAGGCTTCCCTGTCCTTCACTATCTCTCAAAGTTTGCTCAAGTTCCTGTTCATTGAGTCAGTGACGCTATCTAACCATCTCATCCTCTACTGCCCCCTTCTCCTTTTGCTTTCATTCTTTCCCAGCATCAGGGTCTTTTCCAGTGAGTCAGCTCTTTGCGTCAGGTGGCCAAAGTATTGGAGCTTCAGCATCAGTACTTCCAATGAATATTCAGAGTTGATTTTCTTTAGGATTGATTGGTTTGATCTCCTTGTAGTCCAAGGGACTCTGAAAGGTCTTCTCCAGCACCCCAATTTGAAATCATCAATTTATAGTAAATAAAATACATGAAAAAAGAAGACTGTTTCATGTCCTGCTATCCTCTCTCTTCTGAGAAAAATGTCCCTAGTTTCAATGTGTGAGAGAGAATGAGTCACAAAGATTAGTCTTGATTCTACTCCAGGGTTTTCTACAGAATATATAATGCAAGTCAATTAGAAATTTGACCATTCCTATTTTCCTTCTGGACTGCATATCTGTTGTACACATTGCCTTCCATCATTCCATTCTTAACTCTGTCCAGATAGCACTTTAATCTTGAGTGGTATACCAAGGTATAATTTATTTTATAAATTTATAAAATTTTATAAATTTTATAATTTATTTTATAATGTAGGTTTTGCTTTTATTGGGCTCAAGATGACTTCAGAATACTTGAATACTGCATTTGGTTAAAAAAAAAGCTTGCCCTTATTTTGCAATTAGTTCTATATCCTTTCTTGTAAATTTCAAATGCAGTTTTAAGAAAATGTATTGCTACTACTACTGAATAATTTAAGATGCTTGTTTCAAGAGGTGAAAGTTGAAAATGGTCTCTAATGGGAACATTTTTAAAAATTTTTTAAATTGTCAACTAACCATATTAAGTTAATATTACTTCAAATCTATTCCTTTTGGGGAGTTCCCTGGTTGGGCTAGTAATTAGGATTTCAGGCTTTCTCTGCAGCCCGGTTTCTATCCCTGGTCAGGGAACTGAGATCCCACAAACCACTTGGCATGGCTGGAAAAAGAAAAGAATTTATATAAACTTTTCATCATGGTTGTCCAACAAAAGCAGAATTTTGTCACAATAGTTGCTTAATTTTCTTAAGTTTATGGAACAAAACTTGGGTTCCTAATTTTTATTTCCTTAGTTTCATTATGGATCTCCATTTAAGTATTTTAATTTTCTCCACACTGAAAATTGCTCCTCATTAGCATCAGAAAGTAATGTATTTCTACAAGAGAAGCATATTTGCATTTTAAAACTGAATCATCTTTAAGAACTTTGTTCAGGGACAGTTAGGTGGCCAGCAGTTACTTTAAATGAGAAATGGAGATATGCCACTGTTTTCACATTTAGCTGTAGTACCAACATAGCTTGCATGTTATGCAACCAACAGAATTATTGTCTTGAGTATCACATACTGGTAACTTAAACTAACAGACATTCCTTTAAGCAACTCTTACTTGCTTCATTAAGCTTTTATTGATCCTTGTCCACTGTCCCCAATTCCTGTTTGTAATCTCTCCTTTCTCTAAACATCGCTAGGCCCTTTTTTCATCCTCTATGAAACTTAGTATTTCCTACCTTTGTTTTTTAGTTAACGTCTGTGTGTCTTGTGTCTTATATCTTCTTAAAGGGAGGATTGTCAACAGGGAAGTCCCTGTTTAGTAATCATTAAAACATCAAATTGGGATGGTGAAATTGTTTAAAACATCCTTAATTCTAATGATACACAATGAAATATTTATAGATGCAAGTGATATGCTTTCCAGGGATTGCTCCAAAATAGTGTGGAGGGTGATGAGATAGTCAATTGAGAGTATAGGTGAACCGAGATTAATCTCACTGGTTACGATGAGTGGCAGTCATTTGCTGGGGTGGTGGGGAGTTAGGGTGCAATCCTGCTAATGTTATGCCTGCGTTGTCTGCCTTTGTTACTTTTTTCTTTCTGTTTTTATGCTCCATGTCATTGTATTTAAAATGATGGTAGTAGTATTTATTTAGTGTATAAAGTATACATACACAGATACATTGAGATGTCTGTTCTTATCCTTGTGATCAGCAACACATAGTTGAGCTTTTCATCCGTAGGGCATTTCTCAGGGAGGAGAACAGATTAAATAGACTGTGATAGATTAAAGTTAGCTGGTAATGTAGATTAAAGTTCAACCTGGGCTCTTTAAACCCCGTTCTCAGACCTATTAACTGCTATTGCTGATTTTTTTGGCTAATATTGCTGATTGCTCTTTTTCTGTGACTTAATAGGAAACCTCAGTGCAATCTTCAAGGAGCTGGCTGCTGACCTGACTGCCCCTGATATCCAGGTGGCAGCATCCACATTTTTACTCCCACCCCTCTGTCATCAAGATGATCTTCTAATATTAAGTCCTTTGCTGCAAGAGACTGACCATAGATTTATTGAAGAACAGGTATGGTCATTTTCCAGTAACTCTTGGATTGATTCAACTTTGAACAGGGGTTTCATTGGTTTTTGTTGTGGGTTTTTTTTAATTGGCAGTACTGCACAGCAAGTGGGATCCTACTTACCCAGCCAGGGCACAGAGTGCCAAGCACTGGACCACAGGGAGTCCTGAAGAGTTGTTTAAACCTAACATGCATTTTTTCTTCTTTCAGCTCCTGCTTGGTAGTGGTATTGCTTGTGGAAGTCTCGAGTATGACCCTTACTCTATTTACGAGAAAGATGTAGAGGGAGATTCGGTGCCTAAGCCCTTACCTCCAACGCTGTCAGTCACTCGCTCTGCAGTCAAGCTGTTTGGAGTTGTGTGTGCTCATGTGGGAGAAGCCCAAAGGTAAACCGTCTTCAGAGGTTCACTCATCCTGAAATGTGTTTTAGGTTTGGTAATTTGTTCAGTGAATGCGTAATAGAGTGGTAAAAAGGAGGCTGTCAGAGTTCTCATTAATATAAAAGACTTCTTATAGATGACAGGTGAAGGTGAGATTAAAGGCTCTTGTTTAATTATTCAGTTGGCTAAATATTTAATAAGAAGTAATGAAGTCAGTGATTAGATTAAACTGAAAACCTGCTAGGCACTATCGTGGATGCCCTGCTTTTCCCATATTAACTTCTCATCTAGCTGAAAATATGAATATAAAACTCAGTGACACAAAAACTGATTTATGAGCCAGTGTTGCAAAAGGAAACACTGGTTGTCTGAATAGACAAGATCTCATACTATAGGTTCCAGGCTTAGTCCTTAGTTTAGTGGATTTCAAAAATTAGATTAAAATAGAGTAGTCTTCAGTTTGGTGGATTCACTTCACTTGAAATGAATTTTGGTTTTTAAAAATTATAAAAGACTGCTAATGATTTCTCATTGAGGGTAATAGGGTAATATCTTTCTTGAGGATCAAAAACCACTACTCATGTCTAGAGTATCCAGGAAATTCTGTTTTTATCTGAGATACTGAATAGGAACTGAATCTTTCCCATAGACTGTGCTGGTTAACAATTTGCAAAATATTAATTATCCTCATTCATTCATGTTCATTCTCTTTGTTTCTTTTATGCTAGACCAGCAACAATGCTAGACCATAGCTTTTATATAATTTTATCAGTTATGTCTTCCAGAGAATACCAGTTAGGTAAGGAATTTACTTTGGTCTCTTTGATGAAGAATCACAGAAATATTTGAGTCTTGTCAGCAACACATTTCTGAAACAGGCTTTTGGATAGTCTACTTTCAGTGGATAGAAAATAAATAACATTTATGTTGATTTTTAATAACTTCATGTTGTTCTATTTTAACTGATAATAGTACTTATTCAGTATCATGGTATATGCATATTTTGAGATTAATTTCAAAAGATGATTTGAAATTTGTAGCCTATAGTTCACTGTATACTATAACTATAAAGTTATGGTTATACTTAAAACAATATGTGACTAAATAATAAATGAATGCTGTAGCACTAAAAGATGAGAGGAAAATCACCGTGGTCTGGAATTTTTAAAGAATTACTGATGGAGAGAAGATTTGAACTAGTCTGTGACTGTATTGTTATATAGTGCATACAGTTAATTTAAAATCTTAATTTGGATTAATACAGCAATAACTGCAGCCTTGTGGGTAAAAGATTTAAATTAAGCATGTTCCTGAAAGACTCTGTTAAGCTCTTTGATAGGTCTCAGATTAAAAATGGGGGAAAAAAGCATACTTCTTACAAGCTTTCCTTTTAAAAAATTGGTTTTATTGCTCTCCTAGAGAAGGTGATTTTCTTTTTGATTTTACCCAGGTTTATTGCCCAGTTACAGTTTCAAGGAAATGGTTTCTTATTTCTGTTTTTTGCAGTTTAATGAACTTTAAAATGTGCCACGTTTCTTTTTATCCCACTTGGATAAAAATAACATATAGAATGAATATTCAGGGGAGGAGAGGTTTTGCTTGTCTTAATGAATATGTTGCAACCTGGTAAAGCAAAGCATATTCTCTTTGAAGTCTAACTGAATAAAAATAGTAGGCGGTAGTTTTGAGAGTTTTAAAGGAAGTGGTCTGGCAGGATCCTACATTTAGCAGCTATTAGCAATCTCCAGTGGATGCCCTTAGAGCACCACAGAGAAACAGAGGTAGCAAAGTTGAGCTTCTAGTTTCCTGTTATCCCAGAGATGTTACTTGTTTACAAGGCAGACCCTTCTCTGGGCCATAGATTTGCATCTCTAGAAAAGAAAGGTCTTAAAGTACCTGTATTCAACAGGTGAATGTTTTCAAGTGTTTTGTTGTTTTTGTGGTTATCTTTGTGTTTAAACAGTTTAAAAGAAACTCATAACATGAGGTTATCCTAAAATTAGAAATGGGTTTTTACTACTTTATTTATGCATTTAGAAATTAAATTATCTTTAAATCATTGATTATTTTGACTATAGGATTCTAAAACTAAGAAAACTTTGCATTGATAATTTTAAAGCACTAAAATGTTTAAAGCTCTGCAATATCAAGATATTTTATACAGAGAAGAAATTTTTACTGATCATATACATGTGTTACTTCCCAATATATTTGCACCTAGTTACAAAGAATGAATTACTTAATTCATGAATTAAGTACCTTGACTGTACATTGCAGTCATTTGAATAATTTTTTAAAACTTTTTAAAATGTAGGTTCTGATTTAATAGTAATGGTATGCATACTACATTGGACATTAAAATTTTTTAAACACCTTAGGTGATTCTGGCATGCAGAGAACAGTGCTAAAAATGCTATGAAGTAACATAGAGTGTAAATTGATGGAGAGAGAAGAAAAGCATAGTTATAGCTCTCAGTAGTAAAAATTTTCCCCATTATACACCCTCTCTGAATGTATAAGAAAGGTAAATCAGCATTTTCAATATTTATGTCTTTCCTGTTTACTTAATTACTTGTATGTTTTCATTTCATCCAGTCTCAAAAGTTTTATTATCTAACTTTGTTCTGAACTAATCAGTTCAGTTCAGTCTCTCAGTTGTGTCCAACTCTTTGCAACCCCATGGACTGCAGCATGCCAGGCTTCCCTGTCCACCACCAACTCCTGGAGCTTGTTCAAACTCATGTCCATTGAGTCGGTGATGCCATTCAACCATCTCATCCTTTGTCATCCCCTTCTCTTCCTGCCTTCAATCTTTCCCAGCATCAGGGTCTTTTCAAATGAGTCAGTTCTTCATATCAGGTGACCAAAGTATTGGAGCTTCAGCTTCAGCACCAGCTAATTTTATTAATTATATTAATATGAACTAATAATTATGTAATTGATACTACTTAGGAATACAAATTCAGTATTACTAAAAAGTGATCATCTCCATCTTCCTGAAGAGTCAGAATGTTTTCTTGTTATCTGTGTCAGAATATGGGAATAAAGGATGGAGAAAAAAGTTTGGGCTCTGGTAGTCTCATTTAGGGTCTTTGGCCTATGAATGTGGGCACGAAAATAGTACAGGTCAGATTTTATTACAGTATAATAAAATTCTCAAGCTCTAATCTTAAGTAATTTTTAGGACTTTCAACATGACAGTTTCATTATAACAGGTGACTATGATATGGTCTAATAATGATGTTTTAGGTTTTAAATTCATAAGCCTGACCATATAGTTACCCTTAATTTTTCTTCCCGCAGGGGAGTTTGGTTATAAATATTTTCTTGAAGCAAAGTGACTTAAATATGGTCTTGGAAAACAGAAAATTTTTATATGATACATTTATTGTGTTATTTATAATAAAAACTAGAAATGGCCTAAATATTCCAAACTAGAGAATTAGTTAATTAATTCTAATAGCAATTTAAAATTATTTCAGTTTGTGTGGAATTGGAAAAATACAACAAACTAGTTAATATACAATGAAAGAGAAGCAGACGCACAGATACAGAGAACAAAACTAGTTACCAGTGGGGAGCGGGGAGGGGGCGGGGGAGAGCAATGTGGGGTACAAAACTGAGGGGCACAAACTGTCATGTATGAAATAAGCTACAAGAATATACTGTACAATGTAGGGAATATAGTTTTAAAATAACTATAAATGGAATATAATCTTTAAAAATTGTGAATCACTATATCACATACTTGTGACTTACACAATATTGTACATCAGTTATACTTGAATTAGAAACAAAATCACAGGAGGTCAAGATAAAAAAACAGAAAAATAAAGTTATTTCAGTACAGTAGTTAATAAGGTGGGATTAATGCTTAGGGAAATAAAAAAGTTACTAACAAAGTATGTACACTGTGAAACCAATTTTTAAAAAATGATCCATAAATCTGGAGAGACTAGACCAAAGATGTCAAAATAAGGATTTCTAAATGGTGGGATTTTGGGTGAATTTTATTTTTCTTTCCTGTGCTTTTCTGGTTTTTGTTTATTGTGATGAACTGAATCAACCTTAAAATAAGAAGTAAATCTTTAAATAAATAGACTAAAGAGTTACTATGATTTTCCCTAAATTTTTAGTGATTCACTATGTTTATTCTCTGAATTGATTATATGTATATTATTTTCCTAAAGTCATATAGTGTAACCTCACGTACCTTCCTTTTTTTTCTAACTTAACTTCTTCCACAACTGAGTTTATTTCAAAAAAACATAAGTTCCATATCTATTCTGTTTTGATAACAGAATTATCCTTTGGAGCAGAACTGTGTTTGGGCCTTTGGGGTTCAACAGAATGATAGAGATTTAGTTAAGGGCTTTAGAAATATTCTTGGAAGCACAGTAGAGTTGAGTAAAAGTATACCCACATGCCATCTTCAGCCAGTCATGCCTGTTTCACTCACTGGGTGCACCCGTCCTTTATGATTGTTCAGTGAGCACATTTGACTGCTGACTACATGCCAAACCCAGACACAGGAGAGATGAAGCTAGAATATAAGGTCTCTGACTGCCATCAAGATGTTCACGACTAAAAAACTAAATTTAAATATTATTTTACTTCCTGATTTAAAGGGAGAGAAGGAGAGAAAGGAAATTCAGAGCTCTGAAGCAATGTTTATAAACAGAATAATTGGTGGGGAGAAAAGGGGGTGATTTATTTCATGGTTAACATAACTTTAATCTCATCAAATGGATTTAAAAACTCCTGTGTTATGAGAACATGAAAAACAACTCACATTGTTTTTTAATACATTAAAACCTAACGAGCACATTCAACCCCAGACCAAAAGTGATATGCACATTCATTATAGGTGGAATTGTAGAATTGTGAAAATAAGAATATTACTCTGCACTAGTAGGAGAATGGTTGAATAAACTGTAGAATGTGTATAGTAAAATTTGGCTTCCTGAAAATTATCTAAGAATAAAAATGATTTGAAAAGTGATAAAGTGGTAATGTTAATGAGAAAAGCAAGTGTAAAAACTGTGTTATATATAGTATGATCCCCACGTACATGTTTAAGGTATAGCTGGGGTTCAAAAGGTTGTGCTTCTTCTCATTAACTGAACTCCATGATGCCTTTAAAATGAAGCAATGTATTTGAATCCAATAAGTCCTGTTACTAAGAACAAAAATGTTGATGCAGGTAACTTTTAAAATACCCTTTTTTAGAAAATAGTTGCTGAAATAGCCAAATTTGCCCAGGTAAATCTACATTAAGTGATACATGTTATTTATTTTTTACAAAATATGTACCTCCCTCAGTGCAATGGCACATAGTCAAAATACTTTTGCATTGGTTATATTTTCATTTCCCAAAAGGCTTCAGTGTATTTGACAACAGTTTATCTCATTTTAGTAGCTCCAATAAAATGCAACCAAACAAATTAGTAGTGGATACTTAATTTTACTGCCCTTTGACTTAATTTATCTTTAAATCTTGTTTCTGATTTTAGGCTTCTTGTGCTGGAACAGCTTTTGGACAGTATAAAGCATACAAAAGGAGCCCGTCAACAAGTAGTTCAGTTACATGTCGTTTCTTCAGTTGCTAGTTTCTTGAAGGTAATTCTATTTTTTTTAAATTCCCGTTTACTTGATTTTCTTTTTTTCCCGTAATATGTGGCCAACTAACTAGGTTGAGGGAAGGTGTTTTTAAATTTTTCTTGATGTTTCAGGATTTGTACTTCCCCTTTTACTTTTTCTCCATATAAAATTTGGTCAGAAGTCAAACCTATAATACTATTTTAGAAACATGCTTAAACCTACCAAGCCTAATATCGCAGACCTGGGATTGGCAGATTATGGCCTATGGACCAAATCTGGCTCATTGTCGCATTTGTGACTTATTGTTTCTAAGTGAAATAGGCTTCATTGGTCATTTATTTTATGGAAATCCCTATTAATGTTCTTTGAACATAAATGTAGTAGTGATAATTGATCACTATATTGTTTCCCTGGAGGCTTAAAATTCTAAAGTACTTCGTGAGAAAAAGTAAATTATATTTGTATGTTCAGTGTGTATTTCTGGTGTTTTGATTTTTTTTAAGTAGTAGTCACCGAATATGAACATATTTGGTTAACCAGAATATACATTCCAAACTGGATAAGAGAATTTACTACAGTTGTAAGTTTGGATTGTTTTTTACATATTTCAGTATGTGGCTGGCTCTAAGGGACATATTGGTCCAGAAGAAGTGAGAAGACCTGTCCTTGCACTGGTGATGGGAGCCTTGGAAAGTCCCAACCCCCTCTTGAGATGTGCAGCTGCAGAGGCATGGGCTAGATTAGCCCAAGTAGTTGACGATGGAGCTTTTACTGGTGCATTAGCTCAAGTTAGCTTTGACAAGTAAGTGAATTTCTTACTTAGTATTCATGAGATATGTGTCAAAACTGGGTATAGCTGGTTGGAACTTACGAAACTTCTGATTATAACTTTAAAAAGCTGAGAGAGGTGTATTTTGTTGTTGTTCAGTCGCTCAGTCATGTCCGACTCTTTGTGACCCCATGGACTGCAGCACTCCAGGCTTCCCTGTCCTTCACTGTATCCCCGAGCTTGCTCAGACTGTTGTCCATAGAGTCGGAGATGCCATCCATCCATCTCATCCTGTGTCATCCCCTTCTCTTGCCTTCAATTTTTCCCAGCGTTTGGGTCTTTTCTAATGATTCAACTCTTCACATCAGGTGGCCAAAGTATTGAAGCTTCCTTCAGCTTCAGCATCAGTTCTTCCAATGAGTATTCAGTGTTGATTTCCTTTAAGATTGACTGCTTTGACCTCCTTGCAGTCCAAGGGACTCTGAAGAATCTTCTCCAACACCACATTTCAAAAGCATCAACTAGGATTAGGGTTAGGGTTAAAGTGGAACCCACCCCCACCCCCGCTGCCTTGGACTGCTTGTCTTGGAACATAAAACTATAACTAATATTTTTACTTTGGTTTTTGTTTTTATATGAGAAAGATCACTGTCTATATGAGTGATGTAATAGGCCACCAGTAGACTCTGGGAGTAAGAAACTTAGGGAGTTTCATCATATAAAATATCGGTGATAGGTAGTAAAACAATCTCCTGAAAAGAAAAAAGGCTGCAGATCAGGAAACATAAACTATATGTTCATTCCTACCAGCTTTGTAACCATGAGCTGGTTGCTTAACCTCTTAACCAGTTTTTCTCTATTTCAAATAGAAGTTTATTAATGATGCCCTGCCTGCTAAGAATGTTAAGGTGAATGAGAAAATAAATATGAAAGTAGTATGAAAAAATAAAACTGCAAATGCTCATGGTTATATTAGTTACATGTGTATATAAAGTTAGTAGCCATGATAGTAATGCAGAAGGCACTTTGACCTTCTAGTCTCCTGAGTATGTCTTGATTTGGTTATGAACTCTATATCTCTTGTCAGATTGCTAACTTGGTTCAAATCCCAACCCTTCCATTTAATAGTTGGTTACTTTGTAAGAGTTCTTTGGCCAAAATGACTCAGTCATTTTGATTTCCTCATTTGTAAAAAGGAATTGATAATAGTACGAATCTCACGATTCCTGAGAGGATTAAAGGACCAAATATAAAGCATGTAAACTAGAATACAATGAAAACTCCTGATGAATAATGAGTTCTCTTACTATATTCAATTTTTAAATCAAAGTTCTTGAGCTGGAACTCTATATGGAATTAGTATCTCCGCAATGAGAGTTTTTAAAAGATAACTTAATGATAAGGTAATAATGCATGCCATATAAATTTAGTGTATATTTCTGAAAGACATTGAAATTGTTTATATTTAAATTATTAATAATGTGACGACATCTAAAATTTTTTAAATTTATTTTTTCTTGGCTGTGCTGGTTCTTCGTTGCGGGCTTTCTCTAGCTGTGGCGAGCAGGGGCTACTCTGTAGATGTGATGTGTGGTTTTCTCATTGCGGTGGCTTCTCTTGTTGCAGAGCATGGGTTCTAGGGTGTGTGGGACTCAGTATTTGCAGCACATATGTGAAGACATTTTTATTTAAAATAGTTCTCTTTTCAAGGTACCTTTCAAGTTATTTCAGAATTTTTTGTATCAGTTAACTGAAAATATATTTCTGAATTTTGTAGCTCTTCATATAAAAGGTTTCCCTAAATGACTGTGCATGCATTGGTTTATTTCAGTAATTATCATTTATTTTTGTTTCCATAATCACAGACTGAAATCAGCAAGGGATGCGGTTACCAGAACAGGACACTCATTGGCTTTGGGATCCCTACATAGGTACTTAGGAGGAATAAGTTCTCAACATTTGAATTCTTGTGTTGGAATCCTTTATACTTTGTCTCAGGACAGCACCTCACCTGATGTGCAGGTGAGTACCCCATGTGATACCTTCCTTGAAATTCTTGATTTGTAGATAATGCATATTATGTTGTATTGACCATTACTAATTTGTATAATCATTCTTGCTAAATAATAAAATCAAAACCATTGTTAACCTCAGTGGATTTTTAAAATTCACATATCACTATCTTTACTTCATACTCAGTATCTAAAGTCAAATTCAATATCATTTTCTGAAAATGGATCTGCCTTCTATCTTAAAATAACATCTACTATTTTGTGGAACTTAACAGGCACCAGGCATTGTATTACATTTTTCTAAACATATTAATGTATTTAATCTTCACAGTTATCTAGGATGTATATTCCCATTATATAGAAAGAAACTGAGGCTTATGGAACCTAAGTAACTTGCTCACACTTAGAACCACTAATATATCATGGAGTCAGGTGAAGAACATAAGTCATGGACTTTAAACTTATGTTCTTAACCACTTTACCATATTATTATACTTAACTTATTAATTTCTGCCAGTCCTCATTCTCCTGAGATCTTAATCACATCTTGAATGATTGTGCTTCTTGCTCTTCTGGTCCCCTTATTATATCTCTGTCCCCCATGTGTGACCCTAATTACTATAGTAGCCTCCTATCTGGTCACTTTATTTTTAGGTTCTTTACAATTCTACCTAGATATGAAGCCAGAAGTGTTTGCCTGGAAAATTTTCATCTTGCCACTTCCCAACCAAAAAGCTGGGGATACTGCTTATTGCTTCTTCAATCAACTCCTCACTGAAGTCCCATCAGCTGACCCAGAAGCTTTCTTGGTTTATTAACCCAAAGTACTGATCTTCTCCTAAGATGATCTTCCTGCTTTCCTCCCACATGGCATTCTCGTATCTGCACTTGGGTTTTTCCTATTGCTCGTCTCTCTTTCTATTCCTATCTTATAATCCACATTTTTTAGTATTGTAAGATCCAGTTTAACCACCACCTTGTCAAACTTCAGTATCTAACATGGGTGTCATTCTTTGAATTACCATATTACTAAGAGTATTTTTCACATCATCTGTTACTTGAGTTGATTTATAAGGTATTCCATCCTTTCTTCATTCCTTAATACAGTACTTTTTGCTTCTATTTATTATATTTCTCCTTTCCCCCTTCAAAAAGTCTGTTCTGAACAGACTCCTTTTTTATTGAGTCTCTTTTGTTGATTAATTTAGATTTTTCTTTCTGTGGCATCCAGTGTCATCAGTCTGACTCTTCTTGATTGCTGCCATTTCTCACCTAATGGGAGCTCATCTTTGTACCATTTTAAAATACTGTAAGTTTTTCTTACATATTTGTTGATAACAGGAGTAAAACTTTCTTAGTTGATTTCCTAAAGGGAGACGTTTTAGATACTTCTTGTTATAGGAAGTTCAAGCATACATAAAAGTAGAGAACATGCTGTAAGGAACCTATTAAACTCACCATCCAACTTCACTGATTATCAGTGATTATTAGTTTTGTCTGCTTTTATACTTTATGTCAATGGAACCATACAGTACATACTTTTTTATGTTTGGCTTTCTTCAATATTGTGTTCCGAGAGATTTGTATTATTTCATGTAGTTGAGATATTGTTGAATCTTTTGAAAATTTGAATTTTCATTCTCTGTATAGATTAAGCAGTAAACAGTTTTCAACACACTAGATTTAGTTCAAGCCGTTAGCTAAAGAACCAAACATGATCCTGGAATTCTCAGTTCTGAGATATATCCACATGTGTGCATGCTAGCTAAGTCACTTCAGTTGTGTCTGACTCTTTGAGACGCGATTCTCCAGACATGAATACTGAAGTGGGTTGCCATGCCTTCCTTCAGGGTAGCTTCCTGGCCCAGGGATCGAACCCTCATCTCTTATGTCTCCTGCATTGGCAGTCAGATTCTTTACCACTAGCGCCATCTGGGAAGCCCCTATGTATGCCATTCTGAATTGGACATTTGTCTCTCGGTTGTTTTTTTACTGGTATTTAAATTTTTTTCTTCAACTCCTGAAGTTCCTTGTTTCTCTCTCAAAGTTAGTAATAACACACACTTGACTGTGATACTTACTTTATCGCTCATTTCAATAAAAGAACAGTTCGTAGTGTTTTGTGTTTCTTAATGCTGCTATAACATTTTTAACTGTTTTTCTCTGTCTTCACAGACCTGGGCACTGCATTCTCTCTCACTGATAATTGATTCTGCCGGCCCACTCTATTATACACATGCAGAACCAACCCTTTCTCTTATTATAATGTTGCTGTTAAATGTGCCTCCTACTCATGCTGAAGTTCACCAAAGTCTAGGTCGCTGTTTGAATGCCCTTATTACTACATTGGGTCCAGAGCTACAAGGTATGCGTGGCTGCTTTTGTGTTATTTTACATTAAAATATATGCATAAAAATGAAAACAGTTCCTCTCATTGACTCAAACACTTCTCAATAAAGTGAAGTTTAACAGAATGTTCTTTTCAAAAATATGGGCAGAATATTGAGAATAATCTTGGGAAGACTGACTTCTGAGTGATGACATAATAGAAAAAAAAAATAGAAATTTAAGCTTCACTAACCATTAGTTAATTGGATGACTTGGGGAAAATTCTTATGTCTCTAAACTTTAGTTTCCTCTTCTATCAAATAAGAGTTGCAAAACCCCTGTAACTGACACATGGTAAGTGCTCAGTATATTTTGTTAAAAGAAATGCCAATCAGTCTGATTTCTCTTATTTTGAAAAGATGAGGACCATATTTAGAAAGATAATGTCTTAAAAATACTTCCCTTAACAAGTTAAATGACAAACATAAAATGGAATAGTTTAAAAACCTCTTATCTCTCATAAGATATGAATGGCTAAGCCTCAAAACTCAGTTATTCTGATCTATTCAAATGCAAAATACATGATTTTAATATATAAAAGCAACCTTCAGCTAATACAAGCAGGGTTATTATTAGCAATTTCTAACTCTACTTTCCATGAAAATTTGATGTAAATTGCAGTCTTAGGTTCTTCTTTGCCTAATTATTTGTGTTGCCATAAACCTTTCAGACTAAAAATAACTAACATTATCTAAAAACTTACAACCTGGATTATCTCTCCTTCTGTAGAAGAAATTTACTTCACAGAACCTCAAGTTTAAAATTAGAGGAGATATAAGAAATTTTATGCCCAGTAATATGTGTTTCAAGGGTAGTGATTTTATAGGCCAATTAAAAGCTTTCTGCTTTCATCTTAGGTAACAGCACTTCTGTTTCTACCCTAAGAAGTTCCTGTCTATTGGGTTGCGCAGTGATGCAAGATAACCCAGACTGCCTTGTCCAAGCTCAGGCCATCTCTTGCCTTCAGCAGCTTCATATGTTTGCTCCACGACATGTCAACTTGTCTAGCCTGGTCAGCTGTCTCTGTGTGAGTATAAAATTGCATATGTCCTTAGTTTCTTTTATTGGAAATTTAAATTTATTTCAGTTAATCTCTAGACCATATACAATAGCTATTTTCCCTCAATTTTAGTCTTATTTTGGGAGGGTGCAGGGTAGCTTCATATAATCATATCTTAAACTGCTCATATATTTAATTCACTTTTCCTTCCGTTAATGTTAAACTTAGTATTTGGAATATTGATCCATTAATCAGTAAAGATATACTGAGTGCTAACATCCCAGGTACTGTCTAAATGCTGTAGGACGTGGAAATATTTATATGGTAATAGCAATTTTTTCCCTACTTCTTTTTACTCTTTTCCAAACTATTACATATGAAGTTGTTTTAATCCCAGATGAAATATTTTTCCTAAATATTCTAGCAGCATATGCTTCAATCTGGGTTCTAACATTGAGTCTAATGAACATAGAAGGTGAAGGTGATCAATAAAAAGTTCTAATTAGGTGGTTCATGATCATCAGTGGTTTTAATATTTACTGTGAGCATCACCAGTTTCTAGCTGGACTTGCCTGAAAAAGTTACAGTTGGAGTTAAAACTTAAGACCATTGATTTCCAACTTTTCCTGCCCCTGTGATGTTCACAGCACCCTCCCCCTAGTAACATGATAGTTGAGAATCATCACTGTGGACAAGACCTTTCATTTTCAAAATTGAGACAAAATATGCATCATTTCAGACCGTGAAAGAACCTCAAACATTATTAAAATCAACCTTCTCAATAAAAATATAAAGAGCAAAAAATGAAATATTTTGACCAAGGTATTATCTAGGTATTAGTAGCCTTAAGTCTAAAACCAGCTTTCTGAACTTCTCCAGTCCTCTTTTCATTATTTCATGTTGATTTGGTAGTTATGGATACCTCTTAACTCTGCCCCCTCCTAGCTCTGTGGTCTTAGGGATGTCCCATAACCTCCCCCAGCCTCATCTATCCTGTCTGTAAAACACAAGGATTGCACAAGATGCCACCTGTAAAGGCATGTGTCCTCGGCACTTAATAACCACTCAGTAAATTGTAGTTGTTTTTATTTTCTTAACATATAACTTAGATATAGAATTTTATTTATCTTCATATTGATTTTCATAGTCATAATTATGTAAGACTCTTAAGGAGAGAAGATGACTAACTTTCCTGATAGAAACTTCGGTTTCTGTATGTAAGACTCTTAAGGAGAGAAGATGACTAACTTTCCTGATAGAAACTTCAGTTTCTGTCTGCATTAAACATGTATTAGAGAATATAGCACCTCCTAGAAAAGAATTTTACCTTTATCATTCAGCGACTTTTCCCAGGAATATTGCTCTTTATATTTGAAGAACCATTGCCAGTACTAACTATTGAAAGATAACCCACTCCTCTGCAAGTTGACCTAACTTTCTGCTCTCCATTTAAATATATCAATACTACCATTTTTTTCTTCTTGAATCATAGTAGAAAATTTCCATTAATAACCATTTAAGATTTCTTCTTTAATACATGAATTCATTCATTAAGTAGAGTTTATTGAGAAATAATGGAGAAGGAAATGGCAACCCACTCCAGTGTTCTTGCCTGGAGAATCCCAGGGACGGGGGAGCCTGGTGGGCTGCCGTCTGTGGGGTCGCACAGAGTCGGACACGACTGAAGTGACTTAGCATTGAGAAATAAAGAGCACAACTACTAATTCCTGATGAATTAATTCTGATCGCATTCATTACTCTTTTATTTTCCCAGACTGAGGAGGTTATACGCAAAGAATAGAGACTGTTCTCAGATTTTTTCTTTTAGGTACATTTAGAGCCACTGAGAAAATCAGAAGTAACAGTTACAAATCTTATTCATGTTACTCATAATACTTAAGCTATAAAATGATTTTTTTAATACAGAAATTAAATTAAAAAATTGCTGTCACTATAGTGTGTTAATTTTGGAACTTAAAATTTTGGTTAGTAAAACTTTTATCCTAAATTTATTATATTTTAAAGTATGCCCTATAATAAGAAAATTGCTTCTGCTTTCCTATTAACAAGTTTATGTTCAGGTTTTCTTTTCTTCATAGAAATTAATTATTTAGCACGATGTGTTCTCATATTAACTGAAACTCTCTGAATATTCAGAATACATTTAATCATTAGGAAAGAATCTTACTATAAAGGATTTTCTTCTAACTGCATGCTATTTAACGTCCATTCTGAACTTGGCCTTAGCTACACTTGCAATTCTGACTACTCACAGTTTTAAAACTTGGCTTCTAAGAGTAAAAAAATCTGATTAACTCATGATGAGGTAAACAATTAACTTTGTCTCTTATGGGACACCTGTTCATGTGAAGGTAATCCAGATCACTCCTTTCCACTTATGTCTACTTGATCTGGTTTTGTTACTAAGGCTTGATGAAAGATTCCAAAGGAAAACCTAATTACACAAATGTGCATTTTAAAACTACTGTATTTTTGTATATCTTTACATCTTGAGTTGACCGTTTTTAAAATCTTAGCTCAACTCATGTTTTAAGTTGGAAAATGAAGTATTTGTGGCATATTTTTAAAGCTGAAGCTAAGCCAATTTGAATGATAGCTCTATCAACATGTATATTTTAATGCTTAGCTGACTGTTGTCAGAGTCATCCTAGTGTTTATCTTTTGGTTTTTGTCATGACCAGTCTGTCATTTGTTTTTGTGCAGGAGATCTTGTTGGATAATTCTGTGTTGGTAGGTCCCTGACCCTCGATTCTTAACTTTATTTGAGGTTTGCAGTGCTATTTGTTTGTGTCCCCCACCACTTCTTTGGTTGTAGATGTTCTTGTTTTCCTCTGCATCTCTCTGTTTAAGCTAACCATTAATGCAAAGTCTAGTGTGTGTAGCATGTTACATGGTGTTTATTTAATACCAATGTAAACAAATCCTCCCTAACCTTCTCCAGCTGGTGCACTCACTCTTTGCACTTAATTTTGCATCATTTTGATTTAATATATTCATTTCAGAATTGTACTTATAGTTTGATTTTAATTTCTGTATTTTGCCTGCTTGATTGTTTGCCTTAATCTACTCTGTTCCTCTTCCCAATATAAATGCTGGAGAATGACATGGAGATATTAAGCGTCCCATTTTGTTTTGTGTGACAGTCTTTAATATTTTTTCTACCGAAAAAGTAAAGAATACTTTTGAGCATGCTTTTGCTAAAAGATTATATGATCAGCTTGAATAAATGCTGCACCTGCCTTGTATTATATGCTTGTATGTGCTCCAGTTAATATAGCTAGTAGATTCATCTTTTCTTTAAAATTGTCTTTAGAGTGCTTCTTTGCTACTGTTGTTAAATACAGCTGTAATCTTGGGCATGAATAAACTTAATTTTTTTTTACATTTTAACTTCTCTGTTATCCTGTGTACCAGTTTCTAACAGCAGAGTTCTTAAACATGACTAGAATGACATAACCTTGACACTTTGTGAATGACATTCCTGTCTTCCCACTGTTCATGACATGTACTTGAGAGTATAATAGAACATATTTATAAAGCAGATCTCATCCATATATTTCACTGATGATATATTTACAAACCTTGTCTTTTAGCTCATGATAAAATTAAGGATTTAGCTCTCTTTGCATAGGTCATGTTTCAGAAACCACCTGCCACTACCTACTCTTTCTCAGAAGTTTGCCTCTTCCCTTTTCAGCAAACTCATCTACTTCACTCCTGTCTTTCCCACATAAACCATATCTAAAGGCACTTATAAGAATTATGCCATTATTTCTCAAATGCTGCTTGGAAAATCACTATTGAAGATATTTATTGTCATAAGCCACACCAAACTGGTCTTTATTTTCATAGTTGGAATGAAATAAATTTGAAAATCTCTAGGCTTTATTCTACTTATGAAATCACCTTTGACTTGTTTTCATTACTCATTTAAGGTATATCACCATTCATATTATCATTTACCCTCGGTAGATGCAGTTTATTGAGATTTACATTGTTTAAATACTTCTCAGTAAAAAGAATATGTATTGAGTCTGTCATTAGAGCAGAAATGTTCTCTATCATGAAAATATTTAGATATCTGTGTACATATATGTATATCCAGACATAAGTAGATATGCTTGAAAAAATTTGCTATCTATAAAAATTTGCTGTCTCTAGAGAGCACTTTTAGTGAATGTGTTTTCTGAGTTAAGAAATTTTATTTGAAAATGCGTTTACTTACTCTCTATGGCATCTGCATAAACTATGATTGATACAGGCTGCATTAATACTAGCTAACATTTACTGAGCATGCTTCCTACTTGCCAGGTACTGTGCTAAGCACCTATGCATGTTTCTTTGTGTTGACTTTACAGCAGCCCTGGGAGATAGGGCTAGTGCTATTTTCATATAACCAATGAGGAAGCTAAGGCACAGAGAGTTTAAATAACTTGCCCATGGTTACACAGCTAGTAAGGCATGGATATAGGACTCAAACTGAGACAGATTGACTCTAGAGCCTCCGTTTTAATCACTATGCTACAGTGCTCATACATATTTATATAAACTTATACTTGGAGATTCATAAAACGTAATAGTATATAGTTCCATGAGCACGTAATAGTATATAGTTCCACTTAAAACATAATAGTATATGGTTCCATGAGCACTTGTATATACAATAGTATATACAAGCTGCAAGTAAATTCTTTCTCAATGGTATCCCTTTGTCTCTCAAAACTGTTTTACTCATATACATTTTATGTATTCTAACAATATCAAGAGACTTTTGCTTGGGTTTGTTTATGAATAATGCATAATGAGTACATGTATTACTTCTTAAGCTATTTCTAAGTTATTTAGTACAAAATATGTGCTAAGAGAGTTGAAGAAACCTCTGTATATCTAATAAATAAGAGGGGTTCAGTGAGTAATCTGTTAGACTTTTTGAATGTCATGAAGAATTTCTGTTCCTTTACTTCCCAAATGGTATTTTTCAGGTGAATCTTTGTAGTCCCTATTTGTTACTGAGACGAGCAGTACTGGCTTGTTTACGTCAGCTTGTTCAGAGAGAAGCAGCTGAAGTTTCAGAGCACGCTGTTATGCTTGCTAAGAACAGCAGAGAAGAACTGACTCTGGGTAATTCTCTTTATCAATATTATCTCCAGCTCAGATGATTATTTTAATCCTAAAGCTTCTGTATAAACATGAGTTTTTAAAGGGAAATTTAAAAGTTAGTATATAATGTCTTAAACCTGCTACAAGTGATGGTTGCTAAACAGTTATTATCATTCCAACCAGTGATTTCACTGGTTTAAAGCAGTGGTTTTCAAACAGGCTTCCCACAGCAGCAACATCCAGCTCTCCTGGGAATTTGTTAGAAATGCAAGTTCTTGGGCCCCATCCCAAGTCTAAGCCAGAAATGGGGGAGTAGAGCCCAGTGATCTGTTATTTATTTTTCTCCAGTAATGGTAATATGTACTGACGTTTGAGAGCTATTGGTTTTGAATGAGTTTTTTTACAATGGATTGAAATTGCATTTAGGCCTGAAGTCATTTATCATATGTGTCTTTCTTCCCCACAAATCTAATTCAATAAAATTTCTCATAGATGAATCTGCTTCAAATTAAAGGATTTCTTTGTCGCTTCTATGTTGTAGAGCTGAATTAAAGGATTTCTTGGCCAGTAAGGTTTTAAGTGTATCTCTTCATTTGAAAATCATATAACTAACACAAACATGCATATAAATTCAGAGTATAAAAAGAGAAATGATAATGTCTTACACTTTTAAAATATATAGTTTCCAAAGTGCTCAATAAAGGACAGAAATGGTATGGACCTAACAGAAGCAGAAGATATTAAGAAGAGGTGGCAAGAATACACAGAAGAACTATACAAAAAAGATCTTCATGACCCAGATAATCACAATGGTGTGATCACTCACCTAGAGCCAGACATCCTGGAATGTGAAGTCAAGTGGGCCTTAGGAAGCATCACACGAACAAAGCTGGTGAAGGTGATGGGATTCCAACTGAGCTACTTCAAATCCTAAATATGATGCTGTGAAAGTGCTACACTCGACATGTCAGCAAATTTGGAAAACTCAGCAGTGGCCACAGGACTAGAAAAGGTCAGTTTTCATTCCAATCCCAAAGAAAGGCAATGGCAAAGAATGTTTAAACTACCGCACAATTGCACTCATCTCAAACTCTAGCAAAGTAATGCTCAAAATTCTCCAAGCCAGGCTTCAACAGTACTTGAACCGTGAACTTCCATATGTTCAAGCTGGTTTTAGAAAAGGCAGAGGAACCAGAGATCAAATTGCCAACATCCACTGGATCATCGAAAAAGCAAGAGAGTTCCAGAAAAACATCTATTTCTGCTTTATTGACTATGCCAAAGCCTTTGACTGTGTGGATCACAATAAACTGTGGAAAATTCTTCAAGAGATGGGAACACCAGACCAGGTGGTACAGGCAGGCACAGACCTACCTCCTGAGAAACCTGTATGCAGGTCAGGAAGCAACAGAACTGGACATGGAATAACACACTGGTTCCAAATAGGAAAAGGAGTACATCAAGGCTGTATATTGTCACCCTGCTTATTTAACCTATATGCAGAGTACATCATGAGAAACACTGGGCTGGAGGAAGCACAAGCTGAAATCAAGATTGCCAGGAGAAATATCAATAACCTCAGATATGCAGATGACACCACCCTTATGGCAGAAAGTGAAGAAGAACTAAACAGCCTCTCGATGAGAGTGAAAGAGGAGAGTAAAAAAGTTGGCTTATTCCCGGCGCCCGGCCGGCCCCACAAAAAAACAAAAAGAAAAAAAGTTGGCTTAAAGCTCAACATTCAGAAAACTAAGATCATGGCATCTGGTTCCATCACTTCATGGCAAATAGATGGGGAAACAGTGGAAGCAGTGGCTGACTTTATTTTTTGGGGCTCCAAAATCACTGCAGATGGTACTGTACCCATAAAATTAAAAGACACTCCTTGGAACGGAAGTTATGACCAACTTAGACAGCATATTAAAAAACAGAGACATTACTTTGTCAACAAAGGTCCAGTCTAATCAAGGCGATGGTTTTTCCACTAGTTATGTATGGATGTGAGAGTTGGGCTATGAAGAAAGCTGAGCACAGAAGAATTGATGCTTTTGAACTGTGGTGTTGGAGAAGACTCTTGAGAGTCCCGTGGGCTGCAAGGAGATCCAACCAGTCCATCGTAAAGGAAATCAGTCCTGGGTGTTCATTGGAAGGACTGATGTTGAAGCTGAAACTCCAATATTTTGGCCACCTGATGCAAAGAGCTGACTCATTTGAAAAGACCCTGAGGTTGGGAAAGATTGAATGAGGGAGGAGAAGGGGACAACAGAGGATGAGATGGTTAGATGGCATCACAGACTCAATGAACATGAGTTTGAGTAAACTCCAGGAGTTGGTGATCGACAGGGAGGCCTGGTGTGCTGGAGTCATGGGGTCGCAAAGAGTTGGACACGACTGAGCCACTGAACTGAACTGAACTGAAAGTGCTATCACATTTTGAGAAAGTCTCAGACTTCACAAAGCTGTCCAGTATCTAAAGCTCTCAGATCCATAATGTGTTTTACTGTTATTCCGTGCTCTTTTAACTGTAGCCCACCAGGCTCCTCCGTCCATGGGATTCTCCAGGCAAGAATACTGGAGTGGGTTGCCATTTCCTTCTCCAGGGAATCTTCCCGACCCAGGGAACCCACATTGCAGGCGGGTGCTTTAACCTCTGAGCCACCGTTTGATAACTCTTAACTTAGTTTTATTATTATATTAAAACCTTGGCTCTGACTTACTGTATCAGCTATTGCTGAACTTGTATACTAGTCATCAAATAGGTTGAAGAACTTGTTTGCAGATTATTCTGTGAACACTTAACCAGAGAAATTGTAATCTAACTATGTATGGGGTTCTCCTCAAAGTGACCTTTATTTATTTTTTTTTTTTTCCTCAAAGTGACCTTTAAATTATATTCACTGCTGGAACTATCTATATTTGTTGCTTTAGGATTTATTATGTTAATATGCTGGTACATAATTATTGAATAAGCTGTGTGGGTAGATAGTATTCATTATATAATTCCTTATTAAACTTTTCAAATTATGGAAAAGTAGGAAGAAATATGCAAGTGAACACATAGATTTACCTGCATGGTATCTTGGTAACACTTACTTTGTGTATCTCTCAAAATAACACATAAACCTCTTGCCAAACCATCTGAAAGCAGGTTGCAGGCATCATGGACCCTTTACCCCTAAATACTTACTTGCATCTTTCAAGGACATGCTCCTACTTGACCACATGTTACCCCAAACCTAGTAAAATCAACATTTAGTAGTTTCATAGAATGTGTAGTCCTCATGTAAATTTCCTGTTGTATTAAAAAAAAAAAAGATGTCATTTATAAATTCCTTCCTCCCCCTCATGCCCACCCTCCACCCCCAAATTTAGGATCCAGTCATGACTCACACATTACATTGGGCTGTTCTAACTTTTAGACCCCTAATCAGAAACATTCCTACCACCTCCTTCTGATCTTTAAAAGATAACTCTTCTTTTAAATAGTCTAATAGTAGCATAATCTTTAGAAACTAAATGCTTTCATAATTGCCAAATGAGTTAAATCCTCCCAAGAAAATGTACTTGTTCTTTTTATATTTCCAGAATTAGGGGAAACAGATACTAGATCAAGGCTTATATTTCTTTTTTGAGATGATGTATTACTTTGCAGTGAGATACTGTGTAGTAATTTATATCAATTCAATAGTATTCTTAGATCCACTGTAGCTTAGTTGTAGTAGTTAAACACTCTTCTCCATATAATAGTTGTTTTCGGAGTTTTACTCTCATGTTAATAAATTTAAAGCCTTTATACCAGAATAAGTAATGCTTAATTATGATTATTTATTTGAATTTACTTTAAAGAGAACATAAAACAATCATTCCAGGAAACACTGTATAAATTTTTAGAGGTATTGCATGCTAATTGGGTTAAAATGTTTACCTGATTTAAGGAAAACACATTAGTAAACTCAGAGATTTATCTTTTAATGACACTGCATAAAAAATAACTTTGCAGTGTTGTGAATAGTAACCAAACTTCAGTTGTGAACTAAAATAGCCCTCGGTAGACTGAGGGTGCCACATGTGGACCAGTTCTTTGGAATAGATTTGCATGCAGTATTTTTAATAACCGCTGAATGTGTGTGCCTCTCATATGGCAGTTTTGTTTTCTGTATTACTTAGATCATCGATTTTCTTCTTGTCAGATGCTAACATCAGAGAGGTGGGCCTTGAAGGGGCCTTACTGACCTTACTTGACAAAGAAACAGATCGGAAATTATGCCATGATATCAAAGAGACTTTAAATCACATGCTCACATCTATGGCAGTGGATAAACTTTCCTTTTGGTTAAAGCTTTGTAAAGATGTCCTCGCTGCATCAGCTGGTAAGTACTGGGGACTGATTACCAGCCAACATAATACAACTGAAAGTAAAAGCGTTATATAAAATTGTCTGCTAGTGCTAATTTGTTAATTTGGATATTTGGGGTAAAACTGTTGCTTTTCTTTAATGAAGATTCTAATGCTAGTGTTTATGCTAGTGTTTAAGTCCAGCACTTAAAGCTTACTTTTTTTCCTCTTATAATTGTGTTAGAGTCTTTAAAATTTGTACCTTTGGACTAAGAGAGATAGTGAGTAAGAAAGAAAGAAGCTAGAAACCATTTCTGTTCCATGTATATACATATACATATTATGTATCATTTACTCTTTTAACCATCTTACGAGTAGGCAGTAGTATTCCATTTTACACAAGAGAAAACAAAACTTCAAAGGATAAGTAATTTTTCCAAAGACACACACATATTCAAACCTTAGCCTGCGTGACTTTAACATCTAACTTTTATCGCTTCTCGGCCTTTTGGCTAAGATCAAGTGTAGTAACATCTAACTTTTCATTATATTTCAGTAGCTCTCAAGTCAAGTTACTTAAGGCTTATAATTTAATGTAGCTCTGGTCTCAAAGAAGAAAGTTACTATAAAATTTCTGGCTTGATTTTTTTTTTTTTTGTATTCTTCTCTACCTCTGTTCTTGTTGATATTCCTATTTTTCAGTTATTTACACTTGCTCTTTCCACCATTATGTTGTACATGTTTTCCTTTCTTGATGTTTTCTTCTGTCCCCACTACTTAAGAACTTAAAAGGACTTCTTTAAAAGAAAAACTACAAATGCATAGATAGGTAACCTATCCGCTTTAAAATTTTATAGTCACTCTGTAAACTTAATACTCAGTTTACTTCATTCTTTATTCTTTTTATCCTTTGTAGTTTACCTCTATCCTTTCTTATTAGAAAAACATACATTTCGGTCTCTATTGATGTCTTCAGTCTCCACTGATGTTTTAAGACAGCAGTTTGCCTTAACTATTTATAACATCTTTGCTATCTGTTGTATCACACTCAAAGAATGTTGACATAAAAGATAATTTAAGAAAAACAAGTTGGTTTATGTAATAAGTTACATTTTAAGTTGAGTTAAATAGTTAATGTTAGAAATTAGTATAATATTAAAGGAAAATTATTCCTTACTTGCTCTAGTCATCTGGATAATTTGAGTTTGTAAATACACCAATGGGTCTATCCTGAGGAAAGTATTTTTTGGATATTTTTGTGGGTTCAGGAACCTTCTTAAATTCATTCAAGGGCCCAGTGTTAAAACAACATATCTAGTTCTGTCCACCATACTCCCTACCACAGAATTCTGTGCTTCCTTAAGTATATCCATCTACATACAGCAGATTGATAATTATTCTAGTATCATGTGCAGTTTTTCACTTTAAATACACTTTTAACGTTTTCATCATTTTTTAAGGATAGTTTTTTTAGCGTTTCTCGAGGTAACCACTGTTATCAATAGTCATCAGACATGATTATTTTACATTGTTAAAAGATGTATGATTGATGAATAGTAATTATCTGTACTTAAGGTCATTTACAAGTATATCTTCCATCGTTTATAAGTGTACCCTTTGTAAGTGTATCTTCCAATTGAAACCATGTGTATTCTCCCTTGATAAAAGATTTTGCAGCTGTAACGTGTGTGGATACAATGCAAGAAGAGGAAGGAGATAGAGGGGATGACGCTTCAGTTCTGACCAGCAGAAGTGACGGCAGGCCTCACCCTTTCACCAATCCCCGATGGGCTACAAGAGTCTTCGCTGCTGAATGCGTCTGTAGGATAATCACCCAGTGTGAAAATGCACACAGCGCACATTTTGATGTTGCTCTAGCACAGGACCTGAAAAAGAAGGATTCAAGAAGTAAGTGGCGTAACAGCGAAAAGACTAAGTGATACACACAGAGGTGCTGTGTGCCTGTAGTACATTCCTAACTTTCAGATACATTCTTAATGACTGAGCTGCTTAAATCAGCATTCACTTTTGTTTTGTGGGCATAATGTGATACATTAAGTTGATAGAGAATGGTCACATTCTTGGAAAGGAGTATGTGCATTCCCAAATTTTATTTTATTAGAACTATTAAGTATAGCAAAATATAGCTATTTTGCTCACAGATTATTTTGGTTCCATGGATATTACCTTGAAAACATCTGAGTCTACCTCAATGTAAAAGTAAACCTACTTGTGAGACCTGTTTGACCTTTTATTGTTCGGTTTTATTATTTTTACCTAAATACATATTGATTATTGTTTAATTCACTTAAACACATATATTCAGACACAATGCTCATACCTCAATCCCTTGTAAATATTCTTTACCTGACAAAAGAATCACAAGGCAAGATGTTGTTATTCCCCATCTGAGACTATGAATTAGGTATTTCTATTTTATTTTTCAAGCAGGCATGTATTGAGTCTCTTAGTTGTCTTTCGTTTGCTTAATTTTATTGAAGTATAGTGGATTTACAGTGTTGTGTTAATTTCTTCTGTACAGTAAAGTGACCCAGTTATACACACATTTATATATTTACATACTTTTTCATATTCTTTTCCATTATGGTTTACCACAGAGTATTCAGTATAGTTCCCTGTGCTGTATAGTAGGACCTTGTCATTTATCCATCCCATGTATAATAGTTTGCCTCTGTTAATCTCAAACTCCTATTTCTTCTCTCCCCTACTTCCACTCCCCTTGACAACCAAGTCTGCGCTCTATGTCAGTGAGTCTGTTTTTGTTGTGTAGATAGGTTGATTTGTATCATATTTTAGATTACATGACGCTGCAAATGGCATTATTTCATTCTTTTTGATGGTTGAATAATATTCTTCTGGGTGTATATACCACATCTTTATCCATTCATCTGTCAGTGGACATTTCACTTGTTTCCATGTCTTGGCTGTTGTAAATAGTGCTATGAAAACAGGGGTGTGTGTATCTTCAGTTTATGGTTTTCTCTAGATATATGCTTAGGAATAGGATTGCTTGATCATATGGCAGCTCTTTAGTTTTTTAAGGAACCTCTATATTGTTTTACATAGTGGCTGTACCAGTTTCTATTCTTGCCAACATGGTACATTCCTTTTCTCCACACTGTCTCCAACATTTGTGTTAACATTTGTAGGCTTTTTAATGATGGCCATTCTGACTGGTATGAAGTGGTACCTCATTGTAGGTTTGTGTTTCTCTAAGAATTAGCAGTGTTGAGCATCTGTTCCTGGGCCTCTTGGTTGTATGTATATATAGTTTGGAGAAGTGTCTGTTTAGGTCTTCTGCCCATTCTTTGATGGTGTTGTTTGTCTTTTTGTCCTTGAGTTGTAATGAGCTCTTAGTATATTTTGGAAATTGAGTCTTTTATTTGTGATGAGTACTAATACTGATAGGTATAAAATTAGTGTGCTTACTGACTCCTGTGCTCTTGATTAAAATTGTAATTAGCACTTATTAAGATGAGCTGGTTTGTTCAGTATGACCTATAACTAGTATACTTCTTTGAATTAGTCTCAAATTTTTTTTAGGTAAAGGTTTGTTGCACCTGTAAACATTTTATTGTTGGAACACTTAAATGATTGTTTTATGTCTCTCCCAGGTAGAATTATTATACCAAGTAATATGTTGTAGGCATGAAAGGAATTCTCACTTATAATTTTATAGCTAGAGATTTTTTTTTTTATGCTCCCATCTTTTGTGTGTGTGGCAGCAGATGCAAAAGTAAGGTAATGTAGTCCATACGAAAGTGAAAGCGTTAGTCGTTCAGTCGTGTTCGACTCTTTGTGACCCGATGGACTGCAGCCCACCAGGCTTCTCTGTCCATGGGATTTCCCAGGCAAGAATACTGGAGTGGGCTACCATTCCCTTCTTCAGAGGATCTTCCTGACCCAGGGATCAAACCTGCATTGCAGGCAGATTCTTTACCATCTGAGCCACCAGGGAAGCCCATAGTCCATAAAAAGAACCACATAAAATTTTTTTAAAGGAATATTATCTTTTAGCTTCAACTTGACATGAAGAGAATGATTAAACTACTGCGTAATTCATCAAAACCTAAAGTTTCCTAAATACCTTCTAATGTGCTTTTATCAGAAAGTCTGAAAAAAATTTTTACTGAAAATACTATTAGCATTCTTTTAAAGGATGCTAATTCTGTCTTTGTTTTTTTCAAAGCTGTATTAGTATTTGTTTTGGGATAGTTGTTTGTGTCTGAGTATTTGCCCTGGTGCAGTAAATCTAGCTTTAAGGTCTGTAACAAACAGTAAAACTGTAAAAGTACTTGAAAAGTCTAGCTTATGAAATTAAAAGGAGGAAAAATTAGCACTTAACATCAATCTTAGTTCCAGCATATTCTTTTTCTTAATAAGATTTTCTTTTTTTAATCCTGTAGATGACTTTTTGGTGCTACATCTTGCTGACTTAATTCGCATGGCTTTTATGGCTGCCACAGATCATAGTGACCAGCTCCGTCTTTCTGGCCTTGAAACACTGTTAGTGGTTATTCGGCGATTTGCAACAATTCCAGAACCAGAGTTTCCAGGTCATGTGATTCTGGAACAGTATCAAGCCAATGTAAGCACTTTCTATTAGAGAATCTTATTATTAAACACCCAGGTTAGAAGTCTGTGAAACTAATTGGCCTGTCACCTTTTGATACATAAATGTGTGTGTATCTCTGTTAATATATCACCAGTCTAATTAGTATATGTTTGAAGAAGAAATCTTCAAGTAAAAGCAAAATAATTCATGAAACAGGTTTTTTATAATGCTAAGAGTTAAGTCGTGTAATTATAACCTCCTTGGTAACTTATGGGGAATAAAGGGCTTTGATAATGAAATTCTTTACAGAATATCCAAATAAGCTTAAGATAACACCAAATCGTTAATATTATTAACATTCCATTTAGGCTACATGCATGTTTCATCTTCAGGTTACTATTCCGACTCCTAGTCTAGATATAACGTCCTCTATTTCCCCTGAACTCAGAAGAGAATTTAAGAGTCTGTTACTGGTTCTGCAATCTTTTTACCTGGTGTCTGTTTGACTGGTGCATTGGGTAGCCCAGGAGGAACAAGGAAGATGAGAAAACCATCGCACTACAGCACACACATCACATGTAGTCCTTCATGCCTCTCACGATTCAGAGGCAGCTTCTGTTGCCTGGGAGTTAGGGAATCCAGAGCAGTTCGCCAGTTGGTAGCAGGCTCCATCACATCTTCCCAACAGGTATTGTCAGTGTATGTTTAGGGAAAGAGAAAAGGACAGGATGGGAGTTACATACAACTACATAGTAGTCTAAATACTATGGAACTGTTATATTTTTATTCTTCCTAAAATTACAAACGATAGAAATAAAATTACCACTCACTTAAGCAGAAAAGGAAGATTGTTCTGGGGAATCTTAGTTGGCTCTGCTTTCTCCTGCACTGGCTCTTTTTCAAATTTGCCGTCTCCAAGTGGTATCAAAATGGCGCTCTCAGCATCTAGAGTCTCTTAAAGACAGCGCTTCTTTCTGAGTACATCCAGCAAACATCTATAGGAGAGCTTTCATTATACCAGTGTGGGTCCCTGGAGCCAGACAGTGCTGTTAGCTCCATAGCAACCACATAGGCTAAGAGTTGGTGAGAAAGAAAGTTCCCCAAAGGAGAATTGAGATGCTCTTAACCAAAAATGGGGAAAGACATCCCGGGCAGGCAAAACCAAAGTGTTTATAATACCTATTATAAAGAGATAATTTTAAGATAACATTAAAAAGAGAAAAGAGTTTGTGCTATCTTACTTATTGATGCTTGAATGAGCATATCATTTCTTGCCAGGTAGGAGCGGCACTTAGACCAGCCTTCACCTCAGAGACACCACCTGACGTCACTGCCAAAGCATGTCAGGTAAATAGTGAGCCCTCCTTTAGGAAGCAGCTCTCCAGATTGTATTTAATACCAAGGTTCTGTGTTACAGTTGTCCACTCAGCCATTAATTTCAGCTGCCCCTTTTCTTCACCCTTTAAATATACAGAACTTTTTCTTTCTTGTAACTGCATGGTAGTCCAGTATCTGGGTACATCACCAGTTCTCTAGTGATGGAAATACAGGGGCTCTTTTTTGTCTTTTGCTCTTAGAGATAGTGCTGCAGTTAATGACCCTCCTCCTGTATGGGTCAATTCACTGGGTCCAAGCATGTATGGGAGCTAAATTCCCCCAAAGCTGAATTGTTGGGTTAAAGAGTAATTACAAGAGTTAACCACTTCAGACTCCTGCCAGCACTGTATGCACGTGCCTGTCTTCTCAGCAGCTGTGTCGGTTGTCAAACTTAGATTTTTGTGATGGAGTAAAAAGGGTATCTTGGGATAGTTTAGATTTGTGTGCCAAGTGAGGTTGAGCATCTTTTCAGATATCTAAGAGCCATATGGTATACAGTTTTAAATAGTTGCTTTTCTTGATGGTGTTGTCAAGCATTCAATATTCAGCCCTGAATGGTCTGAAATAAGAGCAGAACTGGTGTGAATTAATTATTTAAAAAAAGGAAAAAAGCTGATTTTACTCATTTCTTTCAACTTTTCAAATTCAGTCGTATTTAGGAAATGTTTGAGTACCTTCAGTATTCATAGACTTTCGTTAACTGTTGTACTGAGTCTAATTTTTCATTTTATTATGTGTTCTTGCTATAAGTCACTTGAAATCTTTTGTGAAAGGAAATGTGAACTAAATAAGTAGATGGTAAAGGAAAAATAAATTTTCATGAAATATCGTGACAATCAGGAAAACCTTTATAGATGGCCCCTGGTAACTGAGTAAATTTTTTGCATTGGAGCATTATTAATGATGTTTTGTTTTAAAAGTTAAAGATATCTTCAAAAGAATAAAAATCTTCATCGAGGTGCAATTAATCCCTAATTTTAAAATAATAAGATGAAATAATTAAGATTGGAGATATAAGTCAAATGTCAATCCAAACAATTATGCAAGTAGTGCCTTTCATGGCTTATTTTCTCTATGTTAATGACATCTAAAACTCTTTATTTACTTATTAGCACAGCTTTCTTTCTTCAACCTTATGATTTCATTCTTTTTTGACTTTTTAAAAAATATTTTAATTGGAGGCTAATTACTTTACAATATTGTAGTGGTTTTTGCCATCCATTGACATGAATCAGCCATGGGTGTACATGTGTCCCCATCCTGAACCCCCCTCCCCCCTCCCTCCCCATCCCATCCCTGAGGGTCATCCCAGTGCTCCAGCCCTGAGCGCCCTGTCTCATTCTCTTTTGAAATGCTGACTTTGACTATCATTATCAGCAGCCTCCCACTGGGTTTCTTTATAGCAAGATGATTTAAGTGACCAGATTCCTGAGATATGAGTGAACTCTGCTGAACTCCCAAAGGGGGTGTTTATAGTTTTTAAATATAATCTTTGATTTTCTTAAAAAACTAGGTTTGCAGTGCCTGGATAGCAAGTGGAGTTGTAAGTGACCTTAACGACATCCGAAGAGTTCATCAGTTGCTTGTTGCATCATTAACAAAAATTCAGGTTGGAAAAGAAGCTCTTAGTCACTTATATAATGAAAGTGCTTCTACCATGGAGATCTTAGCTGTGCTAAAAGCCTGGGCAGAGGTTAGTACGTCTCAATTTATGACTAGAATTTTGGAAGTTATTAATAAACATCTTAGGCCATAAACTGAAATTAGCTATTTAAAACACAAGTAAGTCTGTTTTAAGGTTAACAGAAGACTTTCAACATGAGATATATTTATATGCTAATTGATATTTTGGCCAAGGATTCTAAAGTACTCTCCTGTTGTCTTATCTGCTGTTTCAAGCAGGGGGCAGTCATAAGAGACTTTATCATAGCCAGTGGAAATCAACTTTTATTGAAACCTGAATTATTGGAAATGTGGGTTTGCTCATATATTCTATCAACTATAACACATGCTTTAATATTTCTTAGAGCTCTTTCTTTCATAAAATGACTTTTGAATATTAAGTAAGTCATTTTATTTCCTAGGGTTAAAAAAATCTTAGAGGGAAGTACTTAGCTTTTCTTCATTTACTTTTCTAATCAGGAGGAAAGCCACATAATTTTTAAAATTTATGATAGAAATGGTTACATATATACAGAAGTAAATAGAATACTGTAATGAACTCATACAAACCCATTATCCAGCTTCAACAGTTATCAGATTTGGCCAGTCCTGGTTCATATATCACTGTAGTGAAATATATATAGTCTCAGATTGCAACTGAGTGTTGCAGGCAATATGTGAGAAAGGGTTTTCTTCAGCAGAGCTAATTAAAACCAGAAGATTGTTGAGTTTCTGTTTTCGTCATTATTTAGTATTGACAAATTTTAGTCAGAAAGTAGTTCTGCCTAGACTTAATAAGTTGGATTTAATGATCTTTAACAATCAACTCTAAATGATTTAAACATATGCTTTTAGTAGAACAGATACTCTGTAATTTCTGTAACCTGTTTTATAAATTTACTGTTTTATAATTTTTTTTATAATCATTTGAGTCTCTATACTCTTCCTTAAGCCATTACTTTCTCCTATTCTCTCCTTAGTGGAAATAATGACTAGCCAACAAGCTCCATGTAATTGAGGTCCATAATTATTTGAAATCCTTAGAGCCAGATAAATTGGGATTTAAAATTTGGATGCATATTTCCTGTATCCCTCCAGGATGTTTGGGACAATACCATAAAATCTATAATCAGACAATTTATAATATATCTGAAAATGTTTGAATAGTCACACTGTATAAATAGCCTCCCATAAATTTTTTTGTGTTTCGTCACCAGACTGTTGCCCACAAAATTATGTTTTTCAGAGCTTTTGGATTTCAGAGCTGTGGATAAATAGATAGTACACATTGTGTACTATGTTGAATACTTTAATATTCTGTAGTCCTTGCCTATAGTCTATAGGTAAATGTTTTATAAGTCATTTAGTGGTAACATTGAAAGAAAATATTCAGTATTTCAGCTTATTTGAATTCAGAGATGGCTGCCTGTAGCCATATATTGAAATGGATCACAAGGCCATAGCCAGGCTTAGTGAAAAAGGGTGCCAGGATCATCTGGTTGCAGCTGTCATGGCTGTAAACTGCAATGTGGCAGCATACTTGTCAAATGTTTATTATTCCTAACATATCTCGGTGAAGATAAATGCTTTTGGATCTTTCTACCCCAGTTTTGTATGTGGTTGCACATGTGTACCTTCTTGGTATCATGTGCATTTCAAGTCCAGGAGGCAGGTTCAAGGTAAGTAAGTCTGCAAGATAATAATACTGTAGCACCTGTGGGTCTAAGATTTTCCTATTTATAAAGTAACCTTTACACAGGTCTACATAATTGCTGTAGAAAGGCATAAAAACCACAGACAGCCTTTAAAGACTCCTGCCGGTTCAGAAGAGAGCGTTGGAAACGGGTCGGTTTCACCAGACGGGCTGCTTGACTTAGTCCACGCAGACCTCAGTACATTGAGTAGGCTCTGGCTAGCTGCACTTCAGGATTTTGCTCTCCTAACTTTGCCTTCAGAATTTGCCTCTCAGCTTCCTGTTGAAGGTAAGGGGGTGAAATATTTACTGTAATTCCTAGAATGACAGTCAATAACATGTATTTTCAAAATTTCTCCACTAGCAGGTCATGTTTGTTTGAAACATTTTTTTCAAGAATAATTTTCATTCATAGAATAGTCATGCAAGAGTTGCTTCAGGGTAGAGACCCTGCAGTCAACTCGTTCAGTCCGGAGGCACGCTCTTGTTAACTCACAAGAATAACGGCCAAATCGTTTACCAATGTGATGAGTTTAAAGAATTTCATGGGTTTATTTCCTTGATTGAAAATCTTTTTCATCAGTTTATGGGCTGTTTAAGTTTCTTTTTCCATAAATCGCGCAGTCATCATCTTTGCCCATTTTCTACTTCATATTTGCCATTTTCTTACTGACTGGTTAATCCTTACATATGTTTAATACTCTTCCTTTGCGGTTCCATATCTGGAAGCTGTCCTCTCTCAGCCTCTGGCTTGGCTCTCGTACCTTTTTAAAATTAATGTAATCAGTTTTTATGGTTTATGTTTCCTCTGTAATGCATGATACTTTTTTTAAATTAAGATCACAAAGATATATAAGCTTTACACTTTTGCGTTTTACATTTTAGATTTTAGTCCTGCTGGAATTTATTTTGTGTGTGTGGAATGAAGATAAGGGTCCAATTTTATTTGTTTTTATTGGAGTATAGTTGCTTTACAGTGTTGTGTTAGTTTCTGCTGTATAACACAATGAATCAGTTACACATATACATATATCCACTGTTTTTTATACATATATTCCCCCAAGGGAATCTGATTATACTCAGTTATTAATATCACACTCTGTGGATTGGGTATCTGGCAGCTGCTTTTAATCTTCATGTTATTCCAAAACAGCTATTATTTTTTTCACTCCTTGCTATGAATTTTAGGGCCAGCCTATCAAGTTCTATTAGAATTTTAATTGCAATTATACACAAAGATATGCAGAGTATTTATTGGACTTTGTACCTTTTAATAGCATTAAAAATGGAAATACATTGATTTACTGAAAAAATTTATTAGCAAAAATGAATGAATTACACATGAATCAACATATGTAAATCTCTAAAACATAATGTTAAGGGGGAAAGCAAGTTTGAAAAGCACACACACAATATGAGGCCTTTTAAGTGAACTCACACTAAATAACAGCATCTATTATTTATGAATACAAACATCTAGTGTGAAAGTTTTAAGACCTGAGACTGACTCACAGTGACTGGAGGAAAGTGGTTGTAGAAGGAGGGGCAAGAATTAGTGGTATATAGAGTTTTAGTGGTTTTGTTTGTTTTTTAAGAAATAGATTTAAGAATGGCAAAATATTAATCTTAGAGGTAGGTGAGTATCAGCATTTGTTTTATACATGCATATACATACTCTGGGCTTCCCAGGTGGCTAAGTGGTAAAGAATACCCCTGCCAGTGCAAGAGACAAGGGTTCGATTCCTGGGTCAGGAAGATCCCTTGGAGGAGGAGATGGCAAACCAATCCAGTATTCTTACCTGAAGAATTCCGTGGACAGAGGAGCCTGGCGGGCTACAGTTCACGGGGTCACAAAGAGTCGGACACAACTGAGTGACTGAGCATGCACACACACATGGTTTCTCTTCAGACTGTATGAACCTTTTGCATTCTAAACACACACACACACACACACACACACACATATCACATTATTTGTTTTAAAATATTTTATAATTGAAAAGAAAAAGAGTTAGCCTACAAATTTCTTATGAGGTTTTAAGGATACGTAAGCACTGTGACCAGCAGTTGTATACTCAGGAGAAATAAAGTCATAGATAACAAAATATTGATAATACAGCAGCATGGATGATCCATCTCTAAAAACACTGTTAAGCAAAAACTCAGTCACAAACAGTTGCATACTGTGTATTTTTCCATTTCTGTGAAGTCCAAAAATGGGCAAAACTAAACTGGTGATAAAAGTCAACAAGTAGTTGCCTTGAAGTACAGGATACAGGCTGGAAACAGTCTATCTCTTGTAACAGATAAAAGGGAAAGTGGATTGTGAACAAATCTCTTCATTTATTCCTCCTGAAACTGTTTGCTTTCCCTTTTTTGTAGGTGGTGCTTTCTACACAGCAGAGACTAGTGAAAATGCAAAACGACATTATTACAACTCCTGGGCGCTTATCTTGCATGCCACAGCACTGTGGCTTACAAGCACAGGCTTTGTCGTTGCTGACCCAGATGAGGGAGCCCCTAATCTCTCAAGGCCTGTGACACCAACTTCCATGTGCCAGGGCTCATCCTCTGGACCTGCAGTGAAGTCCCCTGAGGATGTCTACACTGAGAGATTCCATCTTATTTTAGGTGAGTAAAACCCTTTTTACCTTCTGCCAACCATACGGAGTTTTTCTTGGATTGTGCTTTCTTACCTGTCAGCTTTTGTGGCTGTTAACTTCATTCTTTATTAGGCAATAACAGTATACTGAGTCATCTACCCCTCCCTCCCCATCCTCAAGGATTACAAGGTTCAAGAAAGTATATTCACATACAGACCTACATCAATATTTAAGGTCAAAGATAAATGATATTTTTAAATTTATGAAGTTTCACCCATTTTTTGGCTTTCTTAGAACTTCATTTTTAAAACGAGGTATCTTTCTAGATACAGTGAGTTTCTAGATTAAATGTTTTTCACACTTAACCTTGTTCTGAGGAAACAACCTGTTAGATCATTACCTATAAATAAGTTACTAACTGAAATGTGAGGGCTATAAAGGTCAGTAATTAACTAATAAGGTTTCTGGTTCATCGAGCTTCTGTTATTCCTTCTGAAGCCAAACATGATCAGATTTGCTATATCCTTGGGTATATTAAAATTTTGTTTCTATTTGCCTTGAGAACTTTTTAAAAACAAACTTTTATGTAATAAAGACTGGCAGGGCATAAGCTGTGCAGTTTAATTACCTTAGTTCAAATTCTTGGTGTGCCTCATTTTAACGGACATTTAGCAAACTATTTAAGCTCTATGTGCTCAAAAGGAGTGGTAATAATAGTACCTACTTTCTGAGATACTGTAAGAGTGAAATGATATAGTTAAAAGTACAATGCCTGATACATGGTAATCACTCAATAAATTTTAGTCAGAATAAAATTATGAAACTCTCCATGTTAAGTTCTGGCACAATTTTATTATAATTTTTGCAGTAGTGCACAAGCCTAGTTGAGATTATTATTTGTGTACATGTTGATAAAAACCGTTAAAGAGACTGCCTTACCACTTAATTGTTTGGTCTTAAATTCATGGTGATTTATTTGCATTGCTTCTTTGCTAAATTTATTTGTATATCTTATCAAAATAGAAAATTCTTTTCACGTCAGAAACCAAGAATCTAAAGAAGCCTTGTTCTCTTTCTCTATTTTCTACAGGAATCAGTGTGAAGTTTCTGTGTTCCTTACGTTCAGATGCAACCATGGAAAGCATTACTGCCTGTTTACATGCATTACAGGCCCTTCTAGATGTTCCTTGGCCAAGATCTAAAATTGGCAGTGATCAGGTGATCTCTTGTTGCTTGTCAGGCTTCTGTAGATTCCAAGGCACAGCAGCAGAAACGTGTTCAGTTTCCTATAGTGAACAGCGGGTGAACACGTAGAAGTAAAAAGGAAACTAAACACGGCATAGCCAGGCCTCGGAACGGAAGTGCCACCAGCAGCCGTGCTGGCTCGGGGGCAGTCATGCCGCTGCCTGCCGCTCTGTCTCTGCTCTGCCACGCTTACTTTGCTGCCACCAGTCACAACCCTTCAGGCGAACTGTCTGCAGTGATGGGAAGCTTCCGTCTTGTCCTGTCCTGTTGCTTGCCGCTTCACTGCACTCTGCTTCTCATATACATCTGTATCTTATTCCCCATTGCCCAAGAGAGAATCCTCTTGGTTCATGTTGTTAACTGTCAGTTGTGTAGTGTTCCTCTCGGCTGGTTTCTCCATCAAGGTCTTTTTAAGAGACAACTGACTAGCCTCTAGGTGGAGTCAGACAGTAATAGCAGATCTAATTGTGACCATGATTTGAAGGATCACTGTACAATGTATAGCACTTCCTTTAACTGCTTTCCCAAGAGCAACAATGCATTGGGCAGGCACCCTTAGCATCATGTATTACCATATGCGTGAATACTTACTCGCCAAGTTGTGTCTGGCTCTTTGTGACTCCAAGGATTGTAGTCCACCACAGTCCCCTGTTCATGGAATTTCCCAGACAAGAATACTGGAGTGGATTGCCATTTCCTTCTCTAGGGGATCTTCCTGACCCAGGCATTGAACCTAAAACTCCTGTTGGCAGGCAGGTTCTTTACCACTGAGCCCCCAGGGAAGCTGGTATTACCAGTATATTGAATTGTATATTAAATTGACTTTTGGATGTTAAGAAAAATAAATGGTATAATTTCCTTTCTGTATAGACTTATTTATTACCACTATCGTTTATTGGGTTTAAAGTATGACTCAGGCTCCTGCCTAACTTGAATTGCACATGGATAAGTTTTGAACTTTTTGTGCTTATTAATTCTGTATGTTAAAACAAGTATTATAATGACTATTTCGCACTTATTTTCAAAGATGAAAGAAAGTCACCAGATTGACCAATAGAACAGGGGGAAAGTTAAGTAGTGTTCTTCTAGTGTATTTTCTTTTGAGTGATATTCATTCTATGCTTAATAACTTACACACTGTTAATGTCATTTTTGCCACCATTCATAAGTATTAGAAAACTTTAATATATCTCTGGGAATCTTTTATCTTGAATCTGGCAGTCCTTGTATACTTTGAGCCATGTTTTTTTATCTTGTTTTAGGAATTTCCTTGTTTGTTATCTCAGTTTAGGACCTGTGTGAAAATGATCTATTGTCATAGTGCCATCTGCTACAAGACTGGACAGAAACCAACCTGGAGATGGTTTAAAGTGGAGCAAGTGTTACATAACTTTATTGCCCTAACACTGTTTCAAGTATATAATTTTCAAAATGTTCTCACCTGTTCTGTCATAGGACTTGGGTATTGAGTTGTTGAATGTACTACATCGAGTAATTTTGACTCGAGAATCACCTTCCATTCAACTGGCTTCTCTTGAAGTGGTCAGGCAGATTATCTGTGCGGCTCAAGAACATGTGAAGGAGAAAAGACGAAGTGCAGAAGGTGAACATTAAACCACAATGCCAAATTAATCACATAGCATCATTTCCTTTTTTAAAAAAAAAAGCTTTTTAAAGTATTGCTTATGTATCTATGTCATCCTGAGAATCTGTTGTGTATAGTACAAATGAAACATCTCTAGGTATGGCTTCAGATTCTCTCAGTCATCTCTGCATGTTACCTTGGGTACTGTCAGTAGCTGAAGTATTTTTCCTTGGGAAAATTAGAATTTTAACAGCCCTGGAAGAAAAAAAAATCCCTTATATGGATTGAGTACTTAACAGTGTTTACGAGTGTACAGGGAAAGAATTACTGACAATTTTTTAATGGCTTAGTTTTATAAAGTGATTAAATTGCTCATTTATAAGTCTGATTTGACATTTGTGAGTATATCATTTAAGATTACGTTTGACTACATATAACAAAACCCAGTACAACAGTAGATTTAAAACACAAGTACTTATTCTCATCTACAAGAACTCCAGAGGTTGGCAGTCCTGGGCTGAGATGGCAGTTTCATAAAGACATCAGAGACCTCAGTCCCTATCTTTCTGCCCAGCAACTACTTAAGGTGGTGAAGTCAGTGCTGGAGCTCTAGCTATCAGGTTCACATCTTAACTGCATGGAGTTAACCAGACAATATTACAAGGATGAGAAGGTCACCAAGGATTTCTTTTGATCCACTACAACAAGAAGTGCAAATAAAGACAACTCCTTTTACCTCCATAACTGCTTTCTCTTTCATTCTTTAAGACCCAAGGCTTGACCCATTTAAATGTGTTACCTACAACAGAAGCAAAGCAAACGTAAAGTATTTATTCAACACTGTTCTTTTTGTCTTCTAGTCGATGATGGGGCTGCTGAAAAGGAAACCTTGCCAGAATTTGGAGAGGGAAAGGACACAGGAGGACTTGTGCCTGGGAAGTCTTTGGTCTTTGCAACACTGGAGTTGTGTGTGTGCATTCTAGTTAGGCAGCTCCCAGGGCTAAATCCTAAATTGACAGGTAGCCCAGGAGTGAAAGCAGCAAAGCCACAGATGCTGTCAGAAGATGGAAGTAGGTTGGTTTCAGCTGCGTTAGTTATCCTCTCTGAACTTCCTGCAGTGTGCTCTCCTGAAGGTATGTTGTGGTGTGTGATGGCTTTACTTGACCTGAAAGGAGAGAAATGGTTTTGATGGATAATGGAGATAATGGTTGCTAATGTTTTTTTCATTAAACAAATGGTGACCCAAAGATTTGGGTATTGTCTTTAATCCTTTACGATTAACATTATAGTAATTTATTTTACTAAAAGGATGAAAGTAAATATAGGGACAGCATGTACTCTAAAAAAATAACGCTCTTCAATGGTTTTTTTTTTTTTTTTTTTTTAGAAATATTTTAAACGAGTTGATGGCAATTACTCTCTGGGGCATTTTTTGGTGTACAGTATCTAATGGACTTTCTCTGCCTCAGTTTTGATAGAAGCTTCTCATCATATCCAGTTCTGTTTGGAATCAAGTCCATACTTCTAATATAGTGTCTAAGGCTCTCCATAGGGCTCTGCCGAGTACAGCTGCCTCTTGATACCTTCTGTCTGAACCATAAACCTAGGAGGTTCCATGCTTAGCCCTGTTCTGTGCTATTGCCAGTGGTGGTACTTGATCTGAAATGACACCGCCCCTTCCCTTCTTTTTAAAATTCTGCCTTCCTTTGAAATTCAACTCCAGCCCTGCTTCATCTGTGAAGGCTTCCCTAAAAACTGGCTCATACTGAGTTTTGTTTTTCTGTGTGTAGCTTCCATGTGTGTATACATATTTTTTTTTGTTGTTGTTATATATAGAGGCATTATATGTACTCTATTATATAGAGAAGATAAATATACATATATACACACACACACACATACACACACACACACACACACACAGACGTATGTCTTACTTCCAGCAAAATGTTTACCCTCTAGTACTCTAGCACATAATAAGGACTCAGTACTTAATAGATACTTAATTGGTAAGCATATTTCTGCTTAGATGTGACTTGACAGACTTATATGCTGTCTTGTTTTTAATATAACTTCAAGCTTCAATTTGACTTAAAACCTTGTATTCCTTATTCTCACACCTGCCTTATACCAAGAGTGCAGAAAAAGTGACTAACTAAGGATTAAGGGCAAAAATACACTACATGAGTTTTGTGGATAGCCCCTGGGAAAACTTAATTGACCGTTTTAACTTGAGTCTCTTCCCTTTCCTTTTAAACAAAGTGACTTTTTAACTACTTAGTGGCCATGGAAACTTTAATTTTTTGTACTGACTCACTGCAAATTGAAAGGCTTAATATAAAATAAATCCCCCAAATGCATAGTGGTAGTGAATGTACTTAATGCCACTGAGCTATACACTTAAAAATGGTCAAAGTGGGACTTTCCTGGTGGTCCAGTGGCTAAGACTCCATGCTCCCAATGTAGGCGGCCTGGGCTCGGTCCCTGGTCAGGGAACTAGATCCCACATGCCACAAATAACACCCAGCACAGCCAAATTTAAAAAAAAGGTTAAAGTGGTAAATTTTTGTTAAAAATATTTTACCACACTAAAAAAAATAAATAAGTAAATTCAATGTTTGTCAGCTACCAAATAAAATCACACAGCACAAGATAATGATACTGTGATATAATTTAAATAACCTCTCCCATTAGAACCTAAATTTAATCCAACCTTTAAAATCTTAAGGTTATTAAAACTGTTAAAGAAAAATAATCTTAAAAGCTAGAAATCTTTGACATAACCTTACTCATTTGGTAATTTCTTTTGAGGAACTATATATAGACTGAAATAGTGTTTTTCAAAATGTCTTATAGGAAGCATCTCAATCCTTCCTACCATACTGTACCTCACAATTGGAGTCCTCAGAGAAACTGCTGTGAAGTTACCTGGAGGCCAGCTGTCTTCAACGGTTGCGGCTTCCCTACAGGCTCTGAAAGGAATATTGGCTTCTCCCATGGCCCGAGCAGAAAAGAGCCATACTGCTTGGACGGACCTTCTCCGTAGTGCTTTAACTACAATTCTTGACTGTTGGGATCCAGGTAAGTCAGGCTATTTGGAAGCAGTTGTGCAGTTTGTTTTAAAAAGCAAGACGGACGGTTTTTTGAGAATAAGCTGTTTACTTGATCGTGTTAGGCAGTCTCACCTAGAGGAGACTGTGTTCACTACATATTTAGAGGGTATGTATCATAGGTAGAAGGTATCTATGGTCTCATTTTAGTATCTTTAATATTAATGCAAAAAAATGGCTAGAAGCCTGTGTGTTGACAGTGAGAGACCTTCAAATGTAATAATATGTTAATTTAAAAATATGGAGTCATCCATGTCAATTTTTTAATACACACAGTATACTGAAAACTGGATAAGATATACATTATAATTCAAGACTAATCTGGTTTATATCCTCACTCCAGCACCAGTGCTAAGTGACTAGACAAGCTAATTCTCTGAGCCTTAGTTTTCTCATTAACAAAATAAGGAGATTGTGTTACAGGAAACTGTTAGATCAGTAACATCATATATGAAAATTATTTCACTTTTTACTTGGCGTATGTCAGTAAATGATAGCCAGTATCATGTTCAGTATCCATTCAAATTAGTTTTTCTCTGTTATTGTTATATAGGTTTTATTTTCAACATTGTCATTGTGATTGTAAAAAGTGTTTACACATATTATAATTAACCCTGCCTTCTTTGTTCTGTTTATCAATGTCAAAGTTCACCATATTCTGTTTCATGTGGTAAAAAGATTTCAGTTGAATGCAGCAATTAATTGACCACACACTTTGTGCCCAGAGTTGGCAGTCTAGGGAAGTCTAGTGCCTACAAATTGCCATCGGGTGTGATTAATATCATAGAAACTCCTGAAGGCAACAGTAATAACTTACTTACCACTGCATTTCTAGTATAATGGAATAGAGACAACTGGCAAACAATTAGAATGGTTCTGTTTGAGTGAATCAGGCACAGTGTCGCAGTATAGGGTTCTGCATGCTGAGATGCAGTTGGGCGCGCAAAAATCTTTGAAGGCAGTGGGAAAAGCACTGCTAGGCAAAAGAAGTCAAACTGCAGTACAAGTGTGCAGCAGAACTCAGCACACCTGCGGGGGTCCTCTGAATATTGCCTGTCAGTGCCTTTCAAAGGAAATCGGTGTTTGCACTTCAGCTCAGATGTGGCCGCCCCCTGAAGACTGTGCTGTCAGTCAAGGCAGCTCTGGGGCTGAGGTCAGCCTGAGGGAGTTGACCTCACAGCTGGGCAGGACCTCTCCCTATGGAGGGGAGCTCAGTGGTACCCCTCTAACTACCAGAAGAGATTTCTGAAAAGAGTTTCTTAAAGGATAAGAAAGTATTCTCCATTCTCCACACAGACATCATAGAAATGTATTCTCACACATTTTGATACAAGACCAGGAAACTTAAGTAGTATGGTATATTTGGGGACAGCAATAGTGCAATGAGTGAATGTGGGTTTGAGGGGAAAGAGTAAGAAGGTAGTGAATGGTAATGAGTAAAGAGATGAAGTTGGATAGTACATAGGGTCAGATGATGGAAGGTTTGGCATGATTAATGATTTGGACTGCCTTTAATAGGCATGTTTCTTCTTAAAACAGGAGCGAAGTGATAGAATTTACTTGTAGTTTGGTATAGGAGTTGAAAGGGTAAGGTGATCTGAGCATTCATGGTGCTCTTAACAGAAATACCAAAGGGAGGGTTTTCAGGGGAAGAGAGTGAATTGATTTTGAAATGCCTACAGGATAATCAAGTGGAACAAACTATGAAGTGCTCAGGGATTCAAGAAAGTCTGGCTAGAGATGGTTTTAGACTGCATGTATTCGGGAGTTGTCAGTGCCACCTATGGGATGGTTGAAATCACCTAACTTGGGTTTATGCAACAAGATGGGAGGAGATTCTGAATATAATGCAGTAACAGAAGCCAAAGAAAAGAGTTTTAATGACTAGAGACTAGGCAGCAGTGTAAATTACACTATGGCGATCTTGCTTACAGTGTTTAGGCACAAATGAGAAGTAAGGAGGGGAAGGATCAAGTTCAGGCTTCTCAAGCAAAGGAAGATATAGGGTCAAGGAAGTTTTGTTTTTTTTTTTTTCCAGATGAGAGGCCTGCTAATGGGGAGAAAAGGTGGAGTTAGTGTTGTAGTTGAAACTGTTAGGGAAGAAAGCAGCATCCTTTTCTAGGCAGAAAGGAAACAAAAATTCACAGCACATTTAGAAGGATGAATCTCTGCCAATATGAAGACCAGGAGGTAAGGATGGAAAGTAGTGAGTGTAGGTTGTTAGGTTGAGCTTGCCTCTTTCACCTCACGCACAGGCACACAGATGGTTTTCTGTTGTCTGTCGGGGAATGAAGTTAGGACATGGAGGATTTGAACTCGCTAGTGAGAAGAAATAAGGAAGGGGCTGATTGTGCTAGGGAAAACATTTACAACATAACAGATTGCTCCAAAACTTAGTGCTTCAAAGAACAAACATTTGTTATCTGACAGTGTTAGAGGGTTAGGAACTGGGCAGCTGTGTAGCTGGGTGGTTCTGTCTCAGGGTGTCTCATGAAGTTTCTGTTAAGATGATGGCCAGGGTCACAGCTAAAGAACCCATTTCTGGCTCGTGGCTGTTGGTAAGAGGCCTCAGTCTATCACTGGCTGTTAGCAGGAGGCCTCAATTCCTTACCACATAGAGCTAATGTTAAGGGAACCTTGCGTCTTATTGTAGGTAAAAGAATTAAGAGGAACATTGGGCTTTCCTGGTAGCTCAGCTGGTAAGAATCTGCCTGCAATGCATGAGACCCCACTTCTATTCCTACATTGGGAAGATCCCCTAGAGAAGGGAGAGGCTGCCCACTCCAGTATTCTTGGGCTTCCCTGGTGGCTCAGATGATAAAAAGAATCTGCCTGTAGTGCGAAAGACCTGGGTTCAATCCTTGAGTTGGGAAGATCCCCTGGAGAAGGGCGTGGCAACCCACTCCAGTATTCTTGCCTGGAGAATCCCCATGGACAGAAGAGCCTGGCAGGCTACCCTCTATGGGGTCACAAAGAGTCGGACATGACCGAGAGACTAAGCACATAAGGGAATTGGGGCATGAGTGGCAGAATAAGGAAATTTTAGAAGAAATGGGAAGAGGAACCAAGGAGAGCATTACTTATGGAGAATAAAAAGACATTTTTATACTACATAGACTAGCTCTTGTAGTTTCAAGTCACTGTAAATGACTAAATAACTTGGCTGTATGGGAAACACTGTGGCATTATAAGTAACAGTATATTCTCTGGAATCAAACTCAACACCTTAATAATAACTGTGTGATTTTTGGCAAATTACTGAATTTCTATTCCTCAGTTTCTTGTCCATAAAATGGGGGAAATGAGGAATACCTTCCTCATGATGTTACTGTGAGGATTAAAGTGCTTATAATAATGCTTTCATAATTTTAAATGTTGGCCTTGCACCTATTTTACCTTAAAATTATTCAAGTTATTATTATAAATATATCTCCTCATCTATAATATTTTGCCTTCATTAGTACCATGTTGCAAGTGTCAACTCAAGTATTAATCTCCTCAAACCTTCTTCTGACTGCCCAATGTAGCAACTCCTGGTTGCCATAGACCTTGTGACTAGTTGAAATTAAATTCTTTATTTACTTCCTGGCATATAGTACTTCTCTGTAAACTGCATTCCTAGGGCCAGAAAGAGAGCTGGCACATAAAAAGTTTCTTCAATATTTGATGAGTGAATGTTACCAAAGAATATGTATATGTAATTTCTTCCTAAGTACAATCCATTTTTACACAATTTAATGAATTGCATTTTCCATGCCTTTTCAAATAACATTGATTTTCCACAGCAGGTTTATTAAAATTATTTAATGAGAGTATGACTTTGGAAAATGAAGGTAAATTACATCTAGTAGAAAATTCCTTTAAATGATTGTGACACACAGATTTTCACATTTTTCTGTACTGTTACGAAATAGTATATGTAACAAAATGCTAAGTTATTTTCACTTGACACGTGTATTATCAAAATATGAATAGTTTAAACTTAGCAAAGAAAAGACCATTTCCAAGCACCTCTGTATTTCTCTCTGATGAAAATAATAATAGTTAATTTATTTTGAGCATTTATGTACAACATGCTATTCTGAATGCTATATGAGGATTAACTCATTTACCTTACAAACTTAAGTACTACGACTCTCATTTTCCAGATGAGAAAACTGAAGACAGGGTTAAATATCCAAGGTCACACAACTAATAAATGCATGTATCTAGTAAATATATATATATATATATATATATATGTATTTACTAATCTCTTTACTTGTGAAGATTATAATTACTTTGGTAATTCTTGACTCTAGAATTACTTAAAATGTGCATTTTGAAGCTATATCATTTGCCAGGATTCTTAGTAAGTCACTATTTATTGTCTGTAACCCTTTGGTGACTCCAAAAATTGTTACTACCAAACTGGAGAAAGTTTCACAGATATATAAGACAGTAAATATGACAGTATCAGGATCTGTTTTTCATTGATTACTTCTCCTTAGTAGATGGAACACACCAAGAACTTGATGAAGTCAGTCTGCTTACTGCTATCACAGTATTTATTTTGTCTACAAGTCCAGAAGTAACTACGATCCCATGCCTTCAGAAGCGCTGTATCGAGAAATTTAAGGCCACTCTTGAGATAAAAGATCCTATGGTAAGTGTCTTTAGAAGACAGATGTTTATAATAGGAATACATTTAGGCTTCTAAAAACTATTGTGATTTTGTTGGTTCCAACAAAAAGTACCAGACTAAAGCTTTTATTTTTAGGTTTGGATTAATTTGTATTCTTAGGTTAAAGTCAAATAATAATGGTCTTGTTTTTTGGCCCTGAGGATAGAATGTAGTTAGTTAGAGAAAGTTAAAGAAAATATTAAAAATACCAACTAAATTTGAAATAGGGGCATCTTAAAATTGATACCTTCCTAGAACTTCAGTGGGTTTCCTTTCAGATGGGAAAGGAAAGGAAGACTCTAACACATGCCTTCAGTATATGACTGTAAAATAATGAGACCCATTTTAAAACCAGCACATACAAATTAATCCCATTCCTTTCTGATCCTTTTATTTGCTTGATTAATTCCCTATGTTTTTAGGTGCTACAGAATAAGTTTGTAGCACATGATCACAAATAGATAAACTCTAAAATTCAGGAACCAGGTTTTCTCTCAGAAAAAAACAATTATTCAGATATCATCACAATGATTATTTGTATATCTGATGTAGTTATCTTTTATTCTTCTGTTCTGTTTATTTCCTCTGTCCTAACAGTAGCTTTATGTAGCAGTTTCAAAGTCGTGCCTCTGATATGTGGTGACACATCATTAGTACAGTCTAGACACAGTTCCCTGACACCTTCATTGCATCAAATATATGTGATTCTTCATCTAAAACGTTTTCCAAAATCTCCAAAATATTTTTCAAAGTTCTTTTCTTTTATATATATATTACCAAAAGACACATAAAGGGGGAAAATAGAAGCCTGTCAAAAAAAGAAAAATTAACCACTTTATTCCCACTCCAAGCTGTTACAGCCACTGTTAGCATGCAAGCTTGAATTTAGTGTTTGGACTTATAGAATTGAAGATAAAATAGAAATAAGTTTAAGTTTGGGCATGGGGGTCAGTGGGAAAATTTTTTCCTTTACATTTTTAAACTTTTAAAACTTTAATTAAATCTTACATTTTAATGTAAATTTGTATTTATGGTTTATACTTTTTTTGTCTCTTATCTGACTAGGTACAAATCAAGACCTATCAGCTCCTCCTTTCCATTTTTCAGTATCCAAATCCAGCTGTTTCCTATCCATACATTTACTCTTTAGTATCCTCTATCGTGGAAAAGTTGCAGGAAATAGATAGGAGAAAACCTGAAGAAACTACTGAGCTTCAGATCTTTCAAGAAGGCATAAAGGTCCTGGAAGCGCTGGTGGCCGTTGCTGAGGAACAGCACCGTAAGTGCTAGCACTTAATGCATACCAACAGTTAGCCCAAAGTCAGAACTTGAATGTTCTTTAAAGTATAAAACATCCCATTAGTCACTTAATATTGTATTTTCACACTTGCAGAAAGGCAGATGTTGATGGTAACCCCAGGTATTGATATTACTTAGTATCAATTTGGGAGAAGAGATCGGAAGAACTGCTTCCCTTCAGGTTGGGGAAATAGGTTCCCATCAAGTGTGTGTGGAACATTTACACCCCTGAAACCAGGGCTTACATAGTTTGTTTACTTTCCAGGCTCTCAGCTCGTGGCCTGTCTTCTGCCCATCCTCATTTCCTTCCTTTTGGATGAGAATGCCCTGGGATCAGCAACTTCCATAATGAGAAATCTCCATGACTTTGCTTTGCAAAATCTCATGCAGATTGGCCCTCAGTACTCATCCGTCTTTAAAAGTGTAATGGCTTCTTCTCCAGCCTTGAAAGCCCGCCTTGAAGCTGCTATAAAGGGCAATCAAGAAACTGTCAAAGTCAAGACACCAACATCTAAACATACTAATAACTCTGGGAAGAGTTCAAGCATCCAGTTAAAGACCAACTTCCTGTGATTTTTTTTTTTTTTTAAACTAGTAAGCACCTTAACACAATACTTGATCATTTCCTTCACTTTGGGGGCAAAAGTGACATTTTAGACACAAGTGCACTTGAGGTCTGGCTATTTAATTTAAATAGCTTACTTTGGAAAGTCACAGCCAACTTACGTTTTGTGGTGTGTGAGTGTGGTTTTTTTTTTTTTTTTTCCATACAATAAAACCACAGAGCTCAGTCAGAATTCTTGCCAGGAATGTCAACAAAATGCTAAAGAATTAAACTCAAAAAACCAACCACTGCTTTAAAAACAAAATTTATTTCTTCTAACAGTCCATATACATATGATATGATATACTTAATACATTGACAGATATAGATTTGACTCTAAATAAATTATCTGCATTTACATTGTATCCCAATTGCTAATTTAAAATTCTGCCTTATTCAATAATTGTATTAAACTTTCTTGGAGTTCTCAAACAATGTAAGTGACTGGAAAGCTATTTAGGAAACTTGGTTTAGAAGTATCTAATATATATATAATAATACAAATTAATTACAGTCCTACAGTGTAACTTAAGATTCAGTATCTATAAATATCATGACATTTTATGATCTACTGGTTTTATTTGTATTGAGTTTGGAAAATTGACATTTTAATCATTTTAAATGTAACCAGGGCATTTCTATTTCTCCCATGGATTTTCTTTTACCTCTGTTCCTAACAATTTTCTTCATTTTCATTTGTGGCAAACATTCATACCAATGAGTTTAATATAATTCATATCTATATTTTAATTAACTATGGGTTTCTATAAATGTCAAATTTAGTACAAATTTAGATCATCAATGAATAAAAGTATGTTTTTTTTAACATGAAACATATTTTAATATAGAAAAATCTGATGATGAAGTCATTTTGGTTGAAAAGTATTTTTTAATTGTTGATGATCATTGACTCTCCTTCCACTTCAGTGTTATACTGTGTGAAGTAAACACTGTGTCAAAACAAAGCACTTCCCCATTAAAAATTAAAAACCAAAGTGAGAGGGGCATGTTCAGAATTTGGAGAGACACTTGGAGTCAAGCAAAAATAATGTGATGTACTCTATTTTATTATGTTTGTATATAAATACACTTGTAAATTGTTCAGAATGAAAACATTTGACAAATTCTAACACTACTATCAATTTTTCTAATTTACATAAATAAAGCTAATTTTCTTTATCATTCTTGTATGTGAAATTATTTTACCCACAAAAGATGGCTAGTTAGTCTTAAAGAGTCCAGAAAATCGTTTCTGTGGAGCAAATAATATTTTCTCTAAAACTTAGCCTATTTTCTTTGAAGAGTCCTGTTTTGCGCACATTCTTTGCAGTGGTTTGCATTCTTTGTCTTCCCAATTGTCTCTATGAATTTGTATACTTGCTGTTCCCTTCACTTGCTGTTCCCTCCGCCTGTTCTATCTGGCTGACTTCCACTCCTTTTAGATCTGGTTTAAATGTCACTTTCCCTAGGTAACTCCTTAAGGCTTCTTACCCTCCCCTCAGACCAAGCAACTGTAACTCCTTCTTCATCTGTGTTCCTACAGGACTTTATATATTCTTCCATGCATTGAACATCACATTACATTTTAATATTTCCCTTTTAGACTGTACCTCCTGAAAGTGAGAAATTCTGTCTTCTATAACTGCCTGTGTGACATCAACTAGACACTTAAAATATGTTGAACTGCACTGATGTAGGATGAATTTGAACTCAGAAATGTATCCCTTTGCAAGGCAAATGCTAGAGTGGGATATTCTCTGGATGAAATTTTGTTTGTTTTATATTCTTTTGTTTCATTTAGTATGTTTGTAAACATTAAGGTTTCTGCTCATCATTTAGCGACCTGGCATCCTGAATTATCTGGATTAAAGGTGCTATATGAATATCAGTAGTTAGGAAAAAATATCATGTCCGATGTCACAGAATTAAGAACTTTGAGTTGGGCACTATTCTATAACCTTTTTCTTTGTAATGTATCATCTTGTTTAATACAATATTGGGTTGTTTAGGGTGTTTTTTTGGCCTTACCCTGCAGCTTGTAGGATCTTGGTTCCCTGACCCTGGATTGAACCTAGGCCCCCAGCAGTGGAAGCAATCCTAGCCACTGGACTGCAGGGAATTCCTTCTTTAATACAATGTTGAATTAGTTACAGATATCTTTACTGATAAAGAAGGTAAGAGGCTTAATGGCTGAGGTTTGAACCCACCTTTTAGTGTTCCACATTCCCTCCAGAGTTTTCTTCCCTCTTTGTTGAAGATATTTTCATTGAATATTTCTCCAAATTGCCACCAAAAGGTTAATGGCTAAAACAACAGGAAAAATTGGGAGAAGTTTGTGACCTCTACAATTTCCATGGGAATAATGATTATACTATTAGATACTAATATAAGTTCTGACTTGTTCAAAGGTGAATACTTAAAATTGAGAAACACATAAAAAATTCTTTACATCTGTTTTGTTTTAATAAGTCTCTGACTGTGATAAAGCAGTTGCCCCTTAACAATAATTCTTTACAAATTAAATCTTGATAACTGACTTGGATTGAAACAAAGTGATATAATATTTGCCTTGAGCTTTATGTTTTTCTAAGGGCAGAAAGAACTATGCATAAAAGGTCTTAACAACCTGGATAACCATGATGGTGTGGTCACTCACCTAGAGCCAGACATCCTGAAGTGTGAAGTCAAATGGACCTTAGGAAATATTACTATGAACAAAGCTAGTGGAGGTGACAATTCCAGTTGAGCCACTTCAAATCCTAAAATATGATGCTGTTAAAGTGCTGCACTCAATATGTCAGCAAATATGGAAAACTCAACAGTGGCCACAGGACTGGAAAAGGTCACTTTTAATTCCAATCCCAAAGAAGGGCAATACCAAAGAATGTTCAAACTACCATACAACTGTGCTCATTTCACATGCTAGCAAGGTTATGCTCAAAATCCTTGAAGCTAGACTTCAGCACATGTGAACTGAGAACTTCCAGATGTATAGGCTAGGTTTTGAAGAGGCAGAGGAACCAGAAATCCAAATTGCTAACATTCATTGGATCATGGAGAAGGGGAGTTCCAGAAGAACACTGACTTCTGCGTCATTAAAGCCTTTGACTTTGTGAATCACAACAAACTGGAAAATTCTTAAAGAGTTGGAAGTACCAGACTACCTTACTTGTCTCCTGAGAAGCCTGTATGTGGGTTTGAAACTTTTGTTTCAAGAAGCAACAGTTAGAACCCAACATGGAACGACTGTATGGTTCAAAATAGGAAAGGAGTACAATAAGACTGTATATTGTCACCCTGCTTATTTAACTTTTATGCAGAGTACATCACGTGAAATGCAGGGTTGGATGAATCACAAGCGGGAATCAAGATTGCCAGGAGAAATGTCAACAACCTCAGATATACAGATTATACTAATCTAAGGGCAGAAAGTGAAGAGGAAGATAAAGAGCCTCTTGATGAAGGTCAAAGAGTCTCCCCTTTAAAGCTAGCTTGAAATTCAGCATTAAAAAACTTAAGATCGTGCATCAGGAATAGAAGGGAAAAAAATGGAAGCAGTGACAGATTTTATTTTCTTGGCCTCAGCATCACTGCAGATGGTGACTGCAGCCATGAAATTAAAAGATGCTACTTGGAAGAAAAACTACAACAAACTCAGATAGCATGTTAAAAAGCACAGACATCACTTGGCCAACAAAGGTCCGTTTAGTCAAAGCTATGGTTTTTCCAGTAGTCATGTACGGATATGAGAGTTGGACCACAGAGGAGGCTGAGCGCTAAGAGAATTGATGCTTTTGAATTGTCCTGGAGGAGACTCTTGAGAGTCCCTCTGACTGTAAGGAGATCAAGCCAGTCAATCCTAAAAGAAATCAACCCTAAATATTCAGCGGAAGGATTGATGCTGAAGCTGAAACTGCAATACTTTGGCCACCCGATGGGAATAGCTGACTCCCTGGAAAAGACCCTGATGCTGGGAAAGATTGACGGCAGGAGAAGGGGCAGCAGAGGATCAGATGCTTAGATGTCATCACCAACTTAATGGACATGGATTTGAGCAAACTCCAGGGGACAGTGGAGGGCCGAAGAGCCTGGCATGTTGCAATCCGTAGGGTTACAAAGAGTCAGACATGACTTAGCAACTGAAAAACAAATAGTCTCATTCTATTTAATCCAATGTTTATAAGCTTATCATGGAAATTCTTAAAAAGAAACCTTGGAGATACCATATTTTTATTAATGGAGCACTTAAAGCAAAATTTCTACTTCTATAAAAGAAAACTCCACCAACAACCTAAAGGGATCATTAAGGCAATTTAAAAGATACAAGTAAGTGCTATAAAAGAGATATTGGCATAGTGCTATGAGAACTCTGTAACATTAATATTGAAGAGAAAAATTCCCTTTTTATTACAATATTAGTTTGCATGTTGAAGGAAGAAATTAAACTCTCAAGCTAATAAACTATGATGTTAATAAAAAACTGACAATCTATGAAATAAAGTCGATACTACCCAAAAACTATCAAGTTAAAAATGTTGAATCATTTCTGGTCATTTAATGACTGCATCATGCTAACAATCTTGAAGCTTCAGTCTGCCCATACGTATCTTTCAAGAGTCCCATAGAGTTAACATAATTGTATAGTCAAGATAATTACATGTATTGCATTTTCTCCATCAACTGAATGTACTTTGCTCTTTACAAATAACTTGTTAGCCCTTGCAAGACCTCAGTTTATCAGAAATACGGTTATTCAACTGCATGTTAACCAACATTCATCCGCTGGTTCCTGAATTACGCCTATGTTGACTTTTCTGTTTATCAGTCTGATAAACTGATGCCTGGGCTTTTAGCTTTGAGGAAATGGAATTTTGCATTATGACACAGAGATGGAATATATCCAGTACACCACAAATACAATTGCAGGGTCTATCAATTCAAAGAAGCTAGCTTGCTTTAATTGCCTGTT